AAAAAAAGTTTATCTTACTGTTTGGTGGTCGATTATCGACCACGGGGTGAGCCTAGTAATTATTATTTCACCACACAACACAATGACGACTATGTTTGACACTGCATTGAATACATTCATCAATGTAGTTCCCGTCAAAATGTGTGGCGTTGTTGGTTTGACGTTCAATGATCGAGACTATCGCGGTGCAACTTTCTCAATTTTTTAAATATTTGTTGATGCATGTATGCACAATTGTCTTCGCCCAAAAATAAGAAAAATTGTCCTAAAAAAGGTGTTATTCAAAATCAAATTACCGTATCTTGAGGGAAAAACCATATTTCCACAAAAAAAAGAAGTAAGTATACTCCTTTAAATAAATTTCGGTCTTTTTGAAATATGAACAAATGTGAACCAGACTTCCTTACACTGAACGCAGCGAACTCAGCAATGTAGCGAGCTCTAAAATGTGAGAGCTGTCAAAAAAATTCAGCCAATTTATTAGGACTGGTTCACACTGATTTCTCTGTTTTTCGCTATAATCGTTTGATGTCAAATGGACCGAAATATATTTTAAGGAGTATACATATATGATCAAAAGTTTGATCATTGGAAAAACCGTGTTGTGCTTAGAAAAATTTGTATTACTTTTCCGCAAACTTGTTTGTTAGGAAAAGTATTAGTTTTACTAGCCAAAATTTCATGACATCTCCTCTTTCGGACCACTATAACGCCACGCTAAACTTGAAAAAGCACATATCTGTACACTAGGCAATGTAGATGGGATCAAATCCTATCGATCAAGACCTATGTACCCCCAAAAACATGTTGTTTACTATGAAATATGTGCAAAATAGCGATGTGCGTATGGCGTCGTTCGCGTTCGCGTTCGCGTCCGAGCTTTTTGTTCGCCGATTATCTCAAAAAGTTGACAAGATAATTGAGATCTGTATAAGCAAAAAGTTTTGGCATGTCGAGACAAAGCTTCGGATTGATTTTGAGCCCATTCTGATTTACCATATTCGTACCATAAGCCTCCGATTGAGGACCTGAAAAACCTTGAAAAATGACACTTTTGTGCGGGAAGTACCCGAAAAAAGCATTTTTCAGGGTTTCGATCAAGGCAAACTGCCATTTTTGTGCAAAAATAATGGGAGTCTATGAACAACCGAACACCTACTTGCCCATAAATTTGGTCCAAAATCGACATTTCTTGAAAATTTCCTCGAAAAATAGACTTTTGTATGAAAAATCACACAGAAAGCCATTTTTCAGGGTTTTGGTCAACCAAACTGATATTTTTTTGCAAAAATAATGGGAGCCTCCAAACAACCGAACACCTACTTGCCCATAAATTTGGTCCAAAATCGACATTTCTTGAAATTTTCCTCGAAAAATAGACTTTTGTATGAAAAATCACACAGAAAGCCATTTTTTTGGGTTTTGGTCAAAGCAAACTGATGTTTTTTTGCAAAAATAATGGGAGCCTCCAAACAACTGACCACTTGCCCATGAATTTGGTCCGAAATCAACATTTTTTGAAATTTTTGAAATTTTGTTCGAAAATGACACTTTTGTATGGAAATGGTCGAAATAGTTATATTTTAAGGTCAAAAATGCTATGAAAAAAGGGTCCATTGAAATTTTAATTAAACATTAAGCGGGAGGTGAACTAAATTGCTGCGGAGCGGAAAAGTTTGGATTACGTATGTAATTCGTTTTATTTTTGTTTTGGTGTATTCATATGTGAAGCTGAATATGTGATTCTATTAATCAAGAATTGAAAATAATGCATAAACAATTTGATGTTCGTGACCATGGCAAACTCGTGTTGGATGTATATTGTATACTCTGAATTCGCGTTCAAAACCATTAGTTGGAGGCAAGATTTTTTTTGGTGCTTTCAGAATTTTAAATTCTGAAACATTATCTGAAACGAAAAAAAATGGAGTCGCATACGAAATATATGATTCCATGTGTTGTCTTGTTCGGGTGACAGACGTTTAATAATCTTGGGCTTCAAACGTCGTTAACACGTGCATATGTTTTCCTCTGTTTTCTGCGTGCGTTTGACGGTTGAAAAACTTTTAAGTTTTTCAAGCTATGGACTCGCACGTTGTTAATATGTACAACATATGCTCCTCTGTTATCGGCGGGCGATCGAAGATTATCAAACTATGGAGTCACGCGTCGAGGGCAGTTACACATGGTTTCTGTATTCAATAATTGCTTATGTGCACTTGAGCGGCTTCCAATATTGCTGACGTGCGTGTTTTACTTGTTTGCCGCTGTAGAGTACTCGGGTGCTGTACACAATTTCTCTGAGGGCACGCTTTCTTCCCGAAACTGATCGAGTTATCTATCTACAGTAAAGTAAAAAAGCTTTTCGAGTACTACAAGTTTATCGAAGATACGAAGCATTTGACTCTTGTTAGTTCCCAAAACAGAGAAAAACCGCAACGACCCACGAAAATTGATCATACAATGACTTCGAACAAGCTTACTTTTTTCACCTCTCACCAATAGATATATGTTAGTCTGTGTGCCTGTTTTTATGGCGCAGTATACTTTACGTTGGGCTTTGTTATTGGAATGGCCGCTTTCGTGAAAATCATTCGCTTGAAATTATGGTGGCAAGTTGATAAATAAAGATATTCAGTGAAGAAAACGTACCAAATCAATTTATTTTTCATCTACAATTCACATATCATTTGATTGCAAAATTGGCATTGGTCATCGTAATATTTTCTTGTATGACACACGTCATATGTTAATTTGTTTTGGAATTTGGCATACCAAATATCTAGAGCCCTTTTTGCATGCGAAGTCATTCCATCCGCCTAGATGATTTATCTCTAGGCAATGTTCAACTTCGCCCAAAAGTTTACCATGATTAGGTTCGCCCGGTGTCCAGTTACTGTAACCGAGTGGTTTTCCAGTTGATATCCAAGTGAATTTTTCCTTTTTCGGTGCCTTATTTCCATAAGCTAAATCATTACCATTTACCCAAAGTTCATATTTCCCATAATCTGTGTAGAAGGGTTAAAAGCACAAGTATATTAAAATAAAGGTGGTTTATGGGAATCAAATGTCCGTTAGTTTTTCTAGGGGCAATTGAAATATGAACGGACGCTCTCAACCTACTAATTCATTTCATGTATGCTAAAATAGCGTCCTCCTCCTCTTTCGACATAATAGTGGCCAATTCCATGGTGTGATCTGCACAAAACTTTACAGATTCGAACCAATTGGTCTGTGAATATTTTATACGAAAATTATAGCATTTGATATGTTAGAGTGAAAATGAACTGCGGACTATGAAGCTTACGAACATAATCCCGTGTGAAAATAAAGTGACTTAACAGTCACTCAGTTGTATGTAGCTGCAAATATATAGAAACAATCACTTTTAGTTATTCTTTCAGCCAGTCGTCTACTTTCAGCCACTTTTTGGCTACTAGATGACTATAACTGAAGTTTACAACTACATTCGAATATATTGTTCGAGATAACTAGGGGACAGACACGATTAAAAAAATAGTGATATTTCGTTTAAAAATAGCAAAATTAGCAGAAATTAGAGAGACTGAAACTTTTTTGTTCCATACATTGAGCATTGCCAATACATTTCCTTATGGAGGTTGTTTTGTTTATTTACCGTTATTTGTCAACAAGTCTGCCTATATCAACGCATTGCACTGTACATAGTATATGTCCATAAGAAATACACAGAGACAATGCAAAAAGATAGGCAGATTTGTTTACAAACAACAATAAATAAACAAAACGAAAATCTCCATAAGGAATGCATTGGTAATACTAAATGTGTGGAAGGAAAAACTAACAAATTAGCACAAATTAGCATCGAATTAGAAGAAACAATGGAAAAATCGTTCAAAATAGTTGAATTAGGACAAATTGATACCGTGTCTTGCCCCCAGAGATAATCACTTTTAGTCAGTAATAGTCAGCCAAAAAGTCCGAAATTAAGCGGCTGGCTACTCAGTCACACATTTTTCACACGGGATGTGTTTTGAACATGTTTTTGTTTTTCGAATTTTTCGAACCAATTTCAATAATAATTCTTAACACTTACTTTGTTAGATACATTCACAAAAAAAATCTTTTTGCCGACCTGAATCCTTGGGCCCAGCCCATCTATCTCAACATTATCTGAAAAAATGTAGAATTTGCCACCAACTATTTTTGAATATCGAAAGTCTAGAAAAGAAATCGATCTCATTTTATACATATATAGTAAATGTAACGAACTTTGCCCCAGTGTTGTGTTCATCCAAAATGATAAGGAATTCATATACGGCATAAGCAAGGCCTTCATGTCATCTATAATTTTTAGTGGAAATCATTAAGGTTTTTATCTTGCATTGACTGCTCAATTCAATATGAATGGTGATTAAATTTAACAGTAGCCTTTACGTGAAGCTCAGTACTGAACAGCAGCTTTACTGTTACTTAACCTACATTTAATTTACTTGAACGAAACTTCAAACCAAATGGTACACACTACACACCTAATATAAAGTAACAATGATAAAATTTGCCTATGTTTTTATATGGAGCACTTGTTTATGCTATATTTAAGCGACATCTTGACAGCAACCAATGACAGCAACAATAGAACGTATTTGTATTGCAAAATACTTCCACCTTGCAAATGGCGCCAAACCAATCGTCATTCTAGTCATTTTTCTCATTGAAAGTGAGATAATCTATTAGCATGTGCTACGTCAAACGATACACCAAAATTCACGTGTGAAATCCATCATTTTATCTATTTAATGCTCATACTTTCTTCACAAAAAGTCTTGCGCAATCTTGAAAAAAAAAACATTTAATACCACCAGTTCATGTTATACACCGAATTTTTTTTTTGGAGCATTGAACAAAATTCCATTGCAAAATTGGTGTATTATGCACCACTTACTACTTTATACAACATTTATGCACCAAAATTTTAATGTATCGTTCGAAATTTGTGCCCACTGAGCCGTATTTGCAACATTTTTATCCATTGGCAGCTATTTGCGGTCGTTGTTGCTTTTATTTACCATATTTTCATGCATTTGTTCCCGTTATTACCTCCTAGAAATTTTATTATATCTAAAAAATAAATGTCTAAATTGTTCGCAACGTTCTTACCATCGACTTGTAATGCTTTACACGTCACAATCGTTGCAAATGAAATATGCAATAGTAGCGTGCCATAACACACAAGTTTCAGCATATTTTTAGTAAAAAGCTATTCAAATCCGGAAATACTGAGGTGATATACCGACTATCCTGAATATTTATATTTCCACTAATGACTTTGAGCCACAATCGTTATGTATAAATAAATTTCTATGGATTCATATTAGAGCGCATTTGATATGCTATAATAAATTACCTCTTTCAAATCAATTAATATGTGCAAGATAATATCGCAATCGCAGCCTGTGCAGAACAATAATGAACAAAGGAAAACACGAATTTGCGATGAGCTAAAAACAAAAGGCACACTGACCGTACTAGTAAATGGCAAGCTAATGATTTTTAACAAAGGAGAAATCGAATTCTTTATGTTACAAACCAAAACCAAATGAATTAATCGTAAATTGTAGAACAAAAATAAACAAAAACAAACATAAAAATCTAAATATTTACTTATAAAATTGATGTTTATCATCTGCTATGCTCTCACAAAAATCATTTTTCACATTCGTACATTTCAATATGAAAATATTCAATAGTTCGCGGTAAACATTAAACGAACTGAGTTCAATAGCCGTCACAACTGTTGACACTTGTCACGCAGCGGTAGTAGTGAGTTATCAGACAGTTAAATGCACAGCCTGTGGTCGCATTTCAAGCTAATTTCAATGTTTAAAATTGATTTGCCGTTGTAACACAACTCTGCCAATTGAAAAAAAATTAAATTAATGAGATTGAAGAATTTCTCTCCTAGTATGGTCTTGTACTGAAAGCAAACGCAGATTAATGTTTTTTTTCCAAATTTCAATTAGGTTGCATTGCGATATTATTTTGCGCATATTGATTGATTTGAAAGAGGTAATTTATTATAGCATATCAAATGCGCTCTAATATGAATCCATAGAAATTTATTTATACATAACGATTGTGGCTCAAAGTCATTAGTGGAAATATAAAGGATAGTCGGTATATCAGATACCTCAGTATTTTCGGATTTGAATAGCTGTTCACTAAAAATATGCTGAAACTTGTGTGTTATGGCGCGCTACTATTGCATATTTCATTTGCAACGATTGTGTCGTGTAAAGCAATACAAGTCGATGGTAAGAACGTTGCGAACAATTTAGACATTTATTTTTTAGATATAATAAGAATTGATGAACTGAATAACTAAATAGCTACATGATTCGATCTCATCCGCATGACTAATGATTTTTACAAAAAATTATAGATGACATGAAGGCCTTGCTTATGCCGTATACGCATTCCCTATTATTTTGGCTAAACACAACATTAGAAGAAGGTTCGTCTTACATCGGTAAAACCCTTTATTTTGTTATTCATTTCTGAAAGTTGAAAAAAAAACATTTTTCCCAATACTATATGTATCTCTAGCTGCTAGGGGCTTCACGCAATTTTGCAGAACGCAAATAACTCTAAAAAAATAAAAAAAATAGTGAATCAAACCTTCAACCGAAAATTTGAACCACTTTCGAAGGATTTTGGTGGATTACGGTAAATATTGGAACATTTTTGATTTTTTGACTATACAATCTGCACAAATTTACTAGTATGCACGTCAATCTCAAATATCTATGCATATTTAATAAAATTCATTGGACTGTAATGTCAAAAAATGTTCCAATATTCATCGTTATCTACCAAAATCGTTCAAATTTACGGTTGAAGGTTTGATTCACTCTAGGGGCTAACCATGGATTTTTCATTGACTCTGTATATATCTGTATATATTGAATTTTATCGTTTAATATCGACTATAAATGTTTAATGTGCTGACGTCATTACCGATTCAAAAATGCTGGAAGTGGGTTTTGGTGGATCCTCAGGATCGTTTAGTACTGCTCCCGGTTCTGGAAGTGGATCCTCAGGATGGGCTAGGGCATTGTCAAACCCAGTCTGGTCCATCCTGAAGATCCACCAAAACCCACTTCCAGAATCGGGAGCAGTTCTGAACGATCCTGAGGATCCGCCAAAACACGCTTTCAGAACAGTATGCATTCGTCAAAGCGAAAAAATATCTGCAAAAATCGGGCAAAATCGACCAAAATGTGATCATATCGGAATTTATTTGTTTAAATGATAAAAAAATGTTAAAGTCGGTCATTATTGGTTATTTTTAAAACCTTGGTTAGCCCCAAGAGATCATACATACGCTATTTATATAGGAATTCACGTAATATTTAACGTGAATTGCCTATGCGCAACGCGGCCAACTAAAAACTAAAAACCGCGAAATTTTAAAAAAGCCGTGGTTTGCCTCTAGTATGATCTATGGCTACAACGATGAAGAGTATATATGAATTCACATTATATTTAACGTGAATTGCCTACGCGCGACGTGGCAAACGAGATCATACTTTGGCTTACCGGGTATTGGGATTCCACGTGAAATATGGGGTGAACTGCAGATATGATGTTTCGGCAACTAACTAATTGCTAATTCAAGTCAAGTGCTACATCTACGTGTGTGAAGACGAGTCCACTGCTTTATTGAGTAGTTGCATGTAAACTATACAGTCATGGACAGAATTGAGAGGCCAGCCAAAATTTGTAATTATTTTCAATTTTTATTCTCTTCCATTAGAAATGTCATATATCAATAGACAGTAGAATAAAAATTATTACTATTGACAATTTCAAACATGAACAAAGGCTTTAATTTGGCCAAGTTTTGGCCGTTGGTAATTTTATTGGTATAAAACATGGAAATTGGTTACAATTTGACCAAGTTATAGATGTCCGAAAATTTTGGCCAACTTTTTTTCGGATTTCCAACGGCCATAACTTGGCCAAATTGAAGCCGATCCAAAAGTTTAAAACCCTCAATAGTATCCTTTCTCGAAGGCCTTCAAAACTGCATTTGAACATTTCAAATCGAACGACTAGGAAAAAAGTTGCATTTTGGGCCGTTTTTACCAAGGGCCATTAGCCGCCCGTTGGCCGGCCTTTATTCGTGTTTGAAATTTGTCAAAAGTAATTATTTTTATTCTACTTTCTATTGATACATTTCTTGTGAAAGAGAATGAAAATAGAAGAATAATTACAAATTTTGGCTATCCTCTCAATTCTGTCCATGACTGTTTTTACTATATATGTATAAAATGAGATCGATTTCTTTTCTAGACTTCAGATTTGACGGTACGGACCTTCTGTACCCGTATTCGCTATTCCAAAATAGTTGGTGGCAAATTCCAAATGAACAAAACACTATAAAATTTCCACATTTTTTCAGATAATACTAATGTTAATACGAAAGACTTTGGGCCCAAGATTGAGGTCGGCAAAAAAAGCTTCTTTGTGAATACATCTATGAGTGTAAGTGATAAGAATTATTATTGCAACAAATTGGTTCGAAAAATTCGGAAAAAAATCATATTCAAAACACATTATGTTCGTAAGCTTCATAGTCAGCAGTTCATTTTCACTCTAACTTATCAAATGCTATAATTTTCGTATAAAATATTCACAGACCAATTGGTTCGAAGCTGTAAAGTTTTGTGCAGATCACAACATGGAATTGGCCACTATTATGTCGAAAGAGGAGGAGGACGCTATTTTAGCATACATGAAACGAATTAGTAGGTTGAGAGCGTCCGTTCATATTTCAATTGCCCCTAGAAAAACTAACGGACATTTGATTCCCATAAACCACTTTTATTTTAAAACTTGTACCTTTAACCGTTCAACTCAGATTCAATTAGAGCACTTTGAGTATATGGTAATGACTTAGCTTATGGAGATGGAGCACCGAAAAAGGATCATTTCTCTTGGATATCAACTGGAAAACCACTCAGTTACAGTAACTGGTCAGCGAAACAACCTGATCATAGTAATTGGGGTAATTCTTCTGGTGAGGTTGAACATTGCCTAGAGATATTTTATCTAGGCGGATGGAATGACAACAGATGCAAAATGAGCTCTAGATCTTTATTATGCCAAATTCCAAAACAAATTAACATATGACGTGTGTCATACAAGAAAATATTACGAATGTATGTGAATTGTAAATGAAAAATAAATTGATTTGGTATGTTTTCTTCACTGAATATCTTTATTTATCAACTTGCCACCATAATTTCAAGCGAATGATTTTCACGAAAGGCTGTTTTAGTAATAAGTTCTAGCATAAAGTCACCGCGATAGTCTCGATCATTGAACGTCAAACCAACAACGCCACACATTTTGACGGGAACTACATTGATGAATGTATTCAATGCAGTGTCAAACATAGTCGTCACCCAATGAGCCAAGTGAAAGAAAATATGTACTAGAGCGTCACACTGATTATGCATAGATTTGAAAGATTGCATATAAGTAGATTATGTAAAAATAGTGTGTAATTTACGTGCATAAGGTGTGCGTAAATCGTCTTTGTTTAAATAGAGGAGAATTTCAAATTATGTGTCAAAATTGTGCTTATATTTGAACATATGTCCAAACTGTGTGCAATATATGTGCATACTGCGTGCATGCTAGATTATGCACATTTCTTCCAATTTTCAATTGAGGTGTATGAGAGAAAATTACGGTTTTATATGATATATTGGAGTTTCCATAATTAAAGAAAAAAACACAAAATGTTAGATTCAAAATAGAAACTGATTCGTGGCAGAATTGTTTTTTTAATTTTTCGGACCATACTGAGAAAACTACACTGAAACAGAAGTCGATTTGACATTAACTGTCAAACCGGCAAGATGAACAAGTGCGTTTGTTAAGTGAGCGCGTTCACTCCGTGTCAGCAGGTTTTGGACGAATCTCATTTTGTAAATGATGTTGTTGTTAGTGTAATGATACCCCCGCGCATAAAGTAGCCAAACACCTGTACCATAAAATCAGGCGAACGTTCTATGTACATGTATCTATTGGTGAGTGGTGAAAAAATTAAGTTTGTTCAACTTCGTTGTATGTTCAATTTTCGTGGGTCATTGCGGTTTTCCACGGTTTGTCAGAACTGACATGCTCAGATGAATATTCAAATCTTGGCAAATTTGCCGAAATGACTTCGGGTAGGGCGATTTCAATTGTAGATTTTATGTACTTTAATGTAGTGTTTTTACTTTCTTTATGTAGGAACAATTTTTTTGAGCAATCGGCTATCGAAAAACTGCTATAAAATGGGACAACTCAAATCTTGGTCAAAAAACGTATTTTCCACAAATCGAATTTTTTTTCGAATGAAGAATGGTTCCAAAAAGTTGTAGATAAATTGTAGAATTCAAATCAATTGTCTGTTTTCAAATATGTCTTCCCGTTCGTTCGATATCGGGACGAGTCTTGAAAATTGGTCCAAAATCGGTAATACTCAAATCTTGGCCACAAATTGAAATTTCCACAAACTGAATCTTCCTCTCTTGATGCTAGGTTCCATAAAATTGTAGAAAAAATGTAGAATTCAAATCAGTCATCCGATCCTTGGTGTTTTCAACAACTTATTTGGCTCCAGGGGAGTTTAATATTTAATATGGGAATAAAACTGCTATAAACTGCTATAAAACGTGTTTTAATAACCAAGAATTAATTGTAGTGGCCCGAAAATAATTGTAGAAGCACCTACAGTTATTGTAGTGGTCGAAAATTGATTGTACTGGCCCAAATATAATTGTAGAAGCACCTACAGTTATTGTAGTGGTCGGAAATTGATTGTACTGGCCCAAATATAATTGTAGAAGCACCTACAGTTATTGTAGTGGTCGGAAATTGATTGTACTGGCCCAAATATAATTGTAGAAGCACCTACAGTTATTGTAGTGGCCCGAAAATAATTGTAGAAGCACCTACAGTTAATGTAGTGGTCGGAAATTAATTGTAGTGGCCCGAAAATAATTGTTGCTTCTACAATTCCCCTAGGATAAACTTAAACAGTCTCTTTTAACGTGAACAGATGAACAGAATTACCAGGAAACATGGTTTCCTTTGCAAAAATCCGTGATGCATTTGCTATATACGTCGAAAGATTATTATTTTCATCATTATTTTATTGCGAGTCACTCCAGAATATAATCGATGAAAAAGAAGCACAGTTCGTTATTCTTCAATAGAATCGAAAGAGTTTTTCAAGAGAATATTTGCAAATAAATTTCAATATTCTGCTACAAATTACTGCTGTAATGGAAAATTATTGATTTTATAAAAATGTTCGTCGTATGGAAAGTTGGAGCGAATTTTTTTTTGAAATTTCTGTTGAATTTGTTTCGAGAATTTCTGTTGAATTTCTTGGCGGATTTTGGGTATTTTGGAGTCTAGAATTTCAAAAAAATGCTGGAATTCAACAGAAATTCCAGAAAAAACATAAATAAAAAATTTAAAAAAAAATTTCGCTTCAACTTCCCATACGACGAACATTTTTATAAAATCAATAATTTCCCATTACAGCCGTAATTTGTAGCAGAATATTGAAAGTTTTCGCAAAGATTCTTTTGAAAAACTCTTTCGGTTCAATCGATGGAGGCTCTATCAAGCGGATGGAAAAAATCTAACCCTGGGTAATAGGTACTTGGGAGCTAGTTTAATGATGGTTCAATGGGAAGCCATCGATTTTATTCATAGAGGTTTAGGGGCGATGGACACATTATTTTTACCGAATTACGTTCGGAAATTAGAGTTACGTTCGGAATTATGAGTCCATGTGTATAAACCAATGTAATTGCAGCCGCGCAAAACCGCGCTCTGAGTGTTTTATACAAATTTCCCATGTAGAGCAAAATCGAAAGAAAAATTTAAAAAAAAATCGATCTTAATACAGTTTTTTGTATTGGTGTTATCAGCACATCGAAATTCGCGCTCGATATCACTTAATTGGCATTCCAAAACAAAATCACAACTAAAACCAAGGCTTCGTGATAGCATACCGTGGAACACAGTATATTTAACACGCAGTGTATTTAAGGCTCGGTATAATATACCAGCATATCGTACACACAGCTGCCGCACACACTTCTCTCGCTTTATGTTGCACTTTGAAAAAGCAAGAATATTCAGATGATCCTGATGATGGGCTTCCACTCAATCATAATGTATAACAAAGTTCGGTGCATAAAATAACAATTTATTTGCCATGACCAATAAAAATCATAATTACAATGAACATAACTCAAACTCTAGCTTATTGATTCAATAAACAATTACGTTGATAAATACATTTCCTAAAACCCTTACTTTTTAAATTTACTGTCTTTTAAATAAAATCATTGAAGAACGGTATCGTTTTTCATGTGGCCATACTGTAGTTTAATCCTCATTTCACCATATTTGCTGATTGGCAGTGCATTCGGGATCCATTCGATTATGAATAATCCTTGTTTGCTGGATTTACACTGGAACTAAGTAAGAAAAATCAACAAGATAAAACATCAATCATTGAAAGTGATCTCGATTCTGATTCATACCTTGGCATTTTTGTCCACACTTTTCATCTTAAGAAAAGTCTTATAAACTGTCGGCCGAATTTTTCGATTATTATCGAATACTTCATCCTCTGAGTTGATCAATTCACTGGCCGGTATATACTCGAATGTGTTTTGTGATGTCTTCCGAAATGATCGTACCACCTCCAGTTCCATCTGATTTAATGACAAAAATGGATGTCGTTCAAACTCAATGTTTTCTTTAGAAATCAATAACAGTAAATGGTGAACTGACCGTTTTTGTGCAAAAAATATATTTAATGAGTTTAATGTTCGAGAAAATCCAAGTGGACATGGTCTGATTCTTGTATCTGCCATCGGTGACAACCGTTGTTAGATTTGGTAGACGCTTCTTTTTTGTTCCCGCCGAGAATTTGGTGCGTAAAATGTCAAAATACAACTACAATTGCAGAAAATGAGTAACAATTTGATGGTTTTCAAAAAGAAAAGAATGTCTTACATGAGGCACGCTAAATTTGAGTGGTTCAGGATATCCATCGCTATTGAAATCTAGTATTAAATTCGTTGCTTCGATGACCGAACCCAACCAATTGTGATAGGATTCGAGTTGTGTACTATCTAGGCTTCGACACATTTTTTCGTGTTCCGTATAGATGTCATCGTCCGATTCCATTGAATGATCTTTGTTCGATATGAGATTTTCATTCATTACTTCCATAGGTAAATCTTCGAACAACATACCATCCGAGCATAAATAAGAAAGAACAACGTCATTTGTACTACCCGAATCGTCTAGGCCATAGATGCCGTCAATACTAAGGTTATTTTGTGTTTCGGCTGCATTTAGTTGCTCGTCACCGAATTCAACCTTATTGGCCACATTGAACTGGTCTGTAAGCTGTACCCGGTAATTAACTAGCTCAAGTCCATCGGAATATTCCCCGTTATTCAATTTATCATTCATTGGAACATTCTCACTTTCAACTGAAATTGGCAGATTTTCCATATCAACTGATTCTCCGCTACACTGGTCCAGGTTGAAAAACGAACTATTCAACGCTTCTCCTTCAGTCAGAGCATTCGGTATTTGAATCAGTTCAATGTTATCTAAACTTTCGACTAATGTTGCAGCTATTGTTGTACTACCCAGGTCATTGTAAGCGGTGGCTATAGGCACGGAAGAGACTTCCTACATGTCGAATTTAAAAAAATAATATTATTTAAATAAAGAATGAATATTTCAAATGGAGAATAAAATATTATACGCTCACAAAGCAACACTTACATCTTTGAGCCATTGGCATTCATCTATCGTAGTGCTAACAAAGGTTTTAATTATATTCGCCAGACTTTCGAATTCCTTCTGGAGATTGAGATCGCTCATGATTGCCGCCAGAATCAGCAAAATGTGTTCACAAATATCTTGTCCCATCAGAGTGCTTTGATTCGTTGCTATCAAAACTTTCGCTTTTTGACACGCACAACAAAAACTGGAAGATATTATACCACTGATGCATTAATTAATTGGAACTGCACTTGAAGGAAGTACGCCTATTTTCATGAAAAATTAACTATTTGGTTCATCCGCTATACTTACCGAACTCCTTTCTGTTCAGCAGTGCACACGGCATGCAATAGACCAATTGGAAAATTTAAACTAACATCGCAACAAACTACGAAGACTCTCTCATTGATTCTTTGCACCAATGGCGTGGCCGAAGACTCACTCATTGACTCTCTGTGCCAACTCAAAAGTTTCCTCCTTTGTTCGTCGGTCATTTGAAGTCTTTTCAAAATGTCTTCTTCAATATTTTGGACTTTGGCTTTGGTTGTGCATGATTCCAATGAGCTCTTCACATGTTTGCAACTGATGTTGACATCATTTGAGTCATATTTACAGGTATCGACATAGCTACATAAACGATTAATTGAAAGAGACTAAAATTATGTGTATGAATGTCAACGAATACGTCGAAATTGTCTATTGTTACCAAATAGCATTTCGGCTGATGATCGAAGCGCTTGCATCCGACGAAATAACTTTGTCTGTGACCGATACAAAATTTCTATAATCAACATCACGGTCTCGAATTTGTACGCTAAATAGTTGTGATTCATCTTTGGTAACCAATTGGATGGAATTGATTTTTGGCTTCAGCTTGGGTTTTGACACCACCTTTGACAGTCTGCAACTCTTATTTTTGCACGCCGTCGCCCGAATTCCATTGTAATGGCTACAGGCTTTACATTTCACAAGACCACGCAGGTTTGGGCGTCTGAGAATTTGTTTAGCATCTAAAAATCATAAATTATTCAATCACAAAATGCTTCCTTTTATTTTTGTAACTTGAAATCTCACCCATTTTCAAGCGGCTGCATTCGCTTTGAAATATGAATTGCGCTGAAATAAAGAAGAAAAAAAAGACAAAATGAAAGAAAAAATTGAATTAAATGTCTTTTAATAAAACAATTGTTTATTGGGCATGAAAATAGTCTACATTTTCGAAAAGATGCAAATATTGATTCCGATAGAAATGAGTGCAATTCCGAAAAACGATAATTTGTTTGGCATCTGCTCCCGCAAGCCCAGAGCGGTTAGTGTTGTGAATAGGAATGTGCATGACTGTGCGATTGGGACGGCCAGTGAAATTTCAGAGCCTTGTAGTGCGTACACATAGAGCAAACTGCCGCTTTGATTGAGCAAAAATGGTAAAATATATTGCCATCTGAGCACTAAAAATTTGAGCTCTAATAATGCTTGATATAGTCTATTGTTAGTATTCTCTGTGGTCGAATGTATGCCCGAAGAACCGCGCTTGATCAATGGATTTGTAACACCCCAAAGAAATCCAACCGCAACAAATGGCACTATTTCATTCAACTGCATCTTATTTACGATTAATTGCGATTGTGAAGCTATTTTTATACATTTACTTGGTTTACTTTGCAATTTCCGTTGTGTTTAACTCCAATGTACAATTACGATGTGGAACCAAAAATTCGTTTCTGCACGAAATGTAAACAGTATTGAAGAGAAAGAAAAAAGCAGAACTGTCAACTGTCAAAAGAGCTAATGTCATAACTTTTCAGTGTTATGGTGAACATAACCTTCAAATATTTTTTTCGATTTTGTTTTGTTCACGTGAAATTTCATCGCTTTTGTCGATTTTCACAAAATGTTTCTACTTTTGAGCATAACTGCGATTACATTCCTGATTGCATTCATCCATATCATCACAAAACCAGTGAGTTTTAATTTATTTTCACCCTAAACAGCGCTTCAGTTATTTGTATCCAATAAACTTAATATTTGCTGACAATTTTCTTTGCAGCTTGTTGCTTTGTTGACATCAGCATCGGCCGAAGAGAAACAATTGGTTCAAGAAATTGCCAAACTGAAGGAAGAGTTGGAGGAAATTCCGATGCGCAAGGAATACACCAGCTATGTGAAAGTGGAACGAAAAATTGTTGTTGCTCAGGGCAAACTGAACGAAACACGCAGTGCAAATCAGACGAAGAAGCTTATGTACTCCTATGGAATCCCTTACGGACTTCAAGCACTACTCTCAGTCCTGCTTTTGTTGATCACCATCGCTTATCGTTATACACCAATTGTCGTTTTCAACGGATCCCAATATGACTTCATACCATTCGGCTCGATTCTACGATTCCCAACTGGAATTGACGGAGCAGTGTCTGTGCCGTTTTGGATATTCGTCAATAATTATGTATCGCGACATGCTGCTTCTTATGTTAAGTAAATTATTGAGATGAAAATAAAATAGAAATATATGAAATTAAAAATTCAACAAAAAGTTGCTATCGTTTATTTCATTTCTCCTGCAAAAATTGGAAAAATGGGAAATTGACTTGATTTTCAATCCATTTAGCCGTGGTGAGTAGTTGTTTCTCTGAATTCTTTGGGCCCATCAATTGTAAGCTCAATGGTAGTTTTCGATCTGATAGTCGAATTGGTATTGCTACTGCTGGAATACCTATCGATACAAACAGAAATTTCAATTTATCACATTTATTCACCTATGTAATGTCAATAAATAGTCTTACCAGCCATATTTGCTGCCTGTGTGCAAAAATCCTGCACCGCACACTGATCTCGATTGCTATTTTGTGTGAACTCCGTAAAAAGTGGCGCATCGCTCAATGTGGTGGGCGTTAAAATGAGATCTACATTTTGTTTCTTGTCTTTGTTGTGAAACACACGCTCGAAATCATTGCTGATTGCCCTGCGTACTTTAAGTGCTTTCAAATAATACCTATCATAATTTTTGCTCAACAAGAAATAATTTCCACACAGTATGCGATTTTTAATAACACTATTGAAACCGATTTGTCGGTTTATGGCGAAAAATTGTTCGGTGCTACTCCATTCTTTGGTGCGATATCCATATTCGATGCCATCATACCGGGCCATATTACTGCTTACTTCACTTTGATTCAGAATTGTGTACACGAATATCGATGACTCAGTATTTGGTAGCGAAACTTCCACAACATTTGCACCGGAATCTTCGAGAATGTCGGCCACTTTGATCCACGTATCCAACACATCTTTTGAAAGGCCATTACAATGATACTCTCTGGGGATTCCAATTCGAATATTTTTCATTGAAATATCATCGGCTTTTGGTATTTCGATTGGACTGTAATGCTTTCGAATGCATGTAGCATCTTTTGAATCTGGACCAGCAATGGCGTTCAAAATTGCAACACAGTCGTCAACGGAACGAGACAAAATTGCTGGTACATCCATAGAATTAACCAACGGAATTAGACCATGTCGCGAAACTAAGCCGTACGTTGGTTTCAAACCAATTAGTCCACAGTATGAAGCCGGATTTCGTACTGAACCGCCTGTATCTGATCCCAAGGCACTGAAATTATGAGTTTGATTTTAGTTTGTTTACCTTTTCATTGTTTTGTTTGGGTTTATAACAAAATGTGTTACTTTTACGTAACCAATACTTGAGAAACTTCCGACTACTCACGCAAAACAACTGCCAGTCGCAACGGCTACGGCCGAACCACCTGAGCTTCCCCCAGCTATGTGACCTTCGTCAGATCGCCAAACGTTTTTGGTTGGCCCAAAAATCGAATCAACTGCTCCTGAGCCCATACTGAATTCATCAAGGTTCGTCTTTCCAATGAGCACCGCTCCAGCATCGTCCAAGCGATCGAATGGCGTTGCATTGTATGAAGGTACGAAATTCTCAAGCATTCTAAAAATAGTGTTTAAAATGAAAATGATTTAAGGAACAGACATCGTCGTCAGTTATCACACCTCGATGCACATGTTGTTGGCAGTCCTTTGACGCAGAAGTTATCCTTTATTGCAATCGGCACACCATCCAATTCACCTATTGCTCTCTCTTTTTGCCATCTTTCTGATGATTGTCGTGCCTTTTCCTCCGCCTGTTCGCTACATACGCTCACGAGACAATTTAAATGCTTATACTTATTGGCTAAATCTAAACAGATCTTCGTCACATCCTTTGGATCAATACTTTTCGTCTTGTAACATTGCACTAACTAAAATAAATTTGAAAACAATTGTCTGATGAAAACTGTAAGTTTTTATTTTTTTTTCTATTGCATTTGTCCATTACCTGATTTATATTCAGCGATACTAATTTATTCATATCTATTTAACATTTAAATATTTGTGGCAATTTTAAAGAGAATATTTTCAACAGTTTCTTCCAGTAAACATAGAGGTTATGTTATGTTTAATCATAAAAACAATGTTTATTGTGTCATTGAAAGATGTGTTGACATTTGAAATGTCATGAGTATTCAACCGCCAAAATAAACATTTACCGCATTCAAGCGATCTGTTTGGTTTCGCATCTTTTGCTCTAAAATTTTTTTCTAAATAATTCGAAATAGTTTGAAAGAGTCTCTGAATCACATAGTGAGATATGACTACACGTACGAGGGGAAAGCCGGCACAAAGCGATCAAAATAAAATCGCAGCTGTTAAGAAGCATATCGACAACCGGGTGTTTCTTCTCGATGGTATGATACAAAATTGAATTTTTGCCTAAATTTGCATTTGATACAATATCTCTCTTTGGTTTTATTTCAGCTAATTTAGCCGATAAGTCATCCGATGACATTCAGATTATTTCGTTGCGAAATCCATCCACAGAAAAAGCATCCAAATACTTATTCGCCAAAGGGAAAAATCAATTTTTCGAACTGTTAAGCTTTAGTGAAGAGCATCGCTGTTGGTTCGCCAACGAATCAGTTTATCCAAATGGCAATATCTATATGACATCACCGTTTGATCCATTATTTTGGGCATTGTACTACATTCGATTGAATTGCTCGGATAAATGCCAACCCATCGATCAAACCATTGTTGATGACAACTTTGCAAATGCACATCTCATTGCCGATGTATTAACGGTGGAGCAATTATCGATGGTAAATTAAGGAATTTCCACATTTCGATTTTAATGGAAAAATTAACACCATTTTTCTCATCAGATTGCCGACCAAAAAGGAGTCGAATCTTTGAAGGCGTTCAAATACAACGAGACAAAAGCAATGAATTGGTTGTCGTTGAAGTGCAAAAAACTGGCGAAAACTTTGAGGGAAAGCAATTTTCATATCGGTGCAAAGTCTACGAACTATGTGAAAACCGAAAAAGTCGGCAACGATCAACAAATTGGTAAAATCTAAAGATATTCGATTATCATTTCATTATTGATTCATCATTGTGATGATTGTGATTACACTTTAACAGATGCTGAGTTTTTGTCGTACGCCTATGGAATTCTCAGCGATTACATCACATTGGAATTATGTGAAAAACTCTCGGATCATCTTGGATTGGAAAAAATTAAGCCAGTTGCTGCGGGCAAACGGAAGTCGTTGATCGAACTGGAAAACAACACATTGAAACGGATCAAAACCGAGGAAGACTTTGCAACCGCCAATATGGTGGAGACCATTTCGCCTCCATCGATTAAGGAGAAAAAAGTCTCAACCAAAGACAAGAAAATGGCCAAGGCTGCCAGCGGCACGAAAAGTATTTCGTCATTCTTCACAAAAAAGTAATGAACGCTTTTTAAAACGTAAAACAATGCGCTCGATTTCGAAAAATTTAAATTTTAAGTCAAAATGTCTGAACACAATCCAAGGTGAAATAAAGACCAAACCTCGTTATTTTTTTGTTTTAAACGGAAAATATTGTTTCCAAATGCTTTTTGCTGCGTTGCAACTTCGACATTTCGGATTCCAATTAAGGCAATAGTATGAGTTTTCTACCCAAGAACCAAATATGGTAAGAAAATGACACATGCACGTTCCATGTGTTGATGCGCACACATCATCCTTCGAATGCTACGCATGTCCAGCAATCAGCCGTAATTGATAAAACCGTACAGCAAATGACACATGGATTCGTAGCTCTGTTTGAAAAGGAACTCGATTAGATGCAATACAGTCTGAAGGAAGCGCTGTATGTTACATACGAATTGTGCCACAACAAAGAAATGGAACTAAGCTGATTTTGCTCAAATTACAGTTCGAAGCAGAAACAAATGGGCGTTGAATGGAGCGGATGAATGCTGAACATACGATGGAAAGCCGTCAAGATTGTCAAGAATTGGTACGAATCTAACTAATGCTTTTTCATTGCTAACAAGTTTTATCGGAATGTTCTCTTGGTACAGTTCTACATGGTGAGAGAGCTGACAGCAATGTGTCCAAAACGCATAAATACGGCATCGCATAAGGCAGTTATCGCATAAATATCGCGCGATAGTTTTCTGCTTGCGTTGCCGCAGTATACGATATTTCAATGGCCGTCATCTTGCGACGCTCGCTTGCGTTCGCTTCGTAATATGTTTTAAGTAATTCGAACGTGCGTCGTAAGACGGCTATTGAAATATCGTTTACTGCGGCAACGCAAGCAGAAAATTATCGCGCGATATTTATGCGATAACTGCCTTATGCGATGCCGTATTTATGCGTTTTGGACACATTGGCTGACAGGCAAGTTACATTTGAACAAAAAGCGAATGCTGAACATGCATCAATGCCTCAAACACCTGACGGTATGATGTTCTTTCTCTTTTTTCGAAACTAGACCATTTCAATATACTTAGTGAATTCCTTTTTGTAGAAACGTTCTGAAAGTCTATTGAAACATCACGACAGAGAAATCAACATTCTACGACCGAAGCAACTGCAAGAGGAAGACCTCATTGCAAAACCAGTCCAAACTAAACATAAATATCTCAATAAATGCCGATTTAATCGATCCCAAATGGAACAAACAAAATACAAAACTTTCGTTTCAATCGAACAGACTTAAGAAACATGAGCAAACTATGATGTCTCTCTAAATTCAACCATGATTTGTTTTGTTCGATTCAGTTCATTTCAAATACTTGTTTTCAAGTGAAAGTTCAATATTATGATTATGTGATTGAAAAGCCGAATCAATTGAATTAATTGAGATGAAGATTGAGTTTTTTTATTCCTTTCGTTTGCCTTATTATACTATCAAACATTTGTTTATATTCTACATGCATTCATTGGGTTTTTTAGTCTATATGGTGCGATCGATGTGCACCAAGCGTCGAAAAATTGATGGAATGGAAAGAAAGAAAATACAATTTACAAGAAAAAAAACTTGACTAAATTTGTGTCTTTGTGTGTGCTTCGTTGTTGTTGTTGTTGTTGTTGTTGCTATTGCTGTTGTTTGTATTGGAAAATTAACAAGAAGTACCGTGTAACACGTTCCGAGTCGGACAGTTGAAGTTCATATGTTCACCCTGAAGCTAATAGCCCCGCGGGGAGCCGAATTCTAGACGACGACGCCGATCTGCTCCCGCCAACGCCGCGGTAATTGCCTCGGCAATTGCCGCTTCTTCTACCTTCTTAGATCTAGAGAAAAAGTCACGAAAAACGAGAAAATAATCCAAATTGGGACACTGATGGTTTCAGCAAACAAAATCTCTCTTCATACAATTCGTTTTCTCTTCAAATCAATCAAGTATCGAATACCTTTCGTGTATACAGTTTGGTGACAGGCACTTCACGTCATCTCCTTCGTGAATTGTATCACAGCCATCACATTTTCGTTTGATGTTTGAGAGTTGGCGTTCTATCTCTTCGAATCGCTTCTTATTATTCGCGACTTCCACCTTTAAGCTCGCGACTTCCAATTCTAAAGTCAAATTTTTCTTCTCCAAAACCTCAACTTGCGCATCTGAAGCCGTCTTATCCGCCTTTAAGCCCGCGACTTCGCCGTTTAAGCGCGTGACTTCGCCCTTTAAGCGCGTGCCTTCGCCCTTTAAGCGCGTGACTTCGCCCTTTAAGCCCGTGACTTCCAATCCTAAAGCCAGATTTTTGGCCTTCAAACCCGCAACTTGCGCATCTGAAGCCGTCTTATCCGCCTTCAAGCCCGCAACTTCCGCGACTAATCTTTTGACTTCCGATTTTAAAGCCACATTTTCCGCCTCTAAAATCGGGATTTTCGAGATTTTCATCTCTAAATCTGCGATTTTAGCTTGATACGCATTATCCACTGCATCAATATTACCGTGGAAACCATCAACATTACTGTGAGCAGCTCTTACTGCAGCTTTGGTTGGATCAATCACGGGTCCACTGTCGTTCAAGCTGCTCTGACTATCATTGTTGCCATTACTAGCAGCTGAATATGGAATTCCTTGCGAAGTCGACATTTGAATGGAAGATAGCTTTTGAAATGGAAAAAGAAACAAATTCAATATTATCAGTAGAGTATCGCATTAAACGCTGTTGTCAAACACAACACAATAGTCAATTCAAAACACAATAATTATTGGATTTGACAAAGCGCGTCTCTTTTGCAAACGCTATTATATTTGCGCATTTTTTCTTCTTCATCATCTTTCGATACAGGTAAATTCAATTTTATTTCGCTTACTTATCACCGATTTGACAGAAGAAAACGCACTCACAAAACTACCAAGAACTGTACCATTGCAGTAATTTAAATTGACTAACTAGAGATAAATGAGAAAAGAAAGAATTGCGAAAAAAAACTTGAAATGAAGAGGCGAACGCAATGAATGTTCGGCTTCGTTTTCTTCTATAACTGTTTCGGCAAAATCAAATGTACGAAAATGATACTAGCTGCTGTTGAAGAAATAGCGCTCTTTTACTACGGCTACACGGGATTTTCATCATAAAACTAACACAAATTTTTTGCGAAATTCTACATTTACCGCACAAAAATTCCACAAAAATATGGGTCGAATGGCAGTTATTTACCTGGTTTTATTGACAAAATCGCAATGGATGATGCTCCAAACGGGCGACTTTATTGAATGCTATTTTTGTCGTTTTGGTTAACAATGCGCACAAATGTTCGGCTGAAGACTACTTGCTATTTTCGAACTATGGTTGCATATTTGCTACATAAAGTATGTATGCGCTGTGCTTGGAATGCGTTCGTGTGTGCGAATGTGTATGTGTGTATTCGTGTGTTTGCGATGTTGTGTGAAATGGTGAAATGGTGTTTTGGTGGGAATAAAACATGCATATACGCCGTGTGTATGTATAGGCATGTAGCATTGTGACCAACTATCAAACAACAGGTGATTTTTGTTTTTGTTTTTGTTTTTTTTTTTCTAATCAAATTGGTGTTTTTTCTGCATGCTAATAAATGCAAATATAATGAAAAAGATCTGTCATGTTTTCGTTCACCTCTGAACATTTCTCTCAAATGATTGAGATTAAATCTGTGTTTTTCGGGTTTGTTTTTCAAATGCATTTCTGTGTTGCAACTTCAAAATTTCGTATTCCAAATATGGCAATACTAAGAGTTTTCTACCCAAGAACCAAATATGGTAGGAAAATGACACATGCACGTTGCATGTGTTGATACGCACACACATATACACGTTCTTTTATCGGAAATATTCTTGACTTTGACAATTCGACAGTATTTTTATGTTTACAAATTCCGTGCGTTTGACGTTGTTTGTTTGCTTCGTTTTTTCGTTGTTCAACCTAATTTTCCCAAAATCAAATTAGCAGAGAAAAAGCTAAAAGAAAGAAAATGGAGTAAGATTTTGTGTTGATTTGATGATTTAAACACGGTGTATGATTTTGTAATTTGAAATCAATTCATCCTTTAATTTTCGATAGTGTTGCAAATGGTGATGAAAATCAACCTTCGAATGCGACGGATGTCCAGCAATCAGCCGTAATTGATAAAACCGTACAGCAAATGACACATGGATTCGTAGCTCTGTTTGAAAAGGAACTCGATCAGGTGCAATACAGTCTGAAGGAAGCGCTGTATGTTACATACGAATTGTGCCACAACCAAGAAATGGAACTAAGCTAATTTTGCTCAAATTACAGGTCAAAGCAGGAAAAAATGGGCGTTGAATTGGAGCGGATGAATGCTGAACATACGATGGAAAGCCGTCAAGATTGTCAAGAATTGGTACGAATCTAACTAATGCTTTTTCATTGCTATCAAGTTTCATCGGAATGTTCTCTTGGTACAGTTCTACATGGTGAGAGAGTTGACAGACAAGTTACATTTGATCAAAAAGCGAATGCTGAACATGCATCAACGTGTCAAGCACCTGAAGGTGTGATGTTTTTTTCTCTTTTTTCGGAACTAGACCATTTCAATATACTTACTGAATTCCTTTTTGTAGAAACGTTCCGAAAGTCTATTGAAACATCGCGACAGAGAAATCAACATTCTACGACAGAAGCAACTGCAAGAGGAAGACCTCATTGCAAAACCAGTCCAAACTAACCCACAGTGATCATCGATTTCGATTCAAAATTAAAATAAAGCAATACATATTTCGTATATTTGTTAAATAAACACATTCAATTAGTGGAAATGATGTGTTTCGTTTCATATCTACTTTCGACAGTATGATCGATTGGACTGAATTTCAAATTGACAGCTCAATTCTATGCAGTGAAGCTTTTTCATTCATAAATAGGAAAAATACCACATATAAGAAATCCTTTGAATAAGGCTTCTCAGACGGAGAATTCGATAATTTTTCGATTCCAAAAATAAAATCGTCCACTTCAACAATTTTGTGGGCAATAATTTTGTGTGGAACATCTCCGCCAGTACTCATACACCTGAATCATAATAATCCATTTGTGATTGTGATTTCAATTAAAACAATTTGAATTATTTTTCAGATATTTATTCATACCGTTAGTAAAATACGGTAAAATTTCTTAAAAAATGAGGTAGCAATCGGGTTGATAAATATATTTTCATCGATTTTTGTACTTATTTCCAATCGCATGACAAAACATAAATTGTAAAACCACGAATACAAAATGGAACACATACGGGCGAGTAAGTTAGATTTTGCATTGTTACCGGTTCGTTGATTTAACACACAGTTCGGCAAATGAGTCTTCAATACTTTGTAGATTGATGTCGATTTCTTGATCCATCAACAAAGCTTCTTGATAGGTTGGAAGTCCAGCATCTTTTAAGAAAATGTAAAAATAATTATGTTGAAAATTGGCGAGAATATGTATGAAATTCTATCTCTACACAAACCATCGTCGGGGAAGGGAGGCGGTGTACTGGTATAAGTTCGAACCGACACTGTATCGTCATCCGGAAAAACTGGAGCTGATGATTCCAATTGCGGAGGTTCCGTTGGATGAATAGCTGTCGCTAAGGCAATAGGTGGAGCACTAAGTAACGTTCTTCGAGGATGATTTTCTGTTGCGGTACCGTAGAATGGTATAGTTCCAATTGTTATTGGTAAACTAAGTGAAACGGCAACTCTCTGGCTTTCTCTGAAATCTCTGGCTGTGCCTTTTATCTACAAAATGATTGCAACAAATGAGAAGTTCATTTGAAAAAAATTATGGGATTCGGCAAACTTACCGACACTACGTATCCAATTTTGATGATTCTACTCGATTCAGTATCTGTGGGTGGGATCATTGGTGGTACCTTGATGCTAACAATAGGAAAAGTTTTATATTGTTGCTTTCCACATATCCAACTACCACAGATCCGTTTTTGTACCACCGTATACTCAGTTTTTCCCTGTTCGCTGTTTGTCGACTTTAAATACATGGTTTGCTGTAAAGTAAACAGTAAATCATGCATTGGTGAATGTATCATACCGCGGTTTATATTCTACCTACCCTCAGAATGTATACAGCAAAGTGGTATACTGGATAGTGAGTTGTGTTATTAACTGAAACTTGAACATAAATACTTTGACCATGAGCATATCCACCGGACGGTAAATGAGCTGAAACACAAATTTCTCCAGAATGTCGTAATGTCTGTGCTTTTCTCTCAGATACTGGACCCTAGAAAAGAGCATATACAATGTACACATTTATTTGTTGTTCAACGTAGGATTGAATGAAATGGTAAAATTTACTCGTATTGCTGGAAAATCATTCAAATTGACAGGCTTAAACACGAAAAATTTCTCTTCGAATTTTTTATCCGGCCACAATGGTATGCGAAGAACAACATTTGCAGTATATTTTATGTGACCATAAGAGCCCGAAAACGATGATGGTATATCAAGCGGTAAGGTACATGTGAAACTGTAATCATACGTTCCGACTGGCAAAACTTGATTTTCACCTATCAATAAACGTATTTCCAATGTTATATTTTGTTTACAATCTAAGAAAGGCACACTGAACCACACGAAATTCGCCGTTACCGTTTCCATCTACTAAACACTTTCTTAAATCCAAAACATCCTCATCTGCTGTGTAGTATCCGTTTATGAAGAAACGCACATGCGCCGTTCCACGCAAATGAATGTAAATTCCACGAACTTTTATTTCTTCTCTCAACTTTAGTCGCACTGTTATGTGCAACTTTTGACCCGAGAAAACAATCTTTTGTGCATTGTTCTCAAAATTGATTAGACATGTGGTTGGCATTCTAAAATGTAACGTCTATTCCTATTTTCACACTATTTAGCTCCCCTCATGAAAGAATCAAACGTTCTGTTTATTGATTACACAAACATATTGCAAAAATATTACTTTACGTATCAATTATTGAATTTGCACAAATCTGCATTGCTATTGGTTTGATGTTGTTGCACATTATTCCTGAAACTTGAACCAAATTTCTACTCGTAGAATGGAATGTTGAACGAAAAAACGCAAATAATTTCTAGTAAATTTATTTATCGAATGAATACGAGAAAGTGGCAACACGTCTGAATTTCATACCATCCACATTTAAACTGGGATAAGGAGTCGAGAGGCAATGTGCTTGCGATGCGGCGTGCGTACTCAAATGTTTTTCTTTCGAAAAAGGAAAATATACTAAACTTACGGACTTTGCGTGCATTGTACCAAGCATGCGATTTCTTTCGTTTATGGTACAGAACACTGACGAACCGTCATAAAGTCAACAGTTGGACACAACTATTTCATATTTAATGAAAGAAGGCCATGTTTGAATATGTTCAAATTATAACTATTGGAATTCTGTCAAATATGTATTTCAAATTCAAATAATAAGAATAAGAACTCAAAAATACCAACATAAATCAATTTTTCTTATTGAGTCTGACTTTCTATTTCTGCGACACAAGATGCATTAGTTCTTACAAAACTTAATGGGAAAACAAATAAGTAGGCCAGATTCAACAATGTTGCAACACTTGCTGGTTGCAAAAAAAAAATGAGACAATAGCTGCATCAATCAATGATAATATAGGTTATTCATTTATTTTTTTACTATTACTCTTACTCCATTTAGAGAATTAACCGATCTTACGAATATATAATTTATATTTTTAGAATATTTCTGCGTTCAGTACAAAAAAAACAACAAACACAAACGTATGCCACTGCCAACGCCAACCGTTTGAGAAATATTTCTTTATATTTCTTATCGTTCATCTACACTAGACTGTTTTCCATATCTGCAAAATATAAAAGGTGTGCTATCAATTACCGATCATGATATTCAGACTTCTCGAAAAAACTGTTATAAAGTTAATTATTGAAAGTCAATTGCTACTCAGTGTAATAAACAAATACTTGCGTGAGGCTAACTTATGTAGCACAAACGGCGATCGGCCGCGATTATCTGCATTCTTTTGTGCACATATGCAAACAATATCCCATTATTCTGGAAGTTTTTATTAAAAACAAATAAATTATATCTGAAAATTGACTATATAAGCAACAAGTCTGTCGACTATGACTTTAGTCCGGTTCTTTTTTCATAGGCTTATCATTTTCGAGTGTAAAACAGTACATTGTTAACGGCACAACGGTTCATTCGGAATTGAGACGGTTCAAAAAGGCTATTGTTTCTACAGAGGGGTCCGTTCAAATATTCCAATATGAAATAATACTTATATCCATAAAAAAAGTACAATTCCGAATTGTAAAAATGAGTACGGCACATGGCAGTATATTATTGGGACGTTATAGAAGATTGATTGTGTTTATGTTCAGTGTTATTGGGATATCCATTCTCTTTCTTGTTGCCTTTCATAGGTAAAAAGCAACGTGCAATTTAAAAACCAAACACTTATACGTAATGATCAAATGCATTGTACTTTACTGAACTCGGTTTTGGTAGCGATAAAATGCTTCGACTTCATTGCAATTCTGGCAGAGTTAATACAATTCTCTTTTTCTTGCTGTTCAACTGAATAAAAATAACTGATATTTTTAGTTCATAACACTAAGTCATGTTCAGAAGAAGAATAAAATACTTATTTTGATAAGGATTGTTTTGCAGTAATTTCGAATACGGCTCAAATGATCGCCATGAATTGGAAGCTTGTCCACCAACTCCACCTAATCGTCTTGGCAGAATCCTCATCGATTTGGAAGAAGAGTCTCTTGACATCGTCGAGTCGCGTCTGAGCCTTTCGTTGCAGCCAGGTGGTTGGTTCGCACCAAAAGAATGCAAGGCAAACGATCGTGTTGCTATAGTTGTGCCGAAGCGTGGACGAGATCAAATGCTGCCAATCCTGCTGAAAAACCTCCATCCAATGCTGATGAAACAACAGATTGAATATGGAATCTATGTCGTAGAACAACCCACCGGCCAAGACTTCAATAGAGGAGCTCTATTTAATATCGCCTTCAAAGAGGCACTAAAGATGAAAGAATGGGATTGCTTCATTTTTCATGACATCGATATGATCCCGTTCGATGATCGAAACTTTTATAACTGCCCATCAAATAAAGGTCCACGACACATGGCGGTTAGTCTTGATAAATGGGAGTTCAAGTGAGCTGTCTCAATGCCCTTATTAGTAGTAATGTTCTAAATTATCTTATTCATTATCGTTAAATTCAGACTTACTACCGAGTACCGGAATTACTTCGGTGGTGTTGTTGCCTACACAACGGAACAATTTGAACGAATAAACGGGTTTTCGAATCTATTTTGGAACTGGGGTGGTGAAGATGACGACCTGTTTAAAAGGTGATAAAAATGGATTTGAAATCGAATTGGTGAGTGTTTAGTATTTTATTTTTAGATCTAAAAGCGCTGGTTTCAAACTTACAAGACCAAGCGCTGATATTGCTGTCTACCAGACACTTCCACATCCTAACGAGAAACGCAACCCTGAACGGTAACAGCCAAATGGATATTCTTAACGAACTTATAGAATTCTATTCATTATTTATTCGTTATCATTTTAAGGGATGATCTATTGGAAAAGTCTGAGGAATATTCAAAATTCAGTGGTTTAAATTCGTTGGAATACCAGATAAAATATTTCAAAATCAAACCAACTCACGTACATATCTTTATTGAACATGATATTGCAATGAAGGCTAGTCAAACATGAATTTTATTTTTAAAAATATCTGCAAAATATTTGGTTTTTTAAACCCAACAAAACGCAGCAAGCAAAATTGCGGCATCCGTCCACAAATAAGAAATGACAAAAACATTTATTTTCAATATATACATATGTATAAATAATCGACAGAATTGAAACCAATCGACAGACTACTAAGCAATAGTCTTCACAATCAGTCTGAGCGAATAGGCTGCAAACGATGGAAGAAAACGTTGAAATAAATGACGGCTGCGATCATCTGTATTTTGGTTCCACAGGCTGTTTGCATATGTAGAAACAACGTATTATTTTTATTGCAATTTTTCGTTGCCATTCTGCAAATCGACTGTGTCTTTAGTCTTAATGTGTTTTTGAAGAAGAAAACATGAAGAATTTTTAATTTTATAAACTTATCGTTTTGAAGTGTAATACCTACAAAGTTCTGATCTAAAATTTAAGTTAATTTAATAAGACATTTTCTATGGTCGGACATAATACTACTAATATTCAAATACAATAACTTTCCAAATTGTAAAAAAATGATTACTCAATGTATCAAATTTTTTGATCATTACAAACGACTAATTGTGATTATTATTGGTGTTAATGGAATATTCACTCTCTTTCTTACCGCATTTCATAGGTAATGAATAACGTGAAGAAAATTAATAATGATCAAAATTATTGGATTTGACTTAACTTTGGTAGCAATGAAATGTTTTGGCGTAATTGGCAAATTTAATATGAATCTGTTTTTCTTGCTGTTCAACTGAATGCAGCCGATTTAGAGCTATATATTGTATTTAATTTCTAACTCTAAGACTATGTCGCGTTCAGAAGAAGAATAATCATTTTGACGATGAATTTTCTACAGTAATTACGAAATACCAACACAGCGAATTTCAATACTGAAGGAAGAAAGCTCGAACAATTGCCATGAATTAGAAGCTTGTCCACCAACTCCACCTAATCATCTTGGCAGATTCTCCATCGATTTTGAAAAAGAGTCTCTCTACATCGTCGAGTCGCGTCTGAGCCTTTCATTGCAGCCAGGTGGTTGGTTCGCACCAAAAGAATGCAAGGCAAACGATCGTGTTGCTATAGTTGTGCCGAAGCGTGGACGAGATCAAATGCTGCCAATCCTGCTGAAAAACCTCCATCCAATGCTGATGAAACAACAGATTGAATATGGAATCTACGTCGTAGAACAACCCACCGACCAAGACTTCAATAGAGGAGCTCTATTTAATATTGCTTTCAAAGAGGCACTAAAGATGAAAGAATGGGATTGCTTCATTTTTCATGACATCGATTTGATTCCGTTCGATGATCGAAATCTTTATAACTGTCCATCGAATGAAGGTCCACGATACATGCCTATTGGCATTAATATATGGGATTTCATGTGAGCTGTCTTAATGCCTTTATTTGTAGTATATTTCCTAAATTGTTTTATCCATTATCATTAAAATCAGACCTAGGGATGGAAACCAATGCGGTGGTATTATTGCGTTTACAACGGAGCAATATCAAACAATAAACGGATTTTCGAATCTATTTTGGAACTGGGGTGGTGAAGATGACGACCTGTGTGAAAGGTGATGACAATTGATTCGAAATTGAATTAGTATTTATTATTTCATTCTATTTTTAGATGTGATTTTGCAGGCTTTAATGTTACAAGGCGTAGCGTTGATTTTGCCGTCTACCAGATGCTTCAGCATCCTCAGGAGGTATTCAATCCTAACCGGTAACAGTCCATCAAATATTTTATATGAAATTATAGAACTGTATTTATTATTCAAATGTTGTCATTTTTCAGGTTTGACATATTGGGACAGGCTGCTAAATACAACAACGTCAGTGGTTTAAATTCGATAAAATACCATATACAGGAATTTAAAATCAAACCAACGCACGTTCACATTTTTGTCGATCCTTCTATTGTAAAGGAGGTTAGTCAAATATAATAGGGGTGTTGCTACAGGTTGAGAATCGTCATTTTTTTGTAGTAAATGTGATTACGGGACCACCTGAATAGCTGTAAAAGTCTTACTTTTAGGCCTGTTCATTTTTAAGTTGGGTTTCGATAGAATCAACGTTTGTTTTGATATACTTTCAAAAATCCGTGACATTTTTTGAAAAAACATTTCTTTGAAATTATTGCCGATCATCATAAGGTGACGAGATTTTCAACACCTTTAGAAAATTGATCAAAAAGTTTGGTTTTGCAAAGCAATCGCGCAAGTGTTTTAGGCGAAATTATAGCTCTGAACATTATCTATCCAACGGAACCATACACTCTTCTAAATGTTTACGTTCGACAAAGTTATGACAAAAACAACAAGTGTTCCCAACCTGCAGCAAAGTCCCCTATGATTACCCAAGCGCGACTCCACACTTAGCTTCTAAATGTGACACCGTAGTAAGTGTGGGCAAACGTTTTGCGGATAAGCGACAAAGAGAATGGAAACAAGTGCGCGTGTGGTAGTGAGTAGCCTGATGCGATGCTTCTCAATGTAGCGACTAATACACGCGCACTTGTTTCCATTCTCTTTGTCGCTCATTCGCAAAACGTATGCCCACACTTACTACGGTGTTACATTTAGAAGCTAAGTGTGGAGTCGCGCTTGGGTATATATAATTAAGATATCGGCAAAATTATTTGATTTTTTTAGGAACTCGCCAAGATGTATGGATAACTTCAGTCTCATGTTGAAAAAAGTGAAGCCAAGATTAAAAGTCAAAACCTCTAACATATATGATGGAAACAAAAATATATAAACCTTTTTTTATTACAATTAATTTTGTTAATTTATTTCTACAACATTATTTTACACTAAAGTTCATGTCTTCGAGAATGTTTTCACATCGTTTGCATATCGATTGATCTGATGAAATAGCAAAGCGACGACATCGATCGCAAAGCTTCTTCTCGATGTCATGTTTTTCTATACTCAATTTAGCACTCGGCGATTGAAGCAATTGGACAGATTGCACCTGTAGAACTTCGCACAAATGCGAATCGTTATGCGTTTGTCCGTCACTTGGATGTAATTTCTGAAGAAATATTGGAAGAATTTTAGTATTTGGTTTTCATTTTATTTGTTTTTTTTTTTTAATTCTATTCAAATATGCATACCTGCAGTTCTTGAATTTGTTCAGCCGTACCAGATATTTTCACATCGAAATTCCACGTGGTTTTCGTTACATTTTCTCTCAGTATTCCAGCTACCTGTTTCACAACCTTCATAGCCTCATCAAATTCGGAGTTATGCCAATCACTTGGCACGGTAAATTGATGCTTAAAAAATGAATCTGTCTTACAATAATAGCTCCATACCTCCTCCACTAAATGTGGTACGATTGGCCAGAGCACTTTATTCAAAATGCAAAATTGTACGAATAGAACGTTTAATGACTGTTTAGTCTCTTGCAGGGGATTCGAGTAAAGTCTGTCTTTGATGTTGTCGATGTAAAAGGCAGACAAATCATCCGTGACGTATTTGTTTATGTTATTGATATAAACTGGAAACCGATGATTTGATGCTAGATACTCAGCCTTTTCATCGAATTTCGCTAGTGAATTCAGAATATACGTGTCTAATGGCGAAAGTGCATTGAGATCAATGTTGAACTTATGGCTTTTCTGCGCATCGGTAGATTCCAATTTCTCAACATATCCAACCAAGTATCTCAACACTTTGCGAATCTTCTGGATTGCATTGGCCGATTCTTCGAATAAATGCGGTTTCACTGACAATGGTGATTGACCAATGAGATGGGCTGCCACCCACCAACGAAGTGTATCCACATTATGATTTTCTATTATATCCTTTGGATTTATCACATTTCCCAGTGATTTTGACATTTTTATTCCTTTTTCATCCACGGTGAATCCATGCACAAAAATTGACCTATAAAATGTGGGGTAGACGGAAGATTTTCATTGAGTCAAGAGTTCAATAGATTGATTAACCGATTTTTTTTTGTCAAATTATTATTACTTGAATGGTGATATGCCTCTTGCCGCCACACTTGTGATTAAAGACGATTGAAACCAACCAGTGAATTGATCATAGCCTTCTAAGTACAAATCAGCAACGTTTGGTTCGTTCAATGCATACGACCATGAAATGCCGGAATCAAACCAAATGTCAAGAATGTCCTGAGAAAGGGAAAATTTGTTCAAAATTAAAATAAAATCGAAAATAATATTAAAATGCGCATGAACATAATGAATTGAACTCGTTGAAACGAATAAGTGCATTGTATGCTTACATTTCCCTTCACAATATCATCCGCCTTCAAATTCAGTCTCTTCAGTTCATCCGCTGGTATCAAGTCTTTAACATCTTTTGCCCACCAAAAATCAATCGTTCCATCCCGTTGGAGTAATGTGTTGATGTGATTGATAATATTCTCCGATGTGATAACTTCACCGGTGTCCTTTCTATAGAAAACTGGTATGGGAGTTCCCCACACACGTTGCCGTGAAATGCACCAGTACGGTCGTTGCTTGATTTTCTGTGACAATTGATTGTCACCGCTTTTCTCCACCGAAGACGTAGTGTAGATATTTATTTTCTCAATTTCAGCCAGTGCCGAATCACGAATGGCCAAAATGTCTATGAACCATTGGTGTGTTGCATTTATAATAACGGGCTGCTTCGTTCTCCAGTCGATTGGGCAGCTGTGGGTTATCGAGCCCAAGTGAACTGTATCCTCTTTGATATGGTCTAAACAAAGTCGATTTCCATCAGCGACAATGTCTTTGCCTTGAAGGAAATCTGGTGCGTCACGATTGTATTTGCATTGAGTGTCGACCAGACATTTCTGTAAATCCAAACCGAATGTAAGTTAAAAATGAAACGAATAATAACACAGTAGGGAATTGTTAAACTCATCATAATTCATTGAATAAAGTTGCATCAAGTTGATCACTTACAACCGGAATTTTCTCCGCCAAACACACGAGATAATCGTCGAAACCGTGCGATGGAGCTGTATGTACTAGGCCTGTACCAACGTCAGCTGTAACATGACTACCCTTCAAAAATGGCAGCTCCGTGCTTTTGTCTATCGGATGCAAATATGTACAATTTTCAAACTCTGCGCCATTCAAACTCGCGACTTCTTCTAGATTAAATGATTCCAGTGATTCTTTAAGTTTTGGTATCAGGTCGGTTCCAATGATGTAATATTCGGGTGCATCATTAAGTTTTACCACCGAGTACTGCAGACTAGAATTATAGCAAATGGCCTGATTTGCTGGAAGTGTCCAAGGCGTTGTGGTCCATATCAAAGCATATAAATCACCATATTCATCGTATTTTTTCAGCGCATCCGACACATCGTTCAGTTTGAATCGAATGTAAAGCGATGGACTGACATGATTTTTGTTATATTCTAATTCAGCTTCGGCTAAGGCGGTCCTAGATTTCAAATCAAAAATCCATTTGAGTTTTATTTATTAAAAAAAACATTACTCATTAGCGTTCTTGAACTTACTTTGATGACGGTGACCAATAAACGGGTTTCAAATCTCTGAATATTAAATTTTTGGCATACAACTGATGGAATAAATTCAGTTGGTTTGTCACATAGGCAGCGTCATATGTTCGATACATATTTTCCATTTTGTTCCAATCGGCTGTGATGCCCCATGATTCAAATTCTCGCTTTTGGTCTTCGATCGTTTTCGTTGCAAAATCTCTAGCTAAACGAACATGATTGGATTGTTTTGAACAGAGATGGAGTAAATGTATATCAATTCGTTGAATTTACTGTACTCGGTACAGTACGGTATATTTACATTGATTTACCTTTGCGTTAAATAACGCGTCCGCTCTCACTAAAATATGAGTTGACGCATGTGCTCCGCGCGTTCAACGCAAAGGTAAACGTTTAAGTATATACCGATACACATTTCCATACACTTGCGGTAAACGATCAACCATCTCTGGTTTTGAAAATGGCTTGGGAATTACTCAAACAACTATCAAATTTGAAAGAACAATCTGCACATATTGTCAATAAACTTAGGAATGGAAATTTAAATAAACCACTTCAAAAACTATACCATTTGCACGAATCTCCAATGGACTCATTCCTTCTTTCACTGATTTCGCTTTCATTTCAATTGGCAGTCCATGACAATCCCATCCCGGCCGATAGTGTACTCGGTGCCCGTTGACGATTTGCAAACGAAGAATTATGTCTTTTGAAACCTGCAAAATGGATAAAAATGTGAATGAAACTGTTTCCATATTGAAATGGGTGATCTATATTTGGTGAGTGGGAACCTTATTTACAGCATGACCCATGTGAAGCTCTCCATTTGCATACGGCGGTCCATCATGCAAAACAAACTCTTTCCCATTCAAATGTTTACGTTGCCATTCATACAGTGGCTTCATGTGTTTCTGTAATTGGATGACATTCAATCGATCAATGAAAAGTTTGTCGCATGGAAATTCTCTATCGATCGCTCATACCTCTCTGATAAGACCATCATGTTCGGCTCTTTTCGTCTTCTTAACATAGGCCGGAAATTTTGTCACTGGCATGTTCAGTGTTTTTGAATAGCTCGTTGCGAACTGGCGGCATTGTAACCAACAATTTCGACTCGTTGGATGCAACAAAATTTGGTAAATTAATGACATATTTATCACAGAAAACAAGAATTAAAAAATCATTCAACAATTCAAACCAAATGAACTGGTCATTACGTTAAAAGAGGCCGAACAAACTATGAAGACTGTGGTTATGATTAAATGATAATCTATTGTTATGACATTTAACTGTGGTTCACCTAACCACACTTTTTCAAAGCGATTTCAGAACGGTCGCGCCAAATTCAAAATGTACTTAATTGAACACTGGAGCAGAGAATCGAGTGTTTGTTCGTTTTTTTTTTGTTTGAAAAAAAAAATACAGGGTTTAGTAATAGTTAAAAATCAACAAGCAACCAGACGAATTGAATTCGAAAATGAATTAAAAGAAAAACTAACTTTGAAACATATAACATTTCTGCATTCAGCCATTTAAGCAATCAGACAGGCAGGCAGTCAATCAAAATGAGTTTGAATAAATCTATAACTGCAAATAATCCATATGCCACTCATTGCCATTCTTGCAAAATGGATAGTTGCCACAAATAAAGATAATGAAACAAATAAATTGTTGTTACAAATCAAATAACAAAAGTTGCGATAAAACTATACACATTTTCGGGAGAATCATTTATTTTTTCTGGATATATCATATGCACTAAGATATGTTTATTCAAATACCACTTTATTGATTCACCAAGTGATTAACATGAACAACGTTTTCGTTTTCTAGAAGATCGTTTTGGTTCCGGTTCCAAACTCAAGCTCGCAAAGTCTGGAACATCACTCTAAAATGTAAATTGATGAACAATTGGTTTTTTTATTGATTTATATTTGCGTACACAGGCACATACATACCTCATTTATTTGCGCTATTGCTTTTTGAGCAATGGTCTCGAAAGCAAGTTGAACATTGACACCTTCTTTAGCCGATGTTTCAAAGTAGGGAATATTGTTGTGTTCTTGACACCATTTCTCGGCATTTCTCGTAGATATCTTTGGGGAAAACGTATTATTTGCATTTGATTCGATGATAAATAAACTTATTCACTTTGTGACTTGTTACAAAGAATCTAAAACATGTTAATTACCACTCGATTTTCCAAGTCAATTTTGTTGCCAACAATGACGAACGGGAAGCTATCCGCATCAGGTGGATTGGCTTGCACAAGGAAGATATCTCGCCATGTTTCCAAATTTTTTAGGCTATTTGCATCCGTTACATCAAATACCATCAAACAGCAATCGGCTCCACGATAGAATGCAGTTCCCAGCGACTGATACCGTTCTTGACCTGTGAATTTATTGTGTCAGTTGAATTGAACCGAAGTTGAGAAATTTTAATACATACCAGCTGTATCCCAAACCTGGTAATTAATCGGAACACGAGAAATATAAAAAACGCAAACATTAAAAAAAAAGACTTTCATGAAAATTAAAGTCAATCTGTGTATCAAAATGTCCTCAATGTGATTTTTACCTGCAAAGTAATGACACGATCGTCAATCATTACTTCCTTTGTTAAGAAATCAACACCGATTGTCGCTGAAATGTACATTAAACGTTAGTCTTGCTTCAAATTTTCCACTCAAAAAGAGAACCACTTGCAACCACCTTTATATTGATTCGAGAACTTCTGACTCAAATATCGATTCATTAGAGACGTTTTGCCAACGTTCGGATCACCAAGTAGGATGATCTTCAACAGGATTTTTCTGCGGCTGGCCATTGTTTAAATTCTTCACACGTCAAAATGATAAAATAGCAAAAATATGGAAACAACCACTTGTTCCAGTGATTCTGATTTCAGCTCAAACTGTAATAAATTCTGAATGAAATAATAAACTCGAGCTAAAACTGTGTGAATCATTTCTGTGTGAATCATTTATTTTTGTTTTAAATTATTTTTCGAATTTTCATTTCTTTCTTATGAGTCAAAAATTATTCACACTTATCAGAATATTCGTTATGTGTATTTTAAATCGAGATGCACTCTTTTGGGTGTATTAGTTGCTACGAAATATTGATAGTATTAGTTGCTCAAAACGCTGGCAGATTTTTTATAATTCTACTATTAAATAAACGGCACTAGCAACAATAGTCAAATCAAATAAATTAATTTACTCATTTCAATTTTAGCAAAGTATTAATAAATTTTTGGCTGCGACTAACTGAATATGTGCCACCATACCACGAAGCGGATTTGAACTATCAAATACACCCATGCTTTTTGCATACTTTTCGAGTTGTGACGACTATCTAAAGTTGATAAAAACTGCTGTTATTTCTCCGAAGTGCTATGTGATTATTTAGTAGAGAGAAAATGTCAAAATGTCGTTCATTACATTTATCCAATTATTAAAAAACAAAATGAAAATGGGAGAGCATGCAATTTTATTCGTTCAAGGGAATTAAGGTAACAACTGTTTTTCATAATCAAATAGAATAAATCGTTGGCGATTCACGAAAACAAAGAAGTGTTTTCTAGTTCGAACAATTTTTAACAAATCTCAATAAAATGCAATTTTTCATTGAGCTTCCTATTACATATTAATTTAATTATTCAAAATCATATTTTTGATCGACTGACAAGTTTTATAAACTGATGTATAGCTTAAAAAAGGTGAAAAATGAAGAAAATATCTACTTCATCTTTTTACGCCTTTTTGCGAGTTTTTGCGAGTTTTGCGAGCGCGAGTGCTCGTAAATCTTCCCTTGTCCAATTCGGAATGGTTAGTATTGTGTATATGACTTTTAAACCTCAAGACAGAAAAAATCAAAAGAATGCTCGGGATCCGGGCCCTGAGTTAATGATTTTGGAACGCAGTGAATTTCCAAATGCGGTGACAATATAAGCGGAACCGATGTTTATCGCTAGTGTGTGAATTCTAAAGCACGATAAGAGGATTTATCCACATGAAATGTCTTCAGAAAATCCAAACATACTGCTTACCATTTCAATTATATAAACATGAAAAAATTTCATCAAAACAATAACAGAAACAAACAAATAAACTTGACAAATTCAACTTGACTTTTAAAAAAAGGGAGCATCCATTCATGAGCGTAAAACTGTGTCGTTCGTTTCATCTATCCCGTCGAATGAGTCTGTGTTTTTCGATTGAATTCTATTTTATTTTGGCTTTTGTTTATACAATTTATATCGAAAAGTTTGCTTTGGTATATGTGCCTCGTTGTTGTTTATCCTTTAAAAAAAGTCAGTATTTTGCCACTCTGCATCAGTTGTAGAAGTCAGGATAGTTGATTTCCCTAAGATAGACATTTAAAATAATTTCTGAGTCGTTTATTTGAACTTGAATCCTTTTGAATTTCTGAAGACGAAAACGAAAAGTTGGCCTTGAACAGGCATCCGCTTCTTGAGAAAAACCAATGGCTGCCGATCGAAAACATTCTTTCCCTGTGGATTTTTTGGATTTAAAACTAAATTGATAATTTAGAATCGAATACATACCAGCCGTATCCCAAATCTATGAATTGTCACAGCAATTGAAAAAAGAATTCGAAAAAAACGTCAACTATTTTTTGGAAGCTAGTCGAATGGAAGGACTTTTGAAAGTTACCTGCAAGGTAACGATATGGTTGTCAACCACCACCTTTTTTGTCAACAAATCGACTCCAATTGTTGCTAAAATGTGATACAAATCAACCGTGTTCGTTATAGTTAAACATGCAGCTAAGTTTCGATGCTTCGAAATACGTACCATTACAATTGTTACGAAATCCTTTTCTCACATACCGCTTCAACAGTGAAGTTTTACCAACACCATCATCACCTAAAACAATAATTTTTAAAGACACTTTTTCTCTTTTAACCATTTTTTCACGCTTATTTACTATTCTAAGTGATAGAGAACTAAAATGGAGAAAGTACGTTGAAGCAAAACAAAAGATTTGTCAAGAAAGGGCTACAGATTTGGCATCAAGTACAGTAGGTTAATTAATTGTTTATGACTCAAAAGGTTTATGGTTTTTCACTCATACAATTTTCAGAAAAAAATAATCGTCAAATATCCCATATGGGATTTTTTTTCTATAAAATATTTTTCTTACGTTTGTAAGCTTCGGTCGGCTCATAGTAGCTTTGCTAGTTGTAAACATTTTTATCGAGCAATTTAAATTCCATAAATCACATCGAAAACAACAAAATTGAACGCAATAAATGATGATAAATGTATGACTTTCGTTATGAATATCATGGTGGTGGGAACTTTTACTTCAGTACGGTGGACTTCCTCGCATAACAAACTCTGTTTTATTCAAAAAATTTCATTTTCGTTCAAACGATGATTGAAAATATTTTCCCGTATTTTTCTATATGTTCATATAGACACTAATTAATAATGGTATCTTTTACCGTCGATCTTCAATTGTGCCTAAATAACGAAATAAGAAAAACTAAATTGTGATATTTTCAGTTATGTAGATGCAATGTTGTATGTGACAAAAAATTACTGTTCGATCGCGCAATAACAACCTTACTTCTGTCGAACACTATGGACAAACAAATCGAAAACACAATTGTAAAATTAAAAAAAAAATGAATTAAAAAATTGCACTCAAAATAAACACATATCAAAACGCATCGTGCATTTGCTTGATAACATGTAAAATCTTTATTTAATATTAATACACCTACAAATATGTCAATTCATACTTCACACCCTAAATATCTGTATGTTCATCATTTTATTTTTTGTATCTATGTTTCGACTTTTCTTTTTCATTTATTTTATTTATAATTTTATTCATTTATTAAATCTTATTGTAATCATAACTAACGATTCAAAGATTAATTTTTTTTTGTTATCCTTCATCTTCTTCTTTTAATATTTTACGAAATATTTTTCAACTGAATTTTTCTTCACAAAACAAACAAAATGAATAAAAGAAAAGACTGAAAATCAAATCGAAATCAAAAACAAAATAGAGAGAGAAAAGTAATGTTAGGCAGAAATCTTTTAAATTTAAATGTTAACCGAGTTTGTTTCGATGGAGACATGTAAATCGATCGTCGCTTTTGGTTCTTGGTCGAACTGAATGACGGAAAAGAATGAAATTCCATGCGTTGTTTTGTATCGACATTAAAGGTAAAAGATTGTTGTTGTTTTTTCATACGCAATATAATTTTTTCTAGATCGCATTTTTATTTATATCATTTAATTTGTTGAATGTTTTATTTTAAAGAAGTATGAAATAAAAAAAGGAGTCCTATTTGCATTAGCCTGTCGTGAATTATATATATGAACCAAGTGTAGTGTATGAAATTCACACGATTAAATGGTTGTTTAGTTGGTTGGTTACTATAATTATCCTTTACAATTGTTTCATTTTCTGTGTGTGTGTGTGTGTGTGTGTTCTTTCATTTCTCTTGATTTATTACATTGGATTTGCAGCACTACTGTAGTGATCAGGTGGTTATGGTGGTTGTTGTTGTTGTTGTTGTTGTTGACGTCACTTGTATTCATATATGTTCCGGATGTTTCGTGCATTCACTGCGACTTTTAACTTATTCATATATCCTTCATTTTATTTCCTTTTTTTGATTCTTGATTTTTTTTTTTCATTTATTTTATTCTTTTTTTTATTTTGTAGTTATTTCCTTTTTGATCTTTTGCCGCTATAGAAATTTATTAGCATGGACAGTTATCAGAGTTTCTGGGCCGATTGTTTTGGTTCGACTCCAATTGGATTCCCGGTGGAAAATCGTTGAAACCATCCTAAAATTAATTGGTTTTTTTTTCATTAGTTTCTTTTTTTTCAAATGAGGAATTTAGTTGATTCGCAGAGATTGCGATTGATTGTTATACTCACCTCACTCTCTTGAGCTAATGCATTTTTGGCAATCGTTTGGAAAGCACGTTCGACATTGATACCTTCTTTAGCCGATGTTTCGAAGTAGGGAATATCGTTTTGCGATTGACACCATTGTTGAGCCCGTTTTGTGGATACCTACAAGCACAAGTGTTGAACGATTTGCTCACAGAAAAAAATCCCCAATTTTTTTTTTCTTATTCAAATAAATTTTGTCCAAATTCGTATTGTTCAACATTTTTAAGTTGAAACAATGAAAAGTGATTTTTATTTTTTTGAAAATGATAGAGTTTTCTAGTTAAACGAAGCCCATCTACTTACCGATCGATTCTCCAAGTCTACTTTGTTGCCAAGCACAACGAATGGGAAGTGTTCCGGATCACGTGGACTGGCCTGGATCAGGAATTCATCACGCCATGAGTCTAAATTCTTGAACGTATTCGGTGCAGTAACATCAAACACAAGTACACAACAATCGGCTCCACGATAAAATGCAACACCTAAAGACTGAAATCGTTCTTGACCTACAAGTCAACCGAAAAAGATATGCTTTAAATATGCAGATAAATTCAAACGCAAACAATGATTAACAATATACATACCAGCAGTATCCCAAATCTATGGAATGTTACAATGTAGTTGTGGAAAACATGGGCAGAAAAGATAATAAAAAATATCCGATATTATTGAAGTGAATGGTGGTTTCCGCGAAAACATAATATCGATGACACATACCTGCATAGTTACAACACGATCGTCAACTACTACCTCCTTTGTCAAAAAGTCGGCTCCAATCGTGGCTGTAATACGATGCAAAACAATATTTCATTATTTAAAAAAAAAACAAACGGGAAAAAACCAGCGCATTTTTTTATCTCGCACATTCGACCGACGTACATACCTTTGTATTGATTCGAAAATCGTTTGTTCACATATTGGTTCATCAGCGACGTTTTGCCAACACCACTTTCGCCAAGGATGATGACCTTAAGTAGAACTTTCTTTCTGCTTGCCATTTTTTTTCAAATTCTGTAACGAACAAAACGCACAAATTACATCAAAATTCAAATTGAATTAAAGGGAAAATGTGCTGATGGGCGGAACTGTGTAATGAGTATAAAATTGTTGTTTGCGTTCGGAAGAGAAGCGAATTCGGTTCACATTTATTAATACATAAAATTAATCAGTCGCCCGTATAGCGATGTGAATTGGAAAAAGGAAAAAAAAAAATAATATGATAAGCACTGTGCTGCAATTATGACTGATGTCGTTCAATAACAGAGTAGATTATATGTATAATTGGCTTTGTATGCACGACGTTTTCTTTTTTTTTCCTTCTATTTCGCTGTGTATTTTAAGTGAAGCAGTGCGAGTAACTACATTCAATGTAAACTTCCGAACTTACTTTCTATTTATCTAGTCGTATTTTCTGTTGCTAATCAAATCACACAAGATAAAAAATATTTTAATTTTAAAAGCTAATAAATTCGTTTCGATGTGGATTTGGGTAAATTATTTCGTTCTTCTTCTTTTGCCGGAGATCAGACAATAAACGTGATATTCAGTTGATTTATATGTAGAAACATAGCGTTGACAACAATGAGATTAATGAACAAATCACTGTTCACGAGTCACAACGACAACAGCAGCAACACACGAGAAATGTTACATGAAAACAAAATTGCCACTAAACAAGAAAAAAAATGTCACACAAGCGAAGCAACGGATAATGCTGAAGCACAAAATATCATATGATCACACGTAAAAGTACGACACACACACAAAGAAGGAGACACGTATGAATCGTGCATCAAAACCGACATGTACACATGGAGAAATTACGTCGAATAAAGAAGATAAGTGCTATTCAGCACAATGTTATTCAACAACAAAATGTGCGGACGCTTGAATGTACAATGGAAATTGGTCGTCGTTGCCGTCGATTTGGCTCTCTCTCTCTCTCTCTCTGTGCGCACAATGATCGAAACGGAGAATTGAAGCCCCTTTTTCAACTGAAAAATTGAAAACACAATACACAAATGTGTCTCACAGCACACAGAGCGCACAAATCTAATTGTGGAATGCAAATTGCGTATTGGCAACGAAGGATTTGTTTTTCGTCATCTTTTTTTATTCCGTCTTTGCAATGAAGTTTAAACAAAAAAAAAATATCGTCATTTAAAGTTGTGTGAGTGTGTGTCTACAATTCCATATGATATGCTCAACAACAGTTTTTTGTTTCCTTCAAATAAACGCCCTTCTTCTACAAAGCAAACGAATGAGAGAGAAAATTTGCTTATCTAAACATAAAACAAATATGAACGATTCCCGTTCAAATCGAATTCAGCACCATATCGCAAATTGCATGAAATTTAACAACATACACAGAAATTTTCCGTAAATAAATGTGCACTGAATAAAACTTTGAACCCCGGATACAACGCAAAATACGTATTAACTAGCTTCGACAAACTTATCAAGTGCTCCGTCTATTTTTTTGTTTTGTTTTTTGTTTGATTAATTTCAGCAATAGCCACTTTTCGCAATTGACATTAGAAATAAAGCAATCTCTACGAATCAAGCCTGTAACTAAACAAAGAAAACCGTATACTTTGCTTCCCAATGAATCATACAACACTTTTTTTCCTTTGTGATTCCGTTGTTTTGGTGAAAGACAGTAACAGCAACAACAGCAACAACAACAGCAGCACGAAAATAAAATAACGCAAATATTCGACGGAATATTTAATCAACAGCACACTTAATACAGATTGTTGAAAAAATAATGACGATAGAGTGTATGTTATGAATGGAATACTTTCGCAAATACCATTGAAAACCACTAGAAATGGATTGTTTTGATTTCGTTTGCAATGAAAAACTTTACCAATTCGTACAGTTGTGTTTCACTTGGATGCTACTTTGTTCTCTTTTTTTATCCAATTTTATTCCAGCTTTTCGTTTCGACGTTTGTTTTTGTTTTAATTTTTTTGTTTTTGTAATAATTGAATTAGATTTTTTTCGTTTTCTCTGTATCGTCGATAAAATCGTATGATTTCAGTAAATATTTGGGTGGTTTGTTTTGGTTCGCTGTTTTATTTCAGAATGTTTCGTTCAATTTATATAGCACAGCGATAGGTTTTTTTTTCACGTCTTTTATTCCCACACTTCGCCCCTTATTAAACAATGAAAAGACAGCACGAAAAAGTTATGACTCTTTTCACTGACGTTGTAGTTTATTTATTTTCTTATTTTCCTTTTTTTCTCTCTCTCTCTTTCTCTCTCTCGTACAAAGTCTTGGTTTTTGTCGACAACGATATCAGCGACCTCTACATCAACACACATACAAAATGGCAGTTCACCATCTTTTATTTGTGTTACATGCGATGAAATTTCGATCATCGTTTACTTTCATTTGAAAAACCGTACATTTTTATTACAAAATTTCGTAATTTTTGAATTTTTTCTGGTGAATTTTGTGATTAGCTTGTTTAGGGATAATTCCGATTTCATTCGTTTCAAACTAAATGATTGGATAAAATTGATTTGTAATTCAAATTTCTTTGTTGTGACTGCTCAACAGTGGCAACACTATTCGCGACGACATTCACTAGTCGCACGCATGAAGTAAACGTCATAGCAGCAATACCACAAACATTTCTTTCCTATCCTGTCGCCGTAGTAAGAAGGTATGTTTTACAAAGTGGATCGCAAAATAATTTGAAAAAATTTCAATCATCCGATAGAATTTTCCGCAAATTTTCACATCAATCGATAGTTTAAACTATAACGAATCATTCCAATGGAATCGTTTTGTGTGTTAAATATAAAATCGGTGATTTTTTGGTGATTGAAAGTTTTTCCATAATTTGCCGTGTTGAATCCAGCACGGCCCCAACGAGTGACATAGTTCATGTGATTTGTTTTGTATTTTGTGAATTTAATAAGTGTTTAATTGTTATTTAATGCTAACGATAAATCTCTTTTTCTATTTGTTTTAGGATAATTCAACTCCCTGGAAAGGTAAGAATCTTATTTTATACCGAAAAAAATGATGCGAAAAGAAAAAAAAAGTTGTTCGCGTTGTGCGTTTCTAACCTCAAATTGTACAGCGTATCGGTTTATGTGATTGAATCGAAATCCACTGAGTTCACATTTGCACGTGCGACACGGAGAGTGAAATATATGTCGGAGTATCCTCTTTTTGCGGTAAACATGATGATAAACAACCATGCACCATACTTAATTGTATACCATGTGGAGAAACTTTACTCTTTTGTGTCTGAATACTTCGAAAAGAGGTGAAAAATATTTACACTCTCCGTGTGCACATGCAAAACACACTTCTACTTCACAATTATTTCCAAACGAAAAAAAAAAACAAATCGAAACCAAATTCAAAAACATTTTCACTGTTCTCGAAATAATCTGGTTTTGGATTTGTTGTCAATGCGATTTAATACACACGAGTAGACAGAAAAACATTGAAAACATTGTCGTTAAACTTATTCCATAACAGGTGTAATAGAAAAAGAAAAGGAAATGATTTGTGTTCGGAAATTGTGTGCTCTCACGCGAACGCATGAAGCTGAAGCGAAGAAGAAGATGAAAAATAATGTGAATGTGGAAACGTCAATACAATTTTCTGGTTATCGATAGACAATGATGTGACTTCTGATCAAAAAATTTTTTTTTGATTTCGTTGCTAGGTCTAGAATAACCACCAACCATGGGAGCCTATCGTTACATTCAAGAATTGTATCGGAAGAAACAATCCGATGTATTGCGTTACTTGTTGCGTATCCGTGTGTGGCAATACCGTCAGTTGACGAAATTGGTACGTTCACCACGTCCATCTCGTCCAGACAAAGCTCGCCGTTTGGGATTCAAGGCCAAGCAAGGCTTCGTCATCTACCGCATCCGTGTCCGTCGTGGTGGTCGCAAGCGTCCAGTACCAAAAGGATGCACATATGGCAAACCAAAGAGCCATGGTATCAACGAATTGAAACCATACCGTTGCTTGCAATCCGTTGCTGAGGTAAGCATCAACTATCACATTCGATTCTACAAAATGTTGCGCTAGTTTTGATGATGATAAACAGTTTAACCCTGAGTTTTACATTGAAGAATTAACTTTTGCCTTTCTTAGATGTCTGATTCTATCTAGCTACTCAATTTTTTTTTATCCTATTGAAATGTGCCATCCCATGTGCTTTTTTGTATACAAAACTAACATGTGCCCCCCTCGTTTCTTTTTTCTTATCTTTTCATTCAATTAGGAACGTGTCGGTCGTCGTTTCGGCGGTTTGAGAGTGTTGAACTCATACTGGGTTGCCCAAGATTCGTCATACAAATACTTCGAAGTGATCCTCGTTGATCCAGCCCACAACGCAATCCGTCGTGATCCAAAGATCAACTGGATCTGCAAAGCTGTCCAGAAACATCGTGAATTGCGTGGTCTTACATCGGCCGGCAAGAGCTCACGTGGTCTTGGCAAAGGATATCGTTACACCCAAACCATTGGTGGTTCACGTCGTGCTGCATGGCGCCGCCGAAACCGCCTCCACTTGCGTAGAAAGCGTTAAGTTAATCGTGTACGGTCACCACACTAAAATCATATTTGATGGCATCTTTCTGGCGTACACAATCTGTGTACTTGAATTTTATCGTCGAATCCTGATTTTTTAAGGGAAAAATAAAAATTTTCTAAAAATGAAGTTATACAAACAAAAAACGAACGATGTTTTATTTTTATTTATTTATTTTGAATTGATTTTATTTTATTTCATTTCTTTCAAAATTTTCTTCAAAAAAAAAATTGTACACAATGTGGAAAAGACTTATAAAATAATTCGAAGCAAGTCAAGTTCTTTATGAATGTGTGCTATTTTGATTTGTTCTTTTTTTTCACTTGTCTAAATGTTATCAGCTATCAATAGCAAATGGGTGGACAAACCCACTAGGCAAATCCCCATTCAACAGGTATCGAATCTTCATTAAATCAGCCTTTATGTTTCATGAGTGTAAAAACAATGACTAAGAATAAAGCAAAATGTGAGTGTGTTTCGCCATGAATGAACTGCCGCGATATCGGTGTAGTAATTTTTGTTCAATTTACTTGGGTTAAACGGTTATTTTAGCATTTCGGCGAAAGCGAATGATATTTCAGCTGTCAAAATATGCGAGAAGGTGCAGCAAATAACACAAAAATAGATGACTTTGACATTTTTTGCAATATTTTGTAAATAAAATGTTTTTTTTAATCTGAAATCTTTCTCTATGCGTATCCCTCTCTTTTTTACTTTCTTACTTGCTTTCTCTCAATGGAAGAAAGTCCAAGTCATATGCAATAAAAACAAAAAACACCCATGGTGCATTCATTCAATTTTCAAACGTTCTTTTTCTATAAGCACCTTTTCCTTCCCTCCACGATCCCCCTCAATGAGTTGACACAATTGTAGTTGATTTATTTTTTTTTTAACTTCGTTTGATTTTATTATATCTGAATATTTGAATGATAAATTAAAAGTTGCTTACAAATGTTTATATTTCGACAATTAAAATCCACATTTAACTACGCACAATCAACTCAAAAAAGACACAAAAGACCATCTAACGATGTATTCAATTTTTACGGAAATATTCACTTTTCGTTTTTAGTTTTAGCGTTTGTTTTTAAATGTGAATTATTCTTTTTGAAATATTCTCTTCATATTTTGTTTGTTTGTTTTTTTTTCTGTATTGCAGCTCCAAATTGAGCAGATAGAAAGATATCGATTGTTTTTCTTTCGTATGTAGCTAGTTTTTCTTTTACTGTTTTTTTTTCTCTCTCTCATGCTTTATTTTTATTTTTATTTTTTCTCTTTCTTCTTCTTCATCTTAATGCGGTACGGATGTTTTGTTGTGTTGTTTTTGTCTTCATTTTCATTTATTATTAATAATTTTCTTTATCCCTTGTTCATTTAGTAAATTATAATTTGTTTAAATGTTGTTGATGCTCTTTAATGCTGTGTAAATTGTATGAATTATAGTGAGCACCGCCTTCTTATTCAGATGTTTCGTCGTTGAAGATTTCATATGCATTTGACATTTGCAATTTCTGTAGAATGGAAAAGAGAGACAAAAAAAAATGGGAGATAAAATTGATGTTAGTGATGATGATATTGAAATCAAAATAGATACAGTGAGAGATGGCATGGTATCGTGTGTGGTTAGAACAGATTTAACTTACAGGTTTCACGTCTGGTTTCAATTTGGGCATTCGATTTTCAACATCATCTCCTGAGTTCGACGAACGTCTTGGCTTGTCTCGGTTCTCTCGATTATCTCGGTCATCGCGTGGTTGTGGTGGCCCTCGGTTATTATAATTTCTTGGCTGATTTCTCGATTGATTTCTATCATTTCTATCGTTTCTGTCATTTCTGTCATTTCTGTCACTTCTGAAATGCGCAAAATTCCAACCATGTTAATTTCGCCGTTGATTCAAGTTGACTTTCGTCACGTTTTTGGAGTGACACAACGCGCTATTTTGATGAGAGAGAGAGAGAGAGTGAAATGGCACATACCTTTGATGGTAATCACGATTGTAGTCCCGCTTGTTATCGCGATTATAATTATTACTTCTGTTATCTCTGTCGCCCCTGTCCCGGTTGTTGCGTCGATCTCGGTCATCTGTGAAAATGGAAAAGAAGAATGAAGGGATGACATTAGTTTTTTTCGTATTGAATCTTCGACCATTTGACCATTTCTTCGACTTTCGACTTCGGGTATGCCAGCAATCGACCGGCAAGAACCAATGCAAAATGTCAAAAAACCAACCATTTGGCCTTCTTCTATTATTACGATCTGGGCTGTATCTCTTGCGAGCAGGTGACGGTGGTCTTTGTGCTGCAGCATCATCTTCCGGTTTTCTAGTGCGCCAACTTATGATTTCTGGTTTTTCTTCTGGTTTCTTTTCCTCATTTCCCTCCGCCTCGTTACCCTCTTCCTCTTCAGGGTTTTCATCATCTGCTAGGAATATTTAAAGAAAAAAAGGAGTTGGCGTTAGCGATTGAACAAATATAAATGGATGAAAGTGTGTGAGTCTACTTTGTTTGGCAGCAGTGGCGGTTTCAGTGGCAGCAGCCTCTTCTTCATCAACGGCAGATTCTTCTGCTTCCCGTTTTTCTTGTTGTTCGCGCTTTTCTCTCTCTACACGTTCAACACGCTCCCGTTCCAATCGCTCTTCGATCTCACGATCTTTGGCGGCCGTATCGACTGGTTTGGCGCTGCCGAAAATTGCCGCTGATGGAACCGGGGTTGGTTTTGGTCGTTCTCGTTGTTCCTTTTCCTTTTCTGCCTCCGCCGCATCGCGTTCGTCAATTTGTAAATTGAATTCGGGCAACGGCAAAGTGCGCGGTTGCAATTTCAAACGTGGTCTTTCTTCGGCCAATGGTCGGTCTTCGTTACGATCAATTCGGCGTCCACCGCCGTATCGATCTCCACGGTCACCACGGTCACCACGATCACCACGGTCACCACGACGCATCGGTGGCGGTGAATCCATTTTTGGTCTATCTGAACGCCAATTGCCACCATTTTCAACACCACTAACTTCTCTGCGACGTCCTGCATCCTGACCATTGTCCTGGTTACGACCACGCCAATTGGTGTCCCGATTTTCCGATGACGAACCGAAATTATCGTATCGTCCCCGGTTACCTCGTTGTTTTTCTTGTTCATTTGACACATCGATACGAATCTTGCGATTTCGTAATTGCAAATCCGGTTGACTGACCGCCTCAATCAATCCCTCACGTTCGGAAAATTCAATGTAGCCAAAGCCTCGCATTCGGCCAGTGTCACCATCTTCACGTGGCAGCCGCACTGAGACCACCTCGTAATTCGTTACACTTTCAAAATATTCCTGTATATCATTCTCGTTCAGGTCATACGACAAATTCGAAATGTGGGCCAAAAATGGGGGATTTTGTGGAATTGTACTGTCATCTAGTACTCGTTGCGAACGCGGTGCAGTCGGTATGGAATAAGTTATGATTTTTGGTGGTGCATAATCATCATCTTCACATTCATTAGCCCATGATAAACTCTTGGTCACTAGCGATGAACCGGATGCGGCGCCACCATTTTCACTTAAAAAATCTTGCAAATTTAGGGTCTTTCCCTTTGCCTTTTTTCCTTTCTTGCCTGCAACACAGAGAGCGGGAGAAAAGAAACGAAAGAGAAATCAGAAAATGTGCTTTTCATTTAGATTGACTGGTTGATTCATTCTGGGGCGGAAATTCATCGATACACAAACAACATGAGACACAAACAATTCATGACGAAATACAATTAAATGAGAGACGAAACAGTTGAGCAACGATGATTCAGTTAATGTGTGTGTTAATGGGACATAGAAAATGAGTCGAAAGTCCTTCAGAAATCGTGATTTCAATCGTGTGGAAATGCTCTCGGTCGGATATTATAAATCGGTGTTGTAACCTCACAAAATTTGTTGACTCAAATTCACTGAAATCGAGACAAACCGAAAATCGGTTCATTGTTACCATTTATGCATAAATTCGGCATATTGATCGGATTGAGACGAGCCATGGTTGTAGTTTTTGATTCATACGGCATTTGATTGGAATGCATTTCATGTTTTTTGTCCCGTAAGCCACATTAAATGAATTCAGCCACGCGGTACATTGGTGATATGCTGCGTGACAAAACGCAGCTAATGTGGTTTATACACACGGTGTGTGAGAGTGAGAGAGAAGGAGAGAGCGAACGAGCGAATGAACCAAAAATGAAATAATTGTCCGGAACACTTTTGCAAGCAAAAGTTCCATTTTCACAGCAAATCGATCCAAATTCTACCTTTATCCATTGATGCTACGTTAATTTTATTGACAATTTATGTGAAACACAATGAATGTAAACAGAAATTCACGAAATTAAAATAAATTAAATGAATTGAAACCAATTTTCTTGATAACTAACCTGACATCGCCATATTGAAGAAGTAAAATACCAACTGTTAAACGTCAAAATGTAGTCATTTCGCATTAGTCATTTGTGGGCACGTGAACTCGCCCGAGACACAGTGCGGCGAACATTTGTGGGGTTTTTTCCCTTTCCCATTCGCATACTTACTCGTCGCGAGAGGCGGGAGATCCGCCGTTGAACCGTTTTCCAATTTCCGATTGCATTCCAAGTACGAACGAACGAAAGAACGGCGAATTAAAATCAAACAATAAAAACAGCAGTTGGATTTTGTTTTTTTGGTGTTTTTACAATCTACTTTATTGAACTTATTTTTTGTGTGTATTGTGAAAACTTAAATGTTATGGGTTAAATTGCCAATTAATAACTAAAAATCTACTTTAACAATCAAAGTTTTTTTTTCATTTGTTCGTTTTAATATTTTATGAATATCTTTTATGGATTAATAGAAAAAAAAACGGAAGGATCAATGAAAATGTTTATTCTTAGCCAATTTTATCAAAATATTGTGAAATATAATTTAGAGAAATAATTATTAATTCATTTTATTGATTATATTTTTGTTTTGTTTTGTCACTTAAATGGAAGTTCTTAAATATTCTTATGATCTCGGAATACGGTAGGCTTAATGAATACATCGATGCGATGGTGAACTTAAACTACAGCCAATTTCATGACACGCTTCGTCCATTTTTGAATCTGTCTGTCTATTTCAAGGTCCTGGATGGTCAATTGTGTATTTCGTTCTTCGAGTTCTTGGTGTTCATCGAAGAGGGCCTCTTCTTTGCCTTTACGATTAAGACGCGAGCGACGTGATGCTTCATTGTTCTTGATGCGCATCTGGTAGTACTTGAGATCGGCTGAGCTAAGTCGCTTGATTTCTGATGGTGACAGAATGGTTGGCTCGGTTTTTGGTGGTCGTCCACGTGAACGTTTTGGTTGAACTTCCGAAAAATCGAGGGTACGTGTGGCTGCACGTCGTTTTGTTGCACGTACGGCTCGAACTGGTATTGGTGTCGGTTTGGTTTCAATTTCGTCATCCACTTCATCGTTGCATTCGGTGTGGTGTTTATTCTGTGGTGATGCAACTGGAGTCGGCAAAATCTGTTCAATTTTTGCTATTGAAACTTGTTCCTCGACATTTTCTTTGGAAGTATTTATCTCAACCATCTCGACGGTTTGTGGAATTTCCTGCAATAGATGAAGAAAAAAAATGGAATAAAAACACGAAAAAAAATATTTGCTAAAATTCGTTGAAAAGGAATCGTGAAATTGAACACAAAAGTTAAATTTGAAAAAAAAGCTCAAAAATTATTTACAAATTTGAATAGATCGCGGCGCACAACAACTGCTAGAACCATTTGTATGTGTTGTCTTGTCTGAATACAACCGAAGAATGAACTGAACGCCCGACGATGTGAACATTTATGTTACGCTACTTCACTCTCACTGATTCATGTCCGAACATGTAGCAATACGGTAATCATATTGTGAAATTCATGAATGACACTACACTTAGCGGAAAGGAAGATTCCAACTATTCCATTGTGCTTTCATGCGTCCGGACACAAAATAAATAGACAAACGAAATGATGTAATGCAATGCATTTTTTACTTACATTGTCTGCATCGATGAAATTAATTAAGTCAAATTTTCCCTCGCATTCCTTCTCCAAGATTTCGTTAATAAGTTGCGGCGTGGAGATGACCGCCGGTGTTGTAGTGTTGTTAATTGGGACTGGTTCCTCAATGATATAGTTATTGTTGCCATTCGGTAAGACTGTACCCATCTTAATTTTAAGGTGTATTTGTGGTTGATTCAATGTTCTTCTGGCCAATAAATTTGCTCGCGCTTTGTGCACTGGTTTCTCATTCATGTTTATATCATACGTATCATTGTTCCTAATTTCATCTTTGATTGCCATTTGGGGTATTTGACGTTCGCTGAACATCAAATCGTTTCCCACAATTGGCGTTACTTCCTCCATAATCATATCGTCTTCGTTATCATCAAAGTAACCATTACTCGTTGAGTTATAGTTTTGTTCGTAGGCAAGCGTTTCAATTTCACGATGGAAAGCCATTGGGCCCGCATATAAATAGTCTTGAGAATTTTTCATTGGTTGTTGTAATCGTTCATCGACAAAATCAAATGATTTCTCTGTTTCGATCATATCGTCGGAATTATTTAGGAAAATGTTGGCTGAACAATCGGCGTCGTCGTTCGATGAAAATGATTGAACTGAATTTGGTGGTGAATTAAAAATGGTCGGCAATGCAATTGCCGACTCATCGAACGCGAAATCATCGTCTTTACTTATGTTTAAGTGATCATGTGAAGAGTCAATCCATGTACTTATGTGGTCCTTCATACCAAGTTCTGGGTCTGAGAAAAATGAAAGAAAATAAAACGCACAAAACATTAGATATGCCGTGAGAATTTCCAAAAAGTCAAGAAAAAAAAAACATCATATTAGGCATAAAGAAGATTTTTGGTACATTGCTTTTCCAAGAGATCATTTCAGGCATACAAAATGGAAATTTCAAAGAAAAATCGAAAAAAATTAACGTTTGAAATCTTTGAAAAGTTGATAAAATTTCTTATCGCACTACTTTTAGAGGAAGGACGATGAGTGGTGATAGCGAAAATCATCGTAATACATTTTTTTTATTGAATTTCACAATAATTACATCATATTGTGAAATACCTGCGATTCATCATATCGGCGCTAGAGATCTTTTTTTCACATAATTGACGTAAAACATGCGTGTCAAACTGATTTTTCAGCGATTAAATTCCATTAAACAATGAATTTGATACAAAAAAGTCGATTTTTTGTTTATTCAAATGCATAGGCGCTTAAAAGGCCAAAGGTTACCAGCCATTTTTTTTCGTTCGCTCTTGTGACAACGTAATTTCTTGTTTGTTTCAATATAAAAAAAAATGATTCACTACCGACTCGGTATTTATCAATGTGTGATTTAATTTTATCTGGTGCTCGATATGCACGAGCACGTTGAGTTAATTAAGTCAATGTTATCGTTGCATGTTCAATAGCTTTCGAACAGGAAAGCCATGCAGTCATAAATGCGAACGAAAAAAAAAATCTGTCTTTTTTCATTGTTTGTTTTTCGTTTTTGTTTCACATTGGAAAGGATTTGAATACGTTATAGAAACGTTTTCAATCGTATACAATGCATCGAGGGATCATCTTAGGCATATCTTAATTAAAGTAATTTAATAATTAGCGTAATTACTAATTTTACTTTAACTATCTTTAAAACAGACTATAAAAAATTAAAGTTTTTGACGAAAAAAACAAATCCAAGTTATTTTTGGATTGTTTAAATGGTTTTGATTGTTTGGTTTGATTTTCTGAGGCAATATAATCATTTCATTGGAAGCGTTGAATGAGTCATCATCATTGATGTATTCATCGGTGGCAAGTGTTTTGTTACTTTCAAAAAGTTTGTGTTTGGGCAACGATGCTAACAAAACAAACGGGTCATTTTCTTTTGTTTACAATACTTCATTGTTTTTGTTTTAAAGTCATAAGGGCACCAAAAAAAATATATCTGAAAATTCATATAAATTGCATAGATTCCTATTGATATAATCAAAATAAAATTTGTTTCTATCATAACTTATATAGTTATCATGCATCATATAAACTAGCTGAACGAAACGCCAAAAAATGTTAGTGATTCTTTTAAAAGAATCGAAAAAACAAAATCGTGATCTGATTTGCGGGAAATAACAAATCAAATCCGATTTTGTGAATCAAAACAAAAAAAAAGATTAGAGAAAAAACATATTTGTTGAAAAAAGACCTTTTTCGGCCGTTGTTTGGTTCCACCCGCTGCTCAACGTCATTTGTAGATCATTTGTTGGTGGAATTCCAATGTTTTGTTTTCTTGAGTTAGCGTTTGTATGCCCTTTGTGTGGTGTGTTAGTTCTGAAAATACCGTTGAATTGTTGGCTGACGAGATACGTCTTAACTCGCGCACGGTCAACACAAGAATACGCTCTCTCTGCGAGCGAAGATGTATATAAAGCGAAACGGTGTGCATGTGTTGGTGTCGCGTTCGACACACTCGACGGCACATGTGTGTGCAACTGTGCGTAAGCGTGAGCAACCTGTAACATATAGTTGTCTTTGTTTTGCTTACACGATACATAGACCAATTTTTTTTTAGAGTGACGGGGAACCAACAATGTAGCTACATACATATCTGAATCATAGCAATAGATTGATATTTCATGTCGATTCATGTTTTCAACAGTGAATAGGCCCTAACGCAATACAACAAATATTTCTTTCGCGCGAAAATGATAATTTAATCTATATTTTCGTCGAAATCCATCGATTCAAATTGAAACATTTAACCTTTATTTTGATGATTTGCATTTCGATGATGATAATGAATCTCTTGTTTGGCAATGTGAAATAAAATATGCAGAGGATTTCGATGTGTTTATTTTTCAGTTCAATTCTGGGGGAATACCCATCATAAGAAGGCAAATTTGTTTTTCTGTGAGATTTCACTTACCGATTATTGGTGTCATTAACTCATCAAACCCAATCATACTGTTTTGGATCGCAGTATTGTTGTGTGCATCCAAAAACGAGTCCATCGTTTTCGTCATTGTGTATGATGCTGGTGTTGTTGTTGTTGTTGGCGGCGGTAAACTCACTGAATTTGCTTCCGAAAGAAGGCGATCGGTTCTTATCCAATTTTGTGTTTGATACAATCCAATATTCGTTGCTGGCGTTTGAATAAACGTTTGTTCTTCGTTTTGATAGCGATAGTTGCTCGTATTTGTTAGCGAAAAGTTGACTAATAGCCCATGAGGTTGGGATGGCTCCGTTGGTGGCAAACATTTTGAACGGGACTGTTTATTTGCCAATGCACAAAAATAAACAAAATCGAAAGAAAGAAAATATGATGGAATTAGCATTTTCTTGACAATGAAACATAAAACATTCAACTGATTGGGATGCTTAAAATAACGATAACCTAGCTATAGCTAACTTATGCTGAGGTGTTTTGTTTGTTTTTTTAGTACTCTAAAAATTTACCGTTATGAAAATCATTTCTATACAATTTCTAACAATTTCTTTTGTTTTGTAAGTCAAACTATTTGTGGTCGCTGGCAAAGTTCTAATCACACAGAGACAATCAAATTGAATGCTGTTGATGGTGGTTATCGTTTTCCAAATTCTCATTTCAGGATACACATGCAAGTGTTTTCCAAATATCTGCTCTCGGAAAAAATATTTTTTTCTACTCCGTTTTCTTTTGTTAATGCAAACGTTCGTCTCTTTTTCTGTCTATTTTTTTTTTGAATTTGCCATTTTCCCTCTTCCGTGGAAGATGAACAGCAGCAAAGTTTCGGTTATTGTTTTTTTTATTGATTTTTGAAAAACACTGACACAAAAAATGATTGTCTATTGATTTATTTGAATTGAAAAAAAAAACACACTGTCTTGTATTCAGCAGAAGAACTAAATGTTCTTAATTTTCACATATATTTCAAAGTGTTTGATTGCAAACAAAAAAAAATCGTTTTTGTTCAAGTTCATTCAGTTCGGGGCAAAACTATCGATAGAATGGAATCAATTCTGAGTTCTCATTCAAATACGAAAAAATAGAGAGAAAATAATTATGCTGGAAATAGATAATTGGTTGATTCAGAAAAAAAAGATGTTGGAAAAAAATGGGTTTCATTAGATTTGAGTTGATTAGATTTGATTTGATTAGATTTGAGTTGATGATTAATTTGTATATTCTAAAGAATGGCATCGATTCGATGGGCAGAGATGGTTTTGCCACAAAGTGGACAATTGAACATAAGATACAACTGTCGGTTCGATTTCTCTCTTTTTTTTACGGATTTTAATTAACCCACACACAAGTTTTTCTGCTTAAAAACTACGGATACTTACATATAATTCTCCGTTTAGTTCGTAGGTAATTTTTAAAGCTTTAAAAAGCTCGCAAAAAATAAGAAGTCGGGCACCGTTGCCTCAACCTGTAAAAACAAACACACAAAACACAAAATCAGTGAGAGAAAAAAATTGTCGTCATTTCAAATGATTATACACTAACTAAATTTATTCGTTCTGATTGTTCGATTCGAATTTTTTGACGGTAATCTATTCGGAGAGATACGAATTTTTTGCTGATGTCGTCGCAAAAAAATGTGACTATGAACAAAATGTGTTATTTGATTTCAGTCCAAATGCCGCTGTATCAATATGATAAACCGGAACGCTATTTCAATTCGTTGAAGATTCTGAAATTATCTGTTTTTCTTGGCTCGTTGTTCAAAACGAGGTTTTTCCAAGAAGCGCCGTTTCACCGAAGCGATTTTACAGGCAAATTCATGTCATAACATGTTTATACGATTTTTCTCCTCTTTGGCAAATGTTCTGCTTCGAATACCCTACAAACGTACAAGTACAGCGCCAACACATACACACACACCAGAAGAAAAAAAGAAAGAAAAAACGCGAACAATAGATGGATAGAAGAATTCACTATAGTCAGCATGACTACACAGATTTAGCGATGCGAGTGTGTGTGTGTGTGTGTGTGTATGTGAATAACTGAAGTAGGGGGATTCGTTGTGAAATTCACGTGATTCGTTGTGAAATTCATTTTTTTCGGCCAAACAATGTATTAAACACTGCAATTAAAACGTGATTCCCATAAAATTCGACACAAATTAACGCATTAGAACAAAATCAAATCGAAAACATGAATTTTTCGGTGAATTCTTTAATCGTTTTTCTTTTTCAGCGAAAAATTCGAATGAAGAAATTTTTTTTGTATATGTACAACAACAACAAAAAAACACTGAGTGAATAGAATTTAAGAAGACACAAATAGAGAACTTCTGAAGAATTTTAATGCTTACGTACTTTGATCGCTTGGTAATAGCACGAAAAAACTAAATCGCACACAAAAAGCCGCGATTCAATTAGCGCTCCAAGGAATATGTAGCACACACACAATATATAGCTCGGTGATGAAATTACGATTGACAACACCCGTATTCGCGTGAAATGTACTCTTCTCGAGTGTTTCTTATTTTCGTCTGCAAGTGATTTTCACTTTCTCGGTGTGAACACTTTGATATTATTGAAATTTTATTTAGTTTGCAGCTTGCTTTTACGAGCACAACTGTTCAATTCAACAATGAATTTATAACTCAAACGAATGATTTTGTGTTGTAACTTTTCGGCACACGACCTAGCACATTCACCGCTTTGGCTCAGCACAGCACATAAAAATACATGCGCACACAGATGGTTCAACAAGTACACAAAAACACATTCCAATTCAGTTGAAACGAATCGCGAGCGTCATCACGTCATTTTGAGCCAATCACGAGTCGAGTTTGCGATTACGTGTATCAACATAGTCATGCATGTGTATGGTATATTGTGTTGTCTATTTGAGAACGCACATTTTCCATGTGTTCAGCGTTTGTTTATTGTACGTCTCGGTCAGATGTGCGGTGTTTATTGTTGTATTTGTACCGATTTTATTGGCGATGAATCATCCGTTTTCCGAGAAATTGTTTTGTTCTCCCCGCTTCACACCGAACATCGATTGTGTGTGATATATAACCGTTTCATTTGTTGTCTTGTTCACTGGTCGCTTTCAATAGCGAGACCACTGTTCCATCCGAAAATTTCATTTCAATTTGGATTTAACTCTATTTTTGGTTTTTCTTTGTTTCGCGTCGTCTCACCGAAGCAAGTAGCAAAAGCCAACAAACAAAAAATAAAACTTTCTATCCAATGTACGTGTTAAGTTACATGTTCGCCTAGTATTTTGGTCATTCGATGAATGCCATCAAACTTACCACTCATCATGACTGACATGGTGTTCCACATATTTCTCAGTACAGTAGTTGTTGTTCTCGTATTACCACAAACAAAATGATTCGAATGCCAACGAAAGTTCTTTTTATTATTCAAATGTTTGCGCATAAAAACACCACTTTTCAAATTAACACCATGCAAATGTCCGTACATCTGATGCTTTTTCTTTAGCAATCGCAATTTAAATGAGTACATCAAGTCACCGATTCGATCACAAATAATCGCACAATAAATTGATACAGTCCACAAAATAACTTGAACACACGCACAAATAACCGACTGAATTGATGATGGATAGGAAATGATAGGTTCTGCACAATGTTGCATAGTGTTTTTCGATGAAATTTCACTTGATCCCACAAGTCTGTTTATTGTTTATGATTAAATCGTCAATTGTATGCGTTTGTGATGTCACTCAAATCGACAATCACTTTAGTTTTCTTATTTGATTCAAGAAGCACTAGACTATTTGCTCAACTCACAATTTTTCTTATTTACTGTTTTGATAAGTTTTTTTTTTCGACGCTTTTAATACACGTCAATGTTACAATTACACAATTTCGTAATAGGGCGCTCTCAGTTTTTACCCTTTTTTCAATACAAGACTTCAATGAAATTTAAGATGAGATTCTCTTAAAATAGAATTAACAGTGTTCAGTGAACGGATATTCCCAATTCGCCATTTATAATGATTATCTGAATCGAATGCAATTCGAAAATTATTATTTTTTATATTCGTGTGTTTTCACTAAACGATTTAACTGCACACAACCGTTACAATATTCGTTGATTTAAATCTTATCAGAATTTTGAAATAATCTGGATAAATGATATACAATGTTATCAATTTACTTCTCTAATTATTGAGATTGAGATATATGTAATTTGCCCAAAAAAATATTACAACTTTGATTCACAAATTCAAATTTAATTTTCAATTTCGCTCAATGAACTCAAGATATTACACGATTCGGTTTGCTGTTAGTATAAGACTGTCCTACAGCTGGCTAACACTTGTGTCATGTGCTGTGCTGTTTTGGCTGATGCAATAACAAACACGGTTTCATCAAACATGTATGTGCCTGTTCAAATTGAACTTTCCGCTATGTGTTCCAGAACGTTCGAATCAAAGCGTCTTCAAAATATAAACATTTCAATGGGAACACAGTGGATATTTTGTTTTGTCTCCATCTCTGTTATAATCTACTCTTTACTCGCATGGTCCATAAGATAAATTTTCTAGAAAAATCGAGAAAATGCTGTGAAAATGTAAACAATGGTAATCGGCTATAATGATCAGCGCCATCTGTTGTGCGCTTTTTCACGGCTGAAAAATTTCTCAATAAGAATTCGATTCATACCACACGGATTTTCTCGGCGAAAAACACCCATTTAAATTTATTATGGAAAATTTGCGGTTATTTTCAAACTAAGGCAATAAACTAGGCCACTTTTTAAATGAAAATATTGTAAAAATTTCATCGTTTTATCCAAAATTCTTGGGAAAAAATCAAATTACCAAAGCTCGCCTCATTTTAAATACTATTCTGGAACGTATTTAAAGAAGAAACCAAAATCTGGAATAAGAATAAGGAACACACGGAAATCGCTGTATGTGTATGAATTCTTTGTTTGCTGTTGATACATGATCGGCTTGATCGTAAACAAAATCGAGTTTGGCTTGGTCTTCTGTCAAAAATATGTAGAATCACTGTTTCTTGTCCAATTTATGCTGTATGTGCAGAAAATTGATCGGCAAACATCCGATATCGTCGACTTGAACGTAATTTTGGACGGTAAGACTTATTTTTGCCAACTTTTTCTATCCATAAAATAAAATCTTTATATTTTTGTTCTGATCTTCAAGCAAATATTCGGATATTCTTGGATTATTGGATAAGAAATTGAAGGAAAGGTATTAAAAAGAGAAGAGAAAAGTAAGAAAGAATTAATTAAATTATCTTAGGGAATTCCTTGATCGTTGCTTTTCTTCACATACACCTAATTAAGATATTAGGTGATACGAATTTTGTACAATTTTTAATGTGACTTTTCATCAAGGTCGACAAAGCCGGTGTAAAATATCCATTCAGCCATTACCAAACGTGTTCGTTCGTCATCGTTTTTTTGCCTCAAAATCAAATAAAAAATTGGATATAAGTTCAAGTTGTTCTACACAATCGATGAGAATTGAAATGTTTTCTTCAGATTTTTTGAATGTACAACATTTTCGAGTAGAATCAACCCAAGTTCAAAATTAGTCGAAAATTATTCGGCGCAGGGAATTTGATTTACAAATCGCTTGAATCAAATGATTTGAAAATCCGATCAACATACAATTAAAATTTTAAATGGAGTTGAGATGAAGAAGGGCACTTTGCCTACGTGTGGCTTATATCGTTGGTATATTCCTTACAACTAATTTAAATACTTCCATAAGACGAGATCAAATTGTTGTTGTTTGGTATAATTTGAGTGGATGGGGATAAAAATAAGCGAATTGGAGCAACATAGGCGTAAAAGTGCAATATTAATTCTGTTTGCTTGAAAGTGAATCATTAAAAAGCTGTTGACTAAAGAAATTATGTTTCACTTTTATTGGGCGAAAATGCACGATACGCTTTCAAGTCACTTTAATCGTGGTCTTGGTTGTGATTTGGTTTTAGTGCTGCATATGATTTAACTGATAAGCAAGATGGGAAAGTTTAAAGACATTTTTTCGATTCTTCTACAGTATTTTGTGAGCTCGATCCGATCCATTGGTGTTATCACCACATCGAAATTCGCATACTTTATCGATTAGTTCTCATACATTTATAAAAATTGAATCACAACCAAAACCACCATTAAAGTGAATGGTCATTCCAATCGACTTTGGAACAGTGTATAGTGCATTTTTACTTTAATCGAAGTGAAACATAATGAACCAAATTGATGTCTGAAAAAATATCGGGACTGAATTCAAACAACTTATGGATAAGATTTGTTCGAATTCAGTCTATTTTATTCGCGGCCACTCAATTGAAGGAATAGAATAATTGCATAGAAATTTATCTGAAAACATCATCGAGCAGCTTGATCGTCATGAAGTCAAACTGTTGAAACTAAATATTTCAAAATCGTTTTCATTTCAGTTACTGTCGCGTGTAGTGGATGATTTTCTGGTAAAGGTTAGAAAAAAAAATCGACAGTAATGTATCCTGTTCAATCACGAATTGGTCTATTGTATGGCCACAAATCATTGGTCAATTTGACATTATTTCGCCAAGTGAGCTCAGTAATCGAGTCGAAGGTATGGTCGAACTTTTGAAATTGACGAATTCAAAAGAAAGTACACGAATTCTGTTTATTCATAGGCTGATGTCGGTGTAAATTTGGATGCAGAATGGGAAACAGCTTTACCTTATAAAAGAATGCCAGGACCCAGCAAATATGAATTACTACGAGGATTTTCACCTGGAGGTAAAGAAATTTGTTCCGACCAATTCTTCATTTCTTATGCGTGAACATCAAATTTATTTAAGGGAAATATCACGATTTGCAAATCGTCGATATGCATCGTGCAATGAGAAGAGATTTCGGTGATGTTGTTCGCATACCTGGGCTATTGGGACGAGCAGACACTGTACTTACGTTCAAGCCAAGCATTTTTGAAAAAGTGTTTCGAACAGAGGGCCCACTTCCCCAGCGTCGTGGCCTAGAAACCTTTAAATATTATCGGAAAAAAATGCGACCGGAAGTGTTTGGTGAAACCGGCGGTTTATTGAGCGAACACGGTGAAAAGTGGCTTGACGTACGATCGAAAGTGAATCCGGTGATGCTTCAACCAAAGACCGTTAAGATGTACGTTGAAAAAGTGGATCAAGTGGCATGTGAATTCTTGGATAAAGTGAAAAGAATCCGTAACACACAAACTATGGAGATGCCATCCAATTTTGGTCACGAATTAAATTGTTGGGCACTCGAATCGATCGGTTTGATTGCGCTCGATCAAAGATTGGGCATTCTGGAGAACGCTGAAGATGTTCATGGTCGAGTTATTATCGATGTAAATTAAAAAAAAAACATTTTCATTTCTTTGCACTTTGTGTAATTTTTACACTCATTTTCCCATTTTTAGAGTGTTAAAGACTTTTTCATTCTGGCTTATGAGCTTGATGTAGCCGTATCATTCTGGAAGTACTACAAAACGCCCAAGTTCTACAAGTTGATGAATGTGTTTGATCAAATGACGGAAACGATTATGTATTACATTGACAAAGCTGTAGCACGACTGGATGCAGAAGATCGCTCAAAAATCAATGCAAACGATCGAGGTGTACTCGAGAAATTATTGCTAATCGATCGACAAATTGCCATCGTTATGGCTTTCGATATGATTTTAGCTGGTGTCGATACTGTAAGATTCAATTTATAGTTGCTATTTTGAGTTTTTTTTTCTCACCAAACCAGAAAAACAAATTGAAACATAAATTGCCAAATATTTTGCGTAGACTTCAGCAGCGCTGGTGAGTTGTCTGTGGCACTTGGCAAAGAATCCGGATAAACAAGTTCGATTGCGTGAAGAGGTGCTCAAATATTTGCCATCCAAATCAACGAAATTGACACCGGAGAGTTTGAATAGTATGCCATATATGAGAGCTGTTTTAAAAGAGGCACTTCGTATAAGTCCAGTTTTAGCTGGAAATGCTCGGCAAACCGGCCGTAACATCGTACTAAATGGCTACCGTGTTCCCGAAGGTGTAAGTGAAAGTTTCACTCGGTTTTTCTTCTTCTTTTTTTTCGGCAAATATTTGTAGCGAAAGTTATTTCAGTGTGTCTCATTATCTCCCTCTCCAAAACAGACGGAAGTAGCAATGGCAACCGTTGTTTTACAAAATGACCCCGACTATTTTCCAAAAACTGACGATTTCATTCCGGAGCGTTGGATCAAAGGCGACCCTCTATATGATGAATCAAAAATGCACGGCAACAATTCATTCGTGTACCTACCATTCGGATTCGGTCCACGATCATGCGTCGGTCGGCGATTCGCCGAAATGGAAATTTTCATATTACTTTCAAGGTATGCCCATTACATCCATGCTTTTATTTCGGGAGAGAGAGATAGAGAAAAACCAAAATAGAATGAAAACGCAAATCAAAACTCATCATTTACATTTCCGCTCGGAATTTTATTTATTTTCTGCAGAATCATTCGCGAGTTCAATATTGAGTATCATTATGGACCACTGAAGTATAATACGAGCATCATTCTAGCGCCGGACGAAGATATTAAATTCAAATTCACTGATACCGATCAATGAAATGAAAAATGATGAGAAGAAAAAAAAAACAAGACGTGCTGTAGTCAATTATTCAGTTACCAATGGGGAATATTTGCAGCTGAAACGATGTTTCGTTGCCGTTGCTGTTGCAATAAATGACTCACACACATACTTTAAAGCATTAAAAGTACATATGTTTAAAGTGTAACTCGTTTTGTATTTCTTTGTTGTTATTTGTAAATTGTCTTTGAGCTCAAATTCAAAAACCATTCCACAGAATCCATAGAAACGTTGTAAATTTTGTCGTTGGTGTTTTTTTATTTGCATGTTGTTTCTATTACACACAGAGCAACAGCAGAGACAACAACGACAGCAGCAGCAGTTGCCACAACCGTAAGTAGAGCAGTTCAAAGTACGTTTGACATAGTTGTTAAGGTACAGAGACACACAAATACACACTCACACGCACACGCACACACGTTGGGTACTTCAAATCCACACCGTGGGGAGGGGGGAAAATTTGACATACAAAATATACGTTTTGACGTTTCGTTTTCTAATTGATTTAAGGATGGTAAATGTCATAGTGTTCACAGAATCATCACTCCGAAATTTAGTTTCAAGCAATTTATATCTATTTAAAGCCGAACACTTGACTTGGTGTGTCAACATAAAGAAGAGAAAATAAATTCCGATAGCATGATAAAATTATGGAAGTCAAATTTTGAGTTAAATTTTGTAAACTATTCCAAATGCCATTATTATTAAAATTTTATATAATGCATTGCGTTATATAAGTACAACAAAAACAAATAAATTAAGCACGAAAAGAGAATATATTCACAAAAAATCACACACACAACATCTGAATGTGGTTGGGAACAAAGTATGCTGCCACTTTATTAACAAATCTTAGTAATCAAACAGATAAAGTTGACACACTATGGCTGGAAACAATGCTAGACAAATCGACAAAAGTATCGAATGGATATTCCAAAAATTGCGACGGCCAACACTTATGTGGCATTTGGCCAGCAGTATTACTATAGCCACGGTTGGATTTTTGAGCAAGGTTATCACAGGTACGTGTTTTTCTCACTTTTAACAATTTTCTTTTTCTGTGCGAGCAAAATCAACGGTTTCATGAATGAAAAGTACACATTTACAACACTTTAATCGAATTAGGTGTGTGTTTGTGTGATGATATGACCGTGCTACATAGTTATTTCTACGTTTTTTTCATTGCGTTGTAATTGAAATGGTTTCCTTTATTTTGCAGCCTGGTTCAATCGTGCACGAATATACAATAACGAGATACTCGCCTCGATTATCGATACAAAACCAGAGCATATACCGTTGTTAACTTTATCAAATCATCATTCATGTTTTGATGATCCGGGTATTTGGGGTAAGCGTTTCATTATGGACTTCAACTATGAGTCATCTGTCATAGTGCGTTTGCAGTGCAACAGAAAAACATGCTTAACGATCATTGTGTTAATTGTGAATTCATTGTTTCGTTTCAGGGATTTTACCCATTCGGCACAATTGTAATTTTAAGAAAATCAGATGGTCGTTAGCGGCTCATGACATATGCTTTACCAGGAAATATCATTCTTACTTTTTTATGACTGGTGTGTATTTAGTGTGTAATGCTTGTGTGTAACAACAATTTTGTGAATGCAATGTGCAAACTGCAGTGGGTTTTTGTTTGTTTGCATTGATGACTAAAAATAGTGGAGAAATTGGGTCACAGATATTCCGTCCTAATTTCAATCAAAATATTTTTTTATTTCATTCAAAAAAAAAGACTCACTGCTTTTTTCACGCATTTGCTACCACTAAATGTGAAATATGATGAATCATTTAAAATGATTAGTTTATGTGAATTTTGCTAAATTTTTGTTTCATGTCGTGGTCACCATCGTTGTGGTCATCCAGGCAAATGTATTCCAGTTATACGTGGTGGTGGTGTTTATCAACAGGCCGTTGATTTGTGCATAGAAAAATTGGCCATCGGCGATTGGGTTCATGTATTTCCAGAAGGAAAGGTGAATTATGTGTCAATGTTATAATGTTGACTAATGTTATGCATACATACATGTTGGTGCCATCAATTAGCATGTTTACTAATTATGTCCAACTTTCTGTTTCCTTCAATACAGGTGAATATGACCAAAGAGAATCTGCGATTCAAATGGGGTGTTGGACGAATGATTTACGAATCACCAGTCATGCCAATTATTGTTCCAATTTGGCATGAGGGCATGGACACTGTTTTACCGAATTATCCGCCTTATATATTAAAATTCGGGAAAAAAATTACTATTAACGTGGGTCAACCGATTAATATAAGTGATTTAGTTAGTAGCCTAAGATCGAAAAATACACCAGAGCCAATCGCACGAAAAATTATCACCGATCGATTGCAGGAAGAAATGAACGTAAGTCTCCATAATACTGAAATTGACCTATTTCGTACCGTACATTGGAACAAGAATAAAACCGAGTCTCTCTTCATTTTTTTCTAGATTCTCCGACAATCAACCGAAAAGCTACATGCGGTATAGCATAGGTGGTATGCTCAGTTCTATCCGAATTGTGTGAAACGTATTTATCGCTCGATCAAATGAACTCTACCTGTCCAATGAAGTTTGCCTGATGTACAACAGCTTCCTAGGTCAAAACGAATTATATTTTCTTTTTTTCAAATTGTGTATAGTATAAAAAAAAACGTTAAATTATCCGGGGAAAAATTTACATTTCAAATCGAAAAATATTTTTTAAAAATTGAAATAAAAAGCAATAATTATTTATCCAATTATATCTTTTTATTGCATTTTCTGTTTGCTCTTTATTGTATATGTAGTTATTTTTTTAAAATTAAATTTTTGTCGTTTACAACATTAAATTCAATGGGACAAAAAGGTGAGATAGAGTGAGAGAGAGAGAGAAATGAAAATAAAAAGAAATACCAAGCGAAAGAAATACTAAACTAAAAAAGCAAAAGCTTAAATTTTGCTTCGATGAAAACATGAAAAAAAACGATTTAAATCGAATCATATCGAATAAACCGAAAGTGAATTTATGCTGTATATTTTGTAGGTAGATAATAAAAGTGATGTTTGTTTTTTCTAAAATTATAATTAATGCAAAGAAAGCACCGACATTCCAAACAAAATAAAAACAATCAACACCTAAATTTATTCTGTTTCTTCTTCACTTTCATATTTTGAGTTTTCGGCGTCATTTGAACCGACCGATTGGGCGTCATCGTCAGTAACATCAACTGTATCGTGATTGATGACAACGTCATCATCATTTTCGATATCATCGTTGTCGGCGTATTTTGAACTTTGTGGTCCTTCACTTGTTTCCTCGGCCGCTGACTGGGCACTTTCACTGGCAGCTTCTTCTTCCTCCTCTTGTTGCTTGCGAGCTTCGGCTTCCTGTTGTCTTGCAAGTTCAGCAAGCTCAGCAGCCTGTCTGGCAATTTCAGCTTCTTGTTCTTGTTGAGCAATCTCTTCCAATTCGGCTAATCGGGCCATTTCAATTTCACGTTGCTTTTGCTCTTGATGGCGTCTCTCTTCTTCAGCTTGTCGATCAGCACGAAGTTGTTCCTCATCGATGTCTGATTCGGAAAGAGGTTCTTCGTGGCTGTTTTGTCGATAAAACCAAATCATAAGTTATCATATTCATACGTTCAATAGATAGATGGTTAAAAATTACTGTGACTCTTCTGCAGCGGATGCTTCGGCTTCACTGGCTTCATCATGAGATGCTTCCTCCTGTGCGGCTTCTGGGAATTTATTCAATTTGGTTAGTAAATCTGTGACAAAATATACATACATTGGAACACATACCTTCAGCCTGTCGTGCGAGTGCAGCTTCTCGTTCAAGTTCAGCTAAGCGCTCCCGTTGAGCCTGTTCGGCGGCAATTCGTTCCTCTTCTTCTTTTTCTTCTTGCTCTTTGCGTTGGCGTTCAAGTTCTATGATAATACGATGAAGAAAAAAAAAAGATTAGTTGAAAAACAACGAATTCGAGCAAAATGCTAAAGCGTCAAAAATGTATATTACCTGCTTCTCTTTCGAGTTCAGCTTGTAGCTCAAGCTCAACTTGTCTTTCGAGTTCGGCTTGACGTTCAAGTTCAGCTAAACGCTCGCGTTGAGCCTTTTCGGCGGCAATTCTTTCTTCCTCTTCCTTTTGTCTCTCCAATTCTGCGAAAGGATTGATCATGGAATATTATAGAAATTTATGATCATTTTTCGTGAATAGATCATAAAGCGGGACTCACCGGCCTGTCGCTCGAGTTTAGCTTGACGTTCACGTTCAGCTTCTTTTTCAGCTGCACGTCTTTGTCTTTCAAGCTCCTGTTGGCGAGCTTCCTCTTCTGCTTCGGCTCGCTTGCGCTCTAGATGTTTTTTTTTTTAAATCAAAGCCAATTAGAATGTTTTCAAATAAAAAAACTTCAGAAGAATCCTTACTAATATTGATTTGAATTTTTATTTAAAATTTAACAAATTAAATTTTGAAATTACCAGCTTCTTTGTGTGCTCGTTCGGCTTCTTGGCGTTGTTGTTCTTTCAAGCGTTCGGCTTCCTCTTCTTCGATTTGCTTTTGTTTTTCTGACTTTTTCGATTTGACTGACCTAAGTTTGAAATGGATTTTTTAAAAATTATTTTGTTTTCAATACACAACTAAATTCGTTTGAAAAGTCCAGAAAAAGGGAAAAAAACGTACTCGTCGTCCAAAAGTTTTGATGCAAAATCGCTCTTTCTCTTGGCAAAGGCGTCCTCATCGAACGTTTCCTCGGCCAATGCTTGAAGTCTTTGAGCTCTCAATACTTGCTTCTCTCTCAATTCATCGTCACAGGCTCCGTCATCACCTTTGGGAGCCGTGAATTTGCGTGAAGGTCTCATTGGGTCTAATTTAGCTAAAGGTTGAAAATCAAACGGAGATGAATGATTTTTAACTTACCCACTACGTAAAATTGGCTATTTTTTGTGGTTTATATATGTGTGTTTTTGTGTGGGTGTGGGTGTAGGTGTGTTTTATGGTCGTGTAGTTTTTGTACAGTTTTTTTTAAATATTTAGCATTCGCATTCATAATCAACAAACAAAGACGGCCAAATATTGAAACATAACATTGTCGGCATTCTTTACTTTTGTTTTATTTTTCTCTCAATTGAGAATGCTTGCACATCAGCTCAATTCAATAAAAACAAACGTTCGTATTTTATTAGTGAATAATTTATATACAATTAATATTTATCTCGTTGCAATATATGTACAAACACATAAATTTTTAGTGTATAGCAGAAATAAAAAAAAATCGTTTCTTTGTTCATTTTGTTGGATTAAATCGTGGCATTTTTCATATTCTTTATTGTAAATTTTTTCTTCTTCTTGGTTTTGAAATCATGTTGTGTTGGTTTTTCAAAAAAAAAAAGAATAATTATTCATAAGGTTCGCTCGCACATTTGTTTTGATTTCATCATAGCAAATTTATCCATCAGCATGAGAATTTCAACCGGTTGCAAACAGATATAAAAAGGGGGACAAACAGCAACAACAAAAAAAAAATAAAATAATGGAAACACATATCATATGTAGGTATGAATGAACGTTGTAAAATTTAGATTCTCTTTTTTTCTTTTACACGACGATCTTCCATTGTTGCGCCTTGTCCTGTGCTGGCGCCTTTAAATCCCTACGAACATTCAGCTTAAAGATAAAAAGAACGTTTAAACAAATAAATTAAAAATTTTAGAACACAAGCATCGAAAATATAAAGAAAATATAACGGAGCAAAAAACAAAACAGAAACGAAAAAAAGAGTAAAATTTCGGTATTGGACAGGATGGAAAATTCTACATGGACTACAAATCTATCAACAAAAAATCAATTAAGATCGATATTTAACATATATATGTACTATATTTACTTTTGAGAAAAGAAAAATTCAAGAAAAAAAATAAAATAAATAAATAAAATCGTCTACAACAATCGAATCAAAAACTAAAAAAAAAGTTCAATTGACAACGACAACGAATATATAAAAGTTCAATGAGAACGTTTATAGTTTTTTTTTTCTACGGGTGATTTGCGTAGCTTCTGCTCGAATCACCAATTGAATAATTTCAATACGTACATGATTCTAAAACCACAGGTGGTTCCTTGTTTTCAGCCGCGGCTTTACGATTTTTCAGGTAATAGGACAACAGATTTACATCGTTGCGTACTTTATCATCATCGAAAGCTGTTGTTGCTCTTCGAGTATTGTAAGCTTTGTTTCCGACTATGCGAACCGATGCTAGGTGGCTTTTGCCTAACCAATGTTTTGTAAGATTATTTTTTTTTTAGTTTAGTTTCATTCAACATTCAGAGGATAGTTTTTTGTTTGTTTGTTTATGCGACAGTTGAATCAGTTGGAAGCAGTTGATATTGCGATGGTGGTTGTTTTGTATCGAGTTCAGTTGAAAAAAGTCCAGCATATCCCATTTTCGATTTGATTTTTGAGTTTTGGTTTTTGACATCACAAATTGGAAACAGACATTACAAAAAATTTGTATTTGAGTATATTAATCAAACAGATCGAATATGTATCAGGGTACTATCAATGTGACAATTAAGATGCTCATTTAGGGTAAGAAGATGCCGTTGATTTTCAAATAAAACCGCGTGAGTTATCGTGCAAATTGTTCGTCAAATCCCGTAGTGGTTAGTGATGAAATAGTAAAACAGGCATACGATGTTATTAGTGGCGATTAGTTGAAATTCAAATGGTTCAATGGTTGTGCAAAATTATGTGAAATATGTGAAACATGTACACGATGTATGTGTGTTTTGTTTAAATTATTTGTTCTTTTTTTTCTTCGTTTGAATACATTGTTGCTTTGAATTAAATAAAATGTGCTATGGTCGAGGTGAATTGTCATCAGCTCAAATGTTTCATTTAATTCGAAGCAACAGTGCTTTGCGAAATGAGTCGACTGAAACGAAATGAATCTTTTTTCATTCTGTTTGATCTGAAATGCTACACTACACTACTGATACACATTATATAACATACCGATGTACTTGTGTGGATTCCACGATTCGACGCCATTGTAGATGGTGCTTTTGAGCGGTGCGACGAGATGAGACACAAATGAGTCGGGACCATAACGTCTTTCATACCTTCATCGATGATGTAGCATAAAATGCGGTTATTACGATTTTTGATTTAATATTTAGCTTCCATTCGAATAAAACGGAATTATAACTCACTTGGCAGTGTAGGACGAAGCTGGCAAGCAGCTTTGAGCACGTTCAACACGTTGATGGATCTTACGCATCAAGGTATTGGTGTCGTTGCGAATCGATTTGGTAGCATCATCAAAAGCCTGCGTCAAAAAATAATAATCAAGAACAGTTTAGACACATACAAACCATAGCCAATCTACACATCTAGTACACAGAATCACATTTAGTATACAAATCGAGCGATGTGTAGCTGGTTTTTATTCATATTTTGGTTATGGTTTCGAAGGACACTTACTCGCACTGAATCCGAATTCAAATAACTATCAGTGAACAAGTGAGCTGGACGGGATCGAACCTTGTTTTCAATGCGTTTGTATTCGCGTTCGAAAATGGATGGTCTAGTACGGATACTGAACGTGGTACGAGTTGGTGATGTTGAGACACGTGTTGTATAAGAACGAACTGGAGTAGGGGGAATGATGATCAGAAATTTGGTTGGATATTAACGGCAAACTATTATTTTCTTCTATGCTAGCAGATTGAAATGAATTAAGCAGCAATTTTGTATTGTGCCTTCCTGCGGTTTCCGTCAGACGAAAGCCAAAAAGGACACTATCATGAAGCCAAAAGAGTTCTACAGTATTTTCTATTTTCTTCTTCTTCTTTTTTTTCAACTTGCATCGACTTAATTCGGCATTCAAAATAAGAGCTCGCTATCAATAAAACTAGGAAATACAGTTAACTTAGTGTATATGTGTGTGTGTGTGTATACAAACCGTAGTTGGCTGGTGATGTCAGAACGGCAATCGGTGTTATTGGGAAACGAGTTGGAATTGTATAACGAACAGGGGTTGAGTAACGCAATGGCGTTATTGCCCGGAAGGTGGGAACCGAAACAATACGCGTTACTGATGTTCTGGCTGGTGTAACGGATGATCTGATTCTTGATCCGGTTACCAAACGTTTGTGTGCAATATAAGGTATTGATCGGTGACGCACAACAGGATAGGTCGAATATATTGGATAGGTTGTGGTATAAGTGACCTAATTATGAGTTGAACGAGTTTTAGAATTTACACAAGACAGTTTGATGAGAAACATTTGGTGTTTCGTGTTGGTGTGCGTAAATGAGACAGATGGATAGAGAGAGAGAGAGAGAGAGAGAGAGAGAGTAATGCGATGATTGAAAATGATTGGATGAAACATCAATGTCATGTGTTGTAAGGCATGATGGGATGAGTGGTGATGGTGTGTGATATAAAAAAAACAGACATAGAACATGAACTTGACGCGATCCTCCGTGAAGGAGTAGCTTTTGGTCAATTCAGCCTTGAATTCAACATACCTTTCTGACGGTAGGAACAGTGATGAAGGGTGACTGCAATGAAAATAAAATCGTTGATCAGTCAAATGTATGCCAAATCTGCGGTTCAGGTCAGACAACAAATTATTGGTTCAAATTACATTTTGTTTACACTCACAAAAGACACTTGAACACAAGTTGACCTCTTTCTTTGCAAATTTTCAATTGCAACAATAACAAAACAGCCACGACAAAAAAACATTGAAAGTCTTTTATGAGTGTAACTTGATAGTGTCTTTTGTTGCATTGAACATTTTTAAATATATACACAGATGCAACAAATAATATGAAAAAAAAACGAACGATTCAAACATTTTGAAGTGCATTAATATTTGTAAAAAAAAGCATTATAAAAAAACGTAGGTGAGTTACTTTTCAAAGTGAAATGTCAGTGTTCACCTGAAAAGTTCAAAATTTGCGGTTGGTATTGCATTAAGCTGAAATTGGTTCCGCTGAGGAGGGAGGAATTAAACCATCAACACTACTAACATGGACCAAGAGAGAAAGGAAGGACAGTGTGACAGAATATACATGTTCAAGCAAATAACAAAGAAAACAAAAAAAAACTGTTTTTTTTTGTGAAGATCAATTGAGCATCCGAAATGTTTCCTTTTTATTGAATATAAGTCATATTAGCAATAAACATATTACAAATTATGCCGAAAAAAATTGGTTTCTTCCCTTTTATGTACAGAGTTATTGGTTTTTTTTTTTTAATTGTAGTTAATTTTCTAATCTCCTGTTGTACATTCAAAAATGCAATTTGTTCTCATGTTCCTGCCATTTTTTCCTCTGTTTACATCAACAAATTAGTAAAAACAACTACGTCTATCATTCTGCGAAAGATTACTAGTAAATGTTCCTGAATAAAGCAAATGTAAATAGTTTTTAAGCAATGATTTGCATCTAACAAGTATATATAAAATCATATGATTCTAAAAAAAAAGCCAATTTCTCTATGATTTTACTAAAAGTTTTCTCTTTTGTTGAATTTTTTTTTTTTTGATTTGCGTCTAACACATTGATTGATAACATCGCGCGCGATATGGGCGCCGTGCACAAAAAGTGCGCGAGCTAGAGCTTAGACACGGTATGAATAGTGGCGATAAGAAGTGCCATGTGGCAGGCGACCAGAAGTGGTTGAACTGTAACTGTAGTCACCAGGACGTGAGCCAGTGGTTGATGTACGGTCAGTTGAATAGTTGTAACCGCCGGGACCTGAAGCACTTTTGCGCTCAGTAGTTGATGAATAGGTTGATCGTTCGGGGCGACTGGAGTACGGATTGTTTGAATCGCGTACAGTTGACGATGATGAAGTGTATGAATAAGAATATTGCTGATCAGCTGTACGTGGTCTGGACGCGTCTGATACGTTATAGTAACGTGGAGTCTGTAAACAATTATACACATATATTTTACAATGCAAAATTTAGGTGAGTTTTGTTGGGTTGTTTGGTTTATTTTTTATTTTATATTTTGGTTTGCTTTTTTCTACATCAGTAAATTTGGTAAATCATCACCATGATTTTGATATGTTTGATTTGGTATTTGATTTTAGATTTGATTTCTGTTTCATTTTTCTGATTTCATAACTACAACAAGAGCGTTAACGAGAAAAAAGAAATTCGTTTCAAATTGAAAATATTTTGTTTTCGAATTTTTTTGCTTTATGTTTCAATGCTGCAATTTGCAATCACATGTTGTGAATGTATTTATAAATGCTGTTTGTATGGAAATATTTCGTTTTGGTTTTTGGGGATCAACGAAATCGGTTGAGTTCGGAACAAACAAGATTTTTGGAATATGATGATATGTTTTGAGAAGGGTATCTATCATCAGTGTGACTAAAAACAACATATTATGAGCGCAAGGTCAATTCAAATAAGTGTACTACACTTTAATAAAGCATATCGTCAGGAATAATTCATGGCGTGTGTGTGTGTGGGTGTGAGCCTGTGTCTATTGTATATGTGATTCGTAATGTGTAAAAATAAAGGAATTTCATATCCGAAAATTATAATCATGGTTCTGCCATTAGATAATAATTTTGTTTAGAAATTTAACGTTAGCAAATGTACTACAAATTACCAGAATGAATGCATTGTTAAAAAAAAGATATTATGATTAATTGCTCGTGTGTCAGATAGATTATCGTTGGGAACATAAGTGAAAACAATCATGTGTCATATGCTAAAGAAAATGTTGTATGAATGATAAATCATTAGTAGAGGTGAGAGAGAGAGAGAGAGATATATATAGAAGACCAGAAACTGGGAAGAATCTACCTACTACTTGAACAGATACTACTTCAATCATGATACTATTACAACATTGATTACCTGCAAAGCTATGCAATCAATCGATCTGTTTTTCTTTTTCTGACAATGTCGATTTCAAATGCTGAAAAAAATGCTGGAAATGGATTTTAGATGGCGGCGATTTTGGCCACAGGTTTCAATTTTCATTTGATAAAAGTAGGACGGCGTACTGATTTCTTCGTTTCTTTCATTTCGCACAAAATCATAACAACAATTTCCCTAATACGCAATAGATTTTTGATTAATTCTCTGCTAAATTCGTAAACACTCGGCCGCAAGTGTTGAGCGGTATTTTTAGAAACAACGATCAGAATGAGAGAAAGGTGTTAAATTTTTTTTGGTTTCTAAATGGATAGGGTTGGAAAAACAAGAACAACAACAACAACTGTTTTCGTCTTATTTTGTTTCAAATTTCTGTATTCGAAAAATTTCTTTTCTGTGTCTTTGTGTACAACAAGTGTGAAGTTTTCGTATAAAATTTTGTTTTGTTTTTGTCAAATTGTTTTCGTTCTAAACTAATCGCGTTGAGTGTGTTTTCGCTATTGGGATTGGGTGTGTGTGTGTGTGTGTGTAGGCTCTATTTGTGGTTGTATTTGGATGGCTCGTAAAAGAAAACTTGTCGATGTGGATCTTTGGTGGCATTTTGCGATTTGTTGTGCAAACGTGGCAACACTTTGTCCATGGAAAATTTATCGGTAATTAAGGCAGCACTGCCCCCACCTTCGCGAATATCTGCACTGCGTCGCACTTCGCTCAAAACACGATTCCGAGTTGCATCACGTGCCGAAATATAGGGATGGATAGGGCGATCGAGTATTTCTTGATTTGGTTTAATTCCCTCGCGATTGATTCGCTCCAAAATTGATACTTTTTCTTCGTTACGTGGTTTACGTTTTCCGAATGCGGTTATCGGATCGGCAATAAGGCTTGGACGTGGAACAAAGGGCGTTTTTTCCCAATCAACATCGCGTCTCTGTAATTATACATACAAATAGGGAAGAGAGGGATAGATAGAAATAGAGAGAGAGAGGTGTGGTGAGCGAAATCGATCAGCGATCGTTCAATTGGGATTTTGAATTGGTAATAACAAAAATCTGGTGTAATCAATGTCTCTATTGCCAAGCGTCAAGCCGTGGAAGCCACCATACTCGGTTATTATTTTTATTTTATTTTTTTTGGGGTTTTTGTATAGTGTTTAATATTGGAATAATGTATGTATAGGGTTGTGTGTGACAACGATTATTATCATTACAGTTTTTTGTTCGAAAACGATTCAAATCCAAATGACATTTGGACAGACTTTTGGATCATAGAATATCGCTTTGACATCTTATACTCCATTTAACGAGAGAGAGAGAGAGAGAGAGAGAGAGAGAGAGAGAAAGAAAATAACACACATCTAGACGAGATAGAAAAATAATCATTTTGTGTGCTCCATCGTTCAAAATGAACTCATTTATATATTCTGTCATGTATTCGCCACATTGGGAATTATCTAAATCTGTAACCTCCTTTATCTTAGAGAGAGAGAGAAAAAAAAACAGAAGAGATTCCCGTTCGAAACGAAAATCAGACGAAATGGCCCAACTCAATCATTTTTCACAGACAAACTTATACATAATTATTTCGCTTTAGCCGATTTTATGTTATGGTTGTTGTTTTTTGTGTGAAGCTCCAACAAATCTTGATTATGAGTACCAAAAACGTTTTATTTTTTTTTTCAGCATGAAAATGTTGTGAGTGAAAAATAAATTTCAGTTTTGCATGTTAGTCGCCGAACGATTTCTAAAGTTAGTTGAAGAGAACTGCGCGCGCTCGCTTAATTTTTCTTCATTTTATGTCGTCGCATTTGTTGTTTAATTTCAAAAATGACCTCTAATATTTAAAAACCGAAATGATTGCTTATTGAAAGGAATGAAAAGTGGTCGGCTTATACTATATATATATATATATATATATTCAACTATTAAATATATACATATAGTTGTTCCATTTTTCATTTTTATATCTTGAATGCTTTCCAAATACAAGCTAAAATGAGCAATAAATTGCGGCGATGATTCGGTGATAGCAAATATGTGGATTCATAGAAAAAGTTTCGCCTCTCAGGCTCTATTTTTAGGCTATATTATGGCAAAACTGAAACCTGAACGACATCAGAAAATGAGAATTTCCACATTGAAAAATAAGAAGAGGCGTTAGTTGCAGCTATTATTAAACCCTGGCATTTTCATAAGCAAAATGTGCACAAACATACATACACACACACACACACTGAGGAACCGACCACAACAACAACAACAGCCAAAAAATTAGAAGAATAAGAGCAGAAAATAATGCCATGATTCATTCGAATGAATTGAAAAAATAAGAAGAAGAATTGGAAGAGGAGAAGAGTGCGCGCGAGAGCGAAAGTGCGATCGCGCTAAAGAGCGCCTTTTCATCGTAAATATAAATAGTGTGTATTCCACACTCGATTTAAATTGTGTGTGTGTGTATTTATTGAAAATATCACGTATATTGATCGCCCGATTAGGGTCGAAATATTTTCTCTTTATTTATGTGTCGATCTGTTGGATTGTTGTATGTATGTGTTTATGAGTATGTATGTTTTGTGAGAAAATATATATGTTATGTACATCATTGTAATGGGCTGCTAAAGAGGATTTTTTTTCTTCATTCTTAAAATCCAAAAACCGAAGACAAACTCTCTCACACATAATTCGGTTCACAAGACCTATTCTATGGGGGAAATTTACATTGCAAACTGTTGATACCACACTATTGATCTAGACTGACTAAATGGGCTCAGAGCAGCGAACATTTATCACAAATAAAAAACGAAAACATTTTAAACTATCGGCTTTTACAGATAGATAGACGATGTAGAATCAGATGTGTCGAATGAACGGAATTAGTTTTTAGAACTACTGTTTTTAATATACGTTTGGCGTGACACGTTAAGAACCAAGAATAACTGCATCAACTACTTCGATACTACGATAACAATATCAATACCAATTACATTCGTTTTTTTTTTAAGTTCATTTAGTCGGTTTAGAAAGTAACAAGCTAGCTCTCTATAATTAGTTGACATACAAGAATAAAACGAAATAAAAACCAAGCCATTGAATTTTTGTTCCTTTTTTTGCTTCTACTGTTTGTTTTTTTAGTATCGGTTAGCGCATTAAGTGACATTACGAATAAACCACCAAATGAATAAAAAAAAATTTCACATAAATTAAATTGCACATGAACCAAAAAGAAATGCTGTGTGAGACTCTTACCGTCACTGAGTATGACGACACATTTGGCCGGGATGAATACGGTCTGCGTGTTGTATAGAAATCACTTTCGTAAACCATTTTGTTTATGTTCTTTTTGTTTTGTTTAGCAAATTATTCTTCTGATTACAGGGAACAATTAATTTTGGTATAAATTCACAAAAAACTTCCTTCGAATCGCACACAAACACTTCTACAGAAAAAAAATTGTTTTGAAAAAGAAAATTGAAAAAGAGGAAAAAAAACGTATGATAATATAAATTGGTGAAAAATGCAAAGAAAATTTCGAAAAATCTAACTACAGTTCATTGAAAATGAACTTTAAGAAAAAAAAAAATATTTAGTATATTTCACACAGCAAACCGAAAATAAAAGGAAAAAAATATTTTTTTGAGTTAGAGAAATAAACACACGAATCAACTGAGAACGCACAAATAAGCTCCGCACTCGACGCCTGGTGGAATTGCTCTGACCGAAACATTTAATAATTCTCATCAAACTCGATATTCGTTTCGGCCAGAAACCAAGAAAGAAAAAAAAACGAAGAGGAAAAAAAAATCCGAATATATTTTTGGAACTGAACTAGGCGATGAGAAAAAAACGCACATGTATTTTAAGGTCATGCTCATTGGTGGTTTGGTGTGTGTTTTTTCGTTTACAAACGATCTGCTAGATAATCAATTTATTTTTCTCGTTCGTGCAAAGAATAAAAAATTGAGTGAAAATTCCTTCATGTGTCTACAAGACAAATGCAAGCCAGCATCAATTCAGTGACGTGTATGTGTTTATAGGCATCACTCACTGAATGATCATTTTGGCGAGTGTAGAACACACACACGCTCGGAACAACCGAAAAACTAATGACAACAACAAACGACGACAACCGCAACCCATTCAGAATTATTATTTTTCTTGGAAATTATTTAAGAGGCGAAGCCTTCGTAATGAAATCACAAAGTGGACGAAACAAAAAAGAAAAACATTTGTATCTTTACACAACGTAGGCATATGGTGTGTCATTCGTGCGTTGAAAATTTCGCCTAGTCTCAACATTGGAAAGTGCGATGAATCTAATGAAAGAGATGAGCACCAAATAAAAAACAACAACACACAGAGAACAATTTAGTCTCCTGACAAACCACCACACACACCAATCATTCGATATAAATAATACGATGAGTAATCGTATCCTGCGTTCCATCGTGATTTGTTTAGGAATCGCCTGCACACATTGAACTACCACGCGAATATCTCACACCTTCAATGTAACTTTCGTCAAGGAAAATATAATTCCATTTTATGGCATTCATCATCGCTTCCTTTTTTTTCATATTTCATTTTCTCCTTCACAGACACAAAGCAATTGACGCCAAATTCCAATCGAGTTCAATAATTCGATATATTGGGCGGGTTATTTTTGATTCAACTGGAAAGAAATCGCTGTTTATTTTACTAATTTAAATAATGAAATGGACATACATTCAAAACAAATGCTATAAGTAATCATGTCTTAGAAGAGAGGCAAAGAAAAAAAATTTGCGTGGGGTTTAAAAAGTAACAAGGAAAAAAAGTCGTAGTAAAAAATGTGATGGAATTAATTCGATGGTTTAGCATAGTCGGTATAACATTTTCCGTTGCATTCGGTGCTGTAGCTCGCCACGGCGGATCATTGTGAAGACAACCTTTTGTACGGCACGTTCTGAGTACTTTTGGCGAACAAAATCCTATTTCGAAACAGCAAAAAGAATTTTCATCAATTAATTTCATCATTTTAAACAATCAACAAACTAATTAAGTCTCAAGTGTCTTACATCGATGATGTTCTTTTCTGAAACTTGTGAGCCGATTGCAAAACGACGTTTCAGCTGTTTCTCAATGCGATTGAGTATTTCGTGATCTTCTTCAGTAGTGAAACCTTCGGCACCGGCCAAACTACCCGTTGACGCTGCGTCCAATGTTGACACTTGGAACAATCGTAGTGCTTCATTCACGTGAACCTCAGTCGCAAATGGTTGCAATTGCATTTTGGCCAATGATTCCGAAATACGAATGATGGCCTCAAGTTGACGCACTGTAATCGGAATGGCCAAACGTTTATCGGTTTGTTTCTCATGCTGATGTGTTCCGCTGCGCATCAATACATAACGACTTTTCAATTTTTCACCAGCTTCGGCACTCAAACGTGGACCGCAACTGGTACGGCAGTAATGAATGAATTTCTTGAATGTGGTCAAATCAATTTCGCCTTCTGGGGCTTCATTGGACACTTTGTTGGCATTTAGATGCACATTGATGATGTGACGGGCCAAATTCTAAACATTTTAAATCACATATCATTTAGTATTTATTCAAATTTTTCTTTATCAATTGTGAAAATTACCGTATCACGTCCTTCATCATGCACATCCTTGACGATGAAAATCATGTCGAAACGAGACAAAATGGTTGGCATAAAATCGATATTCTCTTCGCCTTTTGAGTCATCCCAACGACCGAAAATGGAATTGGCGGCTGCTAGAACGGAGCAACGTGTGTTCAATGTGGTTGTGATACCAGCTTTGGCAATTGAAATAGTTTGCTGTTCCATCGCTTCGTGAATGGCCACACGATCATCTTCTTTCATTTTGTCGAACTCATCGATACATACGACACCACCATCGGCCAAAACCATTGCACCACCCTCCATGACGAAGTTACGCTGTTTGGAATTGGAATTCAGGTTCATTTAGTTTCATACTTTACTTAATCGATTGAAATGTTATTAAGTCGAAAAAATGGGTTTTATTCAATACGTACAGTGGCTGGATCGCGCATTACCGAAGCTGTTAAACCAGCAGCACTAGAACCTTTTCCAGACGTGTACACCGCAATCGGAGCAACCTTTTCGACGAATTTCAACAGCTGAGACTTGGCTGTACCAGGATCACCCAAAAGTAAAACGTTGATATCACCACGACGAGTCAAACCGTCGGGCATCCGTTTGCGTGCACCACCAAACAACAAACATGTAATTGCCTTTTTGATGTCACTTGAACCGAAGATACTTGGTGCAAGACTCTTTGCCAAACGTTCATAGATATCCGGATGGGCAGCCAGACGACGGAACTTCTCTTCCTCCTCCATTGTAATGGTGGTGTAACGTGAAATGACGCCAGTTCCTTCGGAATCAACGGTTATGCCAACGACACGCATGTATGGAGCACGAACACCAACAATGGCCTTTTCACGGCTGTCGCCCTTTCCTGGATTGCCAACCCTACGAATCGAGTAAATACCGTGAATCAACACTCGATTTCCAGGAACAACACGCTCACACAGGCTGCGATCCAAGAACAATTGCATGTGACGCGGAATTTCACCCTAAATACACGAGAAGAAAAAAAATCGTTTTAATAGTAAACAACAGCGAAATATTTTCCTTTAAAACTAATATTCAAAGCAAATTTAATGAAAAAAAACCAAGATGTTATTTTCATAAGCGCCTTAATTAGTTTGAATTCAGTTGTTTACTTAATTGAATTATTCAAATTTGCAATCTTTTACTTTGAATGTCCAACTAAAACTGAAATTAATTGAAATTAATTGAATTGAACTAAACTAAACTGACGTTGACTAGTGATATAACATGAACTGAAAACTTAAAATTGTCAAAATTCTAAACACTGTTAAACTGTAAAAACCGTCGGCTTATTTAAGTAGACGTTAAAACTCGCAAATAAATAAATAAAATAAAAAACCAATTGACTAGAACTAATGATGATCAAATCTCAAATTACGAAATGTAAACAAACACTCCACATGATTCAACAATGACGGGCCAATGACATTTACAAAAATAAACAATGCGTCCTTCAGAGTCGATTCAATTCGAATGTGTGTACGTGCTAAGTAGTTCGGTCATTCGATCATTACCTGTGGAATGAAGTCGGGCAGCTCTTGTAATTTAAGCACTTGAAAATCGACACATTTGCATTTGTCTGGCATAATGAAGAATGGATCCAATGAGCACGGTGGCCGACCGGCTTGTTCACTGAAATCAACACATATTTGTTGTTAGTACGATAGAGTAACCAAAATAAACGGCACCATAAACATACGTTGTACACTTTCGTGGCATTTGAAACCCTTCCAAGCCTGGATTCACTTTGAGATTTGGGATGACTTCGTTGCATGACCGACACTGAATCGACATCGAAGTGGCTTTGGCTTTGATACCAGAAGCAGCAATAATGATACCAGCCACTTTGACCAATCGCGACACACACTCCGACTGACAGAGAAAAAAAAATCGTTAGAAAAATCCAAAATCAAATACCATTTTGACTCACCTTCAAATCGCGAATATTGGTTGGATTTGCATTTGATTGTAGCAAAATTTGAATATCCTGCACCTCTTCCTCACCTTCTGGGCGCGGAGATGTTATTTCATCGGCCACCTCACGCGCAGCTTCTTCAAAAATTTGCAGATTTTCCGTTGGCTGCTTGTGAACTTTGTCGGATAACATTTCATCGAATCCGGCCAAGTCTTCCATTTCAACCTCCAAGAAGTAACGGCCCAACAAATAGTTTCGCTTCAATGCATCACTACAACATACACCACAACGACGATTAGATTTTAAAAAGAAAACCAATGCACTTTAGCACGATCAATACTCACCGATATTTGTAGTGGAAATTGTCTTCGTTGAATGTACGAATGAATTCTTTAAACTTCTTTTTAACGGCCTGTGCATTAATTTGATTTCCATTTTGCTCATTGTCCGGATTGAAATTGTCCGAGAAGAAGACTGCTGCATCGTCAAAACCTTCCATTTTTCCACGTTTAATTGATCACTTTTAAAATAAACTTTTTAACCAATGTAAATACAGTCGAGAGAAATTTTGCAAAATTTGTATGTGGTTAATCGAAAAACCACTTGTGATTTGAACAGAAAATGCTCGATGTCAAACGTCGAAGCTTGTATTTTTGGCGCGAACATGAATGATGTTGCCGCTCTTCAACTCAGTCAGATGTTTTAGTTATATCAGTAGATACTTAAAGCTTAAGTGTCAACCTTTACATTGCAATTCAAACATTTAAACCAGGATAATAAAAGAAAGAATCACATTTTTTTCTACTGACAATTTTAAATTTAAAATGACATTTTTTTTATTTTATCAAAAAAATATTTTTTTTCATTTCAATGTAAAAACCTTGATCTCAAGCTGTGTGTGTCTCTACATCTGTCGTTCACATACCGTATTCAAAATACTTAACACTGAACACGAGCATGTGTATTTAAAGTTGATTGGCGCGAATCTCTAACGTCAAAATCAACCGCAAAAAATCTGTTTGGTAATGTTTTTGATTCGTTGATAAAAATTTGATTTGTTTGTAATTTGATGACCTAAAGGAATTAGAATTTAAGTGACATTTTCACACTGACTAAGATGAGTGTGAATACGGGAAAATATGTGTCGGATGATAGATTTGAAGGGTAATGTTGACAATAAATAAAAATTATTGCAAGTCTTGATCGTAAATAACAATTGCTGTTGTAATTTTTTTTTGTAGAGATACTAATTCGATTGGAATTCGAGAATCGCGTGAAAATGATAAAATCGATTCAAAATATGGATTTGATCGTATTAAAGACACACAGGAGCGTACCGGTTACCTGATAAATATGCATTCGACGGAAATTCTTGATGAAGATCGACGTTTGGTTGCGGCACTCGATCTCTTTTTCATTCAAATGGATGGAAGTCGATTCAAGGCATCTGTCGTGTACGAACCGTATTTCTTAGTACTACCGCAGGCAGAGCAATCATTGGAAGTGGCACGTTATCTTCAGAAGAAATACACCGGCCATTTGACGCGTATTGAACACATACAGAAAGAAGATCTCGATTTGGCAAACCATTTGATTGGGAAGCAACAGCATTTTTTGAAGTTGCTATTCCCGAATATGAACGCATTGAATAAAGTGCGCCGTGAAATTATGTCAGCGGTAAAGAAGAATCGTGAACGCGAGAAAGCAAACACAAACTACATAAAATTGTTGTCAACATCGCTGGCGCACAGTTCGAATACGGTGGCTACTAAGAGTGCCGATTACTTGGATTACATCTCTGACATTCGTGAGTATGATGTTCCGTATCACGTACGTATTTCGATTGATTTGAAATTGAATTGCGGTTTGTGGTATGACATTCGATGTCGTCCTGGTGGCTTAGAAATGCCATTGATAACACCACGGCGCGACATTCTCGATCGTCCCGAAGCAATTGTTCTGGCATACGATATTGAAACCACAAAATTGCCGTTGAAATTCCCCGATGCACAAACCGATCAAATTATGATGATTTCATACATGATTGACGGTCAAGGTTATCTCATTACGAACCGAGAAATTATCTCGTGCGACGTCAATGATTTTGAATACACGCCAAAACCAGAGTTTGAGGGAAATTTCATCGTATTCAATGAACCGGATGAAATGAGTGTGATTCAGAGATTTTTCGATCACATTTTGGAAGTGAAACCACACATCATCGTCTCGTACAACGGTGACTTTTTCGATTGGCCATTCGTTGAGACTCGGGCCGCCGTTTATGACATGGATATGAAGCGAGAGATTGGTTTTTGGAAGAATCGCGACGGAACGTATCTATCCCGACCGGTTATGCACATGGATTGTCTTTGTTGGGTGAAGCGAGATTCTTATTTGCCGGTTGGAAGTCAAGGTAATTTTCACTTTCATACTTTAACTCTTTCAACTCAAGTTTTAAGAATGGATTTAACTTTCTTGATCAGGTTTGAAAGCGGTGGCCAAAGCAAAATTGCGATACGATCCCGTTGAACTTGATCCGGAGGAGATGTGTAAAATGGCTGTTGAACAGCCACAGGTGCTGTCGAATTACTCAGTGTCCGATGCGGTGGCCACATACTATCTTTACATGAAATACGTGAATCCATTCATATTTGCCTTGACCACAATTATTCCCATGGAACCAGATGAGGTGCTGCGCAAAGGATCCGGAACACTTTGTGAGACGTTGCTCATGGTACAAGCATTCCATGCAAACATTGTATTTCCGAACAAACAACAATCTGAACTGAATAAGCTATCAGATGACGGTCATGTACTTGACTCTGAAACCTATGTTGGTGGACATGTCGAAGCGCTGGAGTCTGGTGTATTCCGAGCTGATATTCCGTGCCGATTCCGAATGGATCAGGAAATGATTATGAAACTACAGAACAATGTGGATAATGTTCTGAAGCATGCTATTGAAGTTGAAGAGAATGTTTCACTGGATTTGGTCACAAATCTTGAGGAGGTGAGAAATGACATTATGACTGGGCTAAAGGAATTGTACGATGTGCCGAATCGTTTGGAGCAACCGGTTATTTTTCATCTGGATGTCGGTGCGATGTATCCGAATATCATTCTCACAAATCGATTGCAACCATCGTCAATGGTGTGCGAAACAGATTGCGCCGCTTGTGATTTCAATAAACCAGGTATGAAAGGATATATTAAATTTTAAATCAAGCAGAAGAGGCTGACAATTTCAACTCAAATATGAAAAAAAAAATCAATTTTCATTTTCATTTTCGTTCTCAGACGCTGATTGCAAACGAGTGATGGATTGGATGTGGCGTGGTGAAATGTTACCGGCCACAAAAAATGAGTATCAACGTATCCAACAGCAGCTTGAAACTGAAAAGTTTCCGCCACTCTTTCCGGGTGGACCAAATCGAGCATTCCATGAGCTATCCAAAGAAGATCAAGCCGCTTACGAGAAGAAACGTTTGAATGATTATTGTCGGTATGTCATCCGGATATTTATTCCCTATTAAGTTGAAGAGCAAGCAGAACATTTTAAAATCTCAATTTTCGAACATTTCTCTTCCAGCAAAGCGTACAAGAAAACGAAAATTACTCGTCTCGAGAATCGAAAATCGACCGTTTGTCAAAAGGAGAACAGTTTCTACGTCGACACCGTGCGTGCGTTTCGTGATCGCCGTTACGAGTACAAGGGGCTAACAAAGGTGGCGAAAGCAGCTGTTAGCAAAGCAATGGCCGGTGGAGATGCCAGTGAAATCAAAGCAGCACAAGGCCGTGAGGTGTTGTATGATTCACTTCAATTGGCGCACAAATGTATTTTGAACTCATTCTACGGTTATGTGATGCGACGAGGTGCACGGTGGCACAGTATGTCGATGGCTGGTATCGTCTGTTTGACCGGTGCCAATATTATTCGTAGAGCGCGTGAGATTGTTGAACGTGTCGGTAGACCGTTGGAATTGGATACGGATGGTATTTGGTGTATTATGCCTGCCACATTCCCGCAAGAGTTCACCATTCACACACAACACGAAAAGAAGAAAAAGTTCAACATTTCCTATCCAAATGCTGTGCTAAACACTATGGTCAAAGATTACTTCACAAATGATCAATACCATGAACTTGTTCCCAAATCGCCTGATGACGATCCAAATGAACCACCAAAGTACGTCAAACGCGAAGAGAACTCCATTTTCTTCGAAGTCGACGGCCCATACCTAGCAATGGTGCTGCCAGCCGCCAAAGAAGAAGGAAAGAAACTCAAGAAGCGTTATGCTGTCTTCAACTTTGATGGATCATTGGCTGAACTCAAAGGATTCGAAGTAAAACGTCGTGGTGAATTGCAGTTGATTAAGATTTTTCAATCGTCAGGTAGAAAATTATTCACATTTTTGTCTCACAATTTTTTTAAGATTATGAATTATTCTTATATCTATAAATTTTGCTATTATCAGTATTCGAATCCTTTTTACACGGCAATTCATTGGAGGAATGCTATGCAAGCGTTGCAAAAGTGGCCGATTATTGGTTGGACGTGTTGTACAGCAAAGGATCCAACATGCCCGATTCCGAATTGTTTGAATTGATTTCGGAGAATCGATCGATGTCACGGAAATTAGAAGATTATGGTGCTCAAAAATCAACATCAATTTCTACTGCTAAGCGTTTGGCCGAATTTCTTGGTGATCAAATGGTGAAAGATGCCGGTTTAGCGTGCAAGTACATCATATCAAAGAAACCAGAAGGTTCGCCAGTCACTGAAAGAGCAATTCCACTGGCCATTTTCCAATCGGAGCCAAGCGTACGACGACACTTTTTGCGTCGTTGGTTGAAAGGTAAGTGATGTTTTAATGCTTCCTAATTGGAGATTTTTATTCAGTTTGTTTTCATTGTTTTATTTACATCTTCATTTCAAATCAGTCATTAGTGATTGTGCCTTTATAAATGCATGTGTATCTTATGCATAATAAGAACCATTGATTTCCATAAAGATAAAAAAAAATTATAACATACTATCATCTTTCTAGATAACACAATGGGTGATGCCGACATTCGTGATGTACTCGATTGGAACTACTACATCGAGCGTTTGGGTGGTACAATTCAGAAGATCATAACAATCCCAGCTGCGCTACAAGGCATAAGTAATCCAGTGCCTCGAATTCAACATCCAGATTGGTTGCACAAGAGAATGCTCGAAAAGAATGATGTGCTGAAGCAACGTCGCATTAACGAAATGTTCACCGTCAAACCGAAGCCGGTTGTAGAGCATGTTGACGAGAGTGAGAATGAGGACGACGACAGCAATGCCGGTGATTCAAATGATGAAATGATTCGCGATATGGAAGATATTGGATCGAATGTTGCACATGGTGAGCGTCGACCCACTGTTCATCGTCGCAAACGAAATGCCAGCGAAATGGAAGAAGCTGAAGCAAATGAGCCAAAAACTTGGCGCGAAGCACTCGGAACACTGCCTGAAATAGGTGATTCACGTGAAGAAATCCAAGAGTGGGTTGAATACCATAAGAAAAAATGGCGATGGCAAATTCAACAGCGAAATAAGCGTCGTGTACACCAGAATAGCAAAAAGTCACGCACGGAAAATACGATCCACCGACCGGTTGCGGCGAGCACATCAGGTGGTGTAACCATTGGTGGTTTCATTCGACGAACACAGCGTAGTATCATCGAACAACCATGGCAAATCATTCAAATTGTTTCACTAGATGACCTCGGTACGTACACCGTTTGGGCCATGGTCGGCACTGAATTGCATAAGATCAAATTGAATATACCGCGAATATTCTACGTAAACAAACGAACACCAGCACCAAATGAAGAGGGTTGCATGTGGAAACAAGTGTACCGAACATTGCCACGGTCTCGGCCCGTTTTTCATCTCTATCAATATATTGTTTCGGAGAATGTTTTCAAAGAACATCGCCTGGGAATGTTGGCCGATTTGGCAACACCGGACATTGAAGGTATTTACGAAACACAAATGTCTCTGGAATTCCGTGCTCTAATGCAACTGGGTTGTATTTGTTCGGTGCAACGAACTGTGGCCCGTGAGATTGCTGCAAAGAAATCGACGAATGCTCCGGATAATTTTTCAATCGAACAGCTTGAAACACGACCATTGTCACAGCAGCCGTATCTCAATGCAGGTGGAAATCTGAAACGTATGTTCTTGTACCAACACAGTTCGGCGAACGGCAAACGAGAGCTCTGGGGTCTTTTCATTCCGATCATCAAAAAGTCGATCATTATCTGTTTGGATTCAGTGCGTACAAATCAAATGCCATCGATAAAGAACTTCTATTTGACCGAAAGATCGGCATACCTGAAAAATTCACAGAGCGATGCAGACAAAATTCCACCAGACGATATGCAATTTGAAGTATTTTTCGAAGTTGACTCCAAATTGGTATATCGACACATAAGCCATTTGCTAGCAGCGTTCAGCAGTGAGAAAAAAGGGCCGGCTCTACTTTGTGTCCAAGCGGGTATATCACTGCATAAGCTGAACATGACAATTCCAGCGGCCAGCGATTTTCCACAAACTCAAATTTTCATCGTTGACGATGCTGCGTTGTTGACGGGTTTGGACTGGCAACGGAATGGCACCAAGTCAATGTTACGACATTTATTCAACTTAAACAGTGTGGTGGATTTGATGCTGGAACAGTGTCGCTACTATCAATTGCCCATTGGAAACATGCCGGCTGACCCGATTATGTATGGTGCTGATATTTTCTACGCAAGATTGCTTCAGAAGCATAACTTCTTACTATGGGCATCACCAACGAGTCGACCAGATTTGGGTGGCCGTGAAGCTGATGACAATCGTTTGTTGAGTGAATTCGAAGAGAGCATAACGGTTGTACAGAATAACAGCGGATTTTATGACTGCGTTTGTATCGAATTGACCGTTGACAGTTTGGCGGTTACGGCACTACTGCAAGCCAGTAGAATACAAGAAATCGAAGGTGCTAGCTCAGCAATCACATTTGATGTAATGCCACAAGCATCGCTTGAAGACATGATCTTGAATAATCCATCAGCTTCACTTTCGAACTACGACGAAGCAGCATTATGCAGTGCTGCACTAAAAGTCATGAGATCAATGGTAAACATTTGGTTGCGAGAGGTGGCTATCGATCGCAATGTGTTTGCCGATTTTCAAGTTGTTCATTTCTATCGATGGATCCGATCGTGCACTTCACTTTTGTATGATCCCGCCTTGCGACGTAATCTCAACAATTTGATGCAAAAAATCTTTTTGCAAATTATCAGCGAATTTCAACGGCTCAATGCCAAAATTATTTACGCTGATTTCAATCGAATCATTCTGAACTCGGGTAAAAAGTCCATCGTTGATGCCATCAGCTATGTTGAATATGTGGTGCAAAGCATCCGGAATAAGGAACTGTTTCACAGCATTAATCTCACTTATCAACAGGTTGGTTATTACTGATACTTTATTACTTTTTTGTTTAAAAACAAATTGTCAATTCAATTCTTCTGCTGAATTGACATTGTAACGGCATTTTCACGGAACTTACGACCTTTCTACTCTTTTAAATTAAGTCATGGGAGTTCTTGCTGTGGATGGATACAGCAAATTATGCGGGTCCATTGGCTAAAATTCCAAGAGAACTGCAAGCAACCGATATCACACAGAACAGTGAAACCATAAATCAAACAAGCGATGATAACGACGAAGTGAAAATCGAAATGAATTGGAATATTGCTGAGCAATTGCCTGGGGATGAGAATTGTCGTGCTGAATTCGAGGCATTATTGAAACTCTTAATGGATGCTCTGGTTCTCAATAACAATTCGGTCAAGGATGGAATCGAGGCCATCACTATGTATGCTTATGAAATTGTTCAACGCTTACATAAGGGCCATCCGCCGGGAAAAGTCAGTCCGGCGACACATTTCTCAAATGCTCTCATCGAAGTTCTAAGCAATATGAAGGATGTGGATTCTGAGGTAAGATATTTAAGGTTATTGAAATTGACTGAAATTGAAAACTAAAACTACTTTTCTTCATTGGACAACAGGTTCAAACCCTTCGTCGAAATATGCTGCGATTGATTGGGCTCGGTGAATTCAGCGACTTGGCAAAATGGCAGGAGAAGGTTCATACGTACGTTCTAAATGAAGTGATTTGCAAAGCATGCAACCAGTGCCGTGATATTGATTTATGCAAAGACAAAGATCGAGCTACGGTTAATGATATGTAAGTACAATTCGATTTTAATTTGAATGAATTCAATTGAAGTTATGCAAATGATGTATCTAACGAATTGAATTTTCTCAATTTTATCGCAGTCCCGTTTGGCTCTGTTCACATTGCTACGTTTACTATGAAAACGAAGAAATTGAAATTCGTCTCTTGGATGTAATGCACCGTAAAATCATGTCGTACACATTGCAAGATCTTCGGTGCACACGTTGCAAGCAAATCAAACAAGAGAATATGGCTGAATTGTGCTCGTGTGCCGGATCATTTGAAACACTGATTCCAGCCAAGAAACTGCGTCAATTACTGCAAACATTCTTGGAAGTGGCCGACACGCATAAAATGGACTTGCTCAAAGAAGAAGTTCACGTATTTCTCACTAACTCCATTTAATCCAAAACATTTCATAAATTATTTCATATGCTATATTAATAAGGTAAAAAATAAATAAAAACTAAATATATACGACAACGTTTTTCTTTCAACTTTGTGTTTTTATCTATAAGCTTGACTTGTTTATTCATCTCATTTTAAATGTGCCATAACACAATTTCACAGAAATGGGATTTCATTGTTGTTTGGAGGTATGATTGAAAGTAAATTCCATTTTCTACTTGATTTAAGCGGCTTTCTCAATGCTAATTGGGTCTAATTTTGGTTCTTGGAATTTGAAATCTGGGAATTTGGTCATATCAACACCTTTGCCGCCACCGAATTGCTGTGGAAAAATGAATATGTTGATTAGTTGAATGGAGTAAAGAAAAACAAGTGACAAGGGATATGACGTTCAATATACCTTGGCAACACGGTCCAATTCTGATTTAAGTTCGGCTTGGATTTCTGGTGTTGCGTCAACAAATGAGTCGTTCCTGTAAAAAGAAGCAAAATTTAAATGAAAATTCAATGTAATTTTGTTTAAATATCGGTGAAAAAATCCATTGAAACTCATCTTACTTTGACTTTGATTTATATTCACGGACTTTGTCCAAGAACAATTGTTGGATTGGATCCGAAACTTTTTGCATAGCGGGAACCATGATACCGAAGTTTCGACGACATTCCGCCGATGCGACACGAAGTCCAGACAAAACAGTTTTCGTAAGCATCTAAACGGGATGAGAAAATTCAATTGAAATTTCGATGATTTTCAATCATTTCAAAGCGTATTCCGCTGAACATTGGCAATGACTTGGGTCTTGACGTTCTTTTCGAAAAGTCATATCTCAGTTATGTAATTTTTGGTCAATGCTGAGCGGAAAATTCATAATTTTTCAATCGTTTGAAGTGGAAAAACTCGGATTTAACAATCAATCAAACAATCACCGTAAATGTATTTTGTAATTAATCCTATTTCAGTGCCCAAAAAATATCCGAAATAAATTTAATAATTTACACAAAAACAAAATCGAAGATTTTACCTTTTTTTCAGTGGCAAAAATGTGAGCACAAAACTGTGGGTACGGCAAACGTCAAATGTCGTTCTTGATGGTCAGCTCCCCTGGTGGTCGAGTCAAAAACTGTTCTAATCGGTATTGGGTGCGTTCAATTACTGGGCAAAGCTTTCGTTAGTTGAAAAAAATTAAATCATTCTCTCGCTCAATTCGTCATGGAAATAAAAGCGTCGAAATTTGAAACATTTATTCATTTTATAAAATTACCGTATATATTTTGATCTAGAATTTTAAACACATCGCTACAGTAATTGAATGACATTACATTGGATTCGAACGAAGCATGTATATATCTCTTTTCTCGTTCGCAACACCTATTTGGTCATCATGTGTATTCTAATGAAGGATTTTAAAGAATTGAATGAAAAGCAAAGTTATTAATGAACATGAAAAAAATAATACTTAATAATAGATGAAATGCATAATAACCGCATTTGTATTGGTAGTGCCGGCATGTGCATCAGATAAACAGAGTCGATACGTACGGTGTTATGGTTGTGTGAGCAAGAAAGCAATGCATCCATTGAAATATATAAATGAAGAGACAGAGGGAGAAAGAGATGAAAAAAAGAACACCACGCACAGCAAACTGAAAGAAAAAAAAACGAAAGAAAAAGAATAAGTCGAAAAGAGATTAAACAACATTCATTTATTCGACAACAATATACATGAGCACACAACGAGCGCAGCGAGTACGTATCGGTCGGACACACCATTATCATGCTTCAGTATTTGTGTGTGCGTATCAAAATTCATTCATAAAAGCAGCCAAGTCTGCTGGTTTGTGAATACACATGCATCAATACGTCTGCATACATACGTATCTCACTATCGATATGTGGTTATTGTGACTGCTTTGTACAACACTTTGTTGCTGCTGTTGCTGCTGCTGCGGCGGCCTGCTATCTCTCTGCTCTCACTCTCTTCACGTTGTTTAGCGTCACTTCTTTACGGTCGCATTTTTCGTTGTATTGTGCCGTCTTCATTCGAGTTTTGAGTGCCAACCTACGTGCCTCGTATTATGTTTTTATTTATCCTTTGTTTCGTTTTTACTTCAAAAATATAGTGTTTAAGTGGTTCCAAGAAAGGAGACACAAGAAATAGATACACATGTTGGGCATAAAGTTTTTCGAAAGTTTCATTTCAATGTAGTAGAGAAGGAGCTTCGCAGCGATCTCAAGTGTTTCCCAGTGCAGAAAGAAGACGAACGAGAGAGAAGAATTGAGCAAAAAATAAAATAATACAACACATGAACTGGTAAAAACAATTGTTTTTTAGAACATAAAACAGCAAGTAAATGCACATCGAGAGTGAAATGGACAACGGTTTGTTTGTTAAAAGTCATTGAAAGAGGGAGAGAGAGAGAGAGAGAGAGCAAGTCAAAGAACATACAAAAAAAGTCATTGAGTGTGCGCGTAGTCCTTAAACGAGCGTTTGACAAATAATTTAGTGTGACGGGCTCAATTCATAATTGCATCTCACAGTTTGAACAGAATTTTTTTTACGAAAAACGATCACATACAGAAAATAAAGTGAAAACAAAAAACAGCAACAGCAGAAAGTTATACAGGGCGCGCGCGATTGTGGTCAGTTATAAAGTGTTCTATTTGCGTTTATTTGCTTTTGCTTATGCAGCTTAATTATAAATCAAATACTTGCAATTAAACGTCGGCCTGTCTGCTGAAGTGTGTATATGTTTGTGTATGTTATGTGATATGGATTCGAAAGACGTTGTCGTCGTCGACGAACGTTTGGTTTATAGACATGCGATAGCAGCATAAAAGGAATTTGCATTTTCATTTTGAATTTAAATGTTTCTCACAATTTTGTGTGTACGGTTCTATTCTATATCGTGTGTGCCTGTGCTAAACGGAAAAAAATAAACAGAAAATTGAAAAGAACTCGAATGAAATGTGCGTTTTGCTCTTTAAAACTCGTGCCTTAAACTTGTGATATTTTATTATTGTATATTTTTGTTTACGAAAAAGCAAATTGCATTCGTTGTTTTCGATAAAAACCGTGTGACATAAACTATTTGTAACAAATTGAATGATAATCATTTACACACAATTAAGAAACGAGCTGATCTCGCCATTTTTTGTCCTCTTCACAACTTGCTTCTGTGTGTCTTTGAATCGTTGTCAGTCTTCCCCCAAATACATTTAACATTTTATTTTCGAAATATATTTAAATTTTGATAAAAAAAAGAAGAAGAAGAAGAAGAAGAAGAAGAAAAGAAACAGACAAACATTACCAAATCAACATCGTGAATTCTTGCAATACAATACAATTATTTATATATTTTGAGTGTGCTGTTTTAAAATGAGCCAAATCGGTATGAATCTGTATTGGTGATCTCATGTGATTTTATTTTTCTTATAAAACGACCCATACGTTTGTGAAACACAACAATTTTATTTACATTTACGAAGACAACAAGCAAATCGTGCAAAACCATTCGACTATTCGATTTGCTGCTTCTGCTCGTTTTGCTGAGACACAATTTTTTTTTATGTTGATCAAAATAAGCGGTGTAAAGAAGTACATACACTCACACATATCAACGGAACATCATTTATATTTTTCGGGATAACCAGAGGGAATCTCGAAAAACGAATGCAATTTCAATATTGAATTGTTGGTAAGTCACTGAAATGTAAATGAAATATATTTATGTATTAGAATTTTTGGCTTTTGAGTCATTTTTTTCTCTCTCGCGGTTATCAAAAACAAGGGAAATGAGGAAACAAACTTGTTTCCATGCTTGATATCTATAGGAAAAGTTGACGCTTAATCATAGTTTGAGATTAAATCTCGTTTTATTTTTGTTTCTACGAACATAAAAAAAAAACGAACAATCTCTTAATTCTCTTTGGTGATTATACATGTTATTTTTTTTCTGCTTGAATCTAATAATGCTGTTGTTCAGATTTTTGTTCGGAACTACTCGTGGCCAATTTCAAGCGATGCGAAACTCAAATGATAGCTGAAGTCATAAAAAAGTACCGATAATGTGGTAGAAAAATAGGGTTATAATCGGTAGATCGCCAAAAATGATTCAAGAACATCATACCATGTGGTATGGCTGTAAACATATAAGTATACGATCATGGACTCTCCAACCATGTCGCATTTGTATTGTGTGATATATATGCGATTGTCACCTTTGTTGGGCACCTCCCCTCAAAGTGGTTTTTAACTTCAAACAGAAAAAAACTCCCGTTATCATGGCCAATTACATTCGATTGCGTGAAATTCAACTGCGAAGAAAGATTCATGACGACTCTTTACATTGATCACAATATCGTGTACCTGTCAAGTCGGAACGTTCAATCGAATCCAAAAACTTGAGATCTTTGCACTTGATTTCGATGGTGTTTTTGGTCAGGATGGAAATTAACCGCAAGAAGTAACCGAAGCTGATATTTTCCGGTGACACTTTCGCTAGTGTGTGTATGTTTGGACAGTGTGATTTTCTTATTAGCTTCCGCAATATATCGAGAGAAAAAAATTACACAACACAATTTTCCAAGGCGACAAAGACAAAAGAGAGAGAGAGAGAAAAAAAAATAACAAAAACAACAGAAATAATAAGCCAACAACTAGGCTCTTTCGATTTGTTTTTTTTTTCCTTTTAATCTTGTCTCTCTTATCGCAGAAGGTATCGTGTAAAAATCCGAAGCCATACAACACACGGCCTGTCGCTTATTGTATATATACTACATGCACCGAAAAAAAAAATTATGGTTCGAAAAAAGGATCGGGCAGAAAAAAAAATTCCCACATTCCGAAATAATCTGTTAATGGTATACAAACAGCCATGAAATTTTAGATGATGATGGTATATATGGAGTATGTGCATTTTGCTTTCGTCTGATTTCTGCTCAATATTAAATTTATGAACCTCTGGCAAAGCGAGCAGCGGTTTATCTTACCGACTTTCTTGTGATATATTTAGGGAGGTTTGCAGCCAATATACAATATTCAATTTATATGCTGTCCTCTTTCTCTTCTTAAGCACCAGCAGCAACAACAACAACAACAAGAGCCAAAGAAAAAGATGAGAAAAATAATACACATATACTCAATTTTGCGCCGCGTTGAGTTTCACATGCATTTGAGAGAGCGAGCGAGAGCCAGTACACGGCTGAGAGTTGAGCATGTGAACGATGGTATATATGGTGCACTGTATGTATGCAATGTGCTGGCAAGTGTTTCGCCTGTTGTAAGGATATCAAATATTAGTTCTTTATAAAATCACCCTAAGATGTGTCGTAGCGTATTGTATCGAATATCGTCGTGCACATGTTGTCGTATTTTTCTCATCTCACTGATCATTTTGATTTTGTTTCGCCCTCTCTTCGTGTGCGCGCTCGCTCGCTCGGTGCGCTAGGATTGCATTTTAACATTCAACATACAATGTGTGCACTATACACACAGTGAACGCTCATACATGCGATTGGGTGGGAAAGTGAGTGAGAGAGAGACACGAAATGGAAAGGAGGATGGAATTGTGTTGAAAGGAACGGGACGAAAAACTCGACGGTCGGCTGATATGCAGTCAGAATACGAAAAACTCTATACCTGCAAGTCTGCAACAGCAGTGAATCTTAAACAGATAAAGAAGATGGAACAAAAGCAGAACGAAATAAAACACTGTGAAAATAGGGTTTTTTCTTCTCTCGTCGCTTTTTCCTTTCACTATCTCTCTCTCTCTCTCACTCTGTGTCTCTCTGTCTTTCGAATTTATCGATGCAGTTGTATGTTCGATGCTGTTTCAATGTGCGTTAGGTTTTTAGTTCTCGTACGCATTTTCCCATGTTATATTATTTTTTCTCTTGTTTCTCTTCTTCTTCTTCGGCTGCTTCATCTTCTTCAACACAAAAACAACACTACGAGGTATTATTATGTAAAAAGAACATATGTAGAATTGTTTCATGTGAAACTACGGCAAATCTATAGCCAGCCGATGTTTTTGTGTTTAATTAGATGCCTGCCATCCACTTCAAGCGTATACGCGATTATCGTTTTCGATTATTATATCATATGAACGGTTTGTTTTGGTTCTTCATATTTGCCGTGAACATGAGAAAAGATCATCAATACACAGGACTAAATTTTTTTTCCCCTGCTCCTCTCTCTCCTTCGCCGTTTTGAGAGACGGTGCTTGTATGTGGCATTATTTGATCATGTACCGAAATCAAACTGAAACCTATGAATAGCTGCTGAGAGAAAATAATGTATAGAAAAAGGGAGAAAAAAATCCAACACCATAGATATTGCAAGACAAATAGACATCCAAATGTTGATGCATTTTCCAATTTTACTCATTTCATTTTTGTTTTTTTGGTTTCTCACAGTTTACTCGAAATGGAATTCGAAATTTATGAGTCAGAATTAGCAGACTACTCACTGCAAGACTCGCCATTCTACGAGGCTAACACCCCAATTATTTTCGGTTTAACGTCAGCACAAAGTATTTTCGCATCAAATAATACCGCATCCATGGTGGACGCATTAAATCTATCATCAAAAAAATCCTCGATAATGATGTCAGCCAAATGTCAATCGCACAAACTGGCATACGAGCGCACAACGAATGGTAACGCTATTGGCAAACGCATCGATGGACATTCAAATCATATCAACGATGCACCTGATACACCGTTGAAAAAGCGCGGCGAAACGGCCGAACGATTCTATTCATCAAAACATACAGATCTCGACATAAACGCCACCGAAACCAATATTCAAGCGAAGAAAAAGCGAAAAGTCTCATTCTTAACAACGAATTATGTGCAGGTAAATTCTTATTTCATTTCATCTTCTTCTTGTTTGCTGCTGTTAAAACCGCAATTATTATGAAATTGAAAGTGGATAAGAGGGGGAATTCAAATGAGGGATCGTGCTGAAAGATGTTTAAAGCTGAACAATAGAATGGCAATACGAATTAAAAAGATCATTGAAATGGTGGCTTTGATCAGACTGTCGACATGATCCTTTGTTTTGGACAACCGAAAACATTTGTGGTTTCGATAAATTGGAGGTTAACTTTTTGTATGTGTGTGTGTGTGCGTCTCGGTACTAATACGTTTTTCATCAATAGCATTTCGACGGTGGCGCTCCGATACAAATCAAAGAAGAACCAGATGATTGTGGCATTCGAAGTATTCAAAAGGTCCCATCACTTTCTGATCTCTCGGATCCGGAGAACTCCTTGGGTAAGTTGGCATTGATCATTATTTCTTTAGTCATTAATTGCGTGCTGCATCGCAATTATTGTTAAGTTGAACGATTACAAACAGAAAAATGGCGATTGGCCCAACAGCGATCGAACGAATCCATTTCTCTTCGGTTATGACAGTTTCAGTAATAAATTGTCTATGTATGCGCATAACTGTCCATTAAATATATCAAAGCGATTGGAATACACTTTTGCTATCTCTAGAATATCAAACCGTTCTTATTTTCGTTTTGCCCGTGAGCCGTTTTTATTTTTTATTTTTCATTCAATTATCTTATCTTATATTTCTCAGTAAGTATATTGATACGGGGCTTTTTTGTCAATATTTTTTTTTTCATTATTGACACAGCCATACGCTCACAGAAAGAGAAAAACAAAACGCCGATAGGTCTATTTCAGTTTGTGGTAGTCTGTCAATATTCCTATTTTGACTAGCGATTGACAATGAAAATCGTCAGCATAAGAAGAAGCTATAATCGAAACTGATTGCTTCGATGAATTTGCACTTTAATTGGGATTAGTTCAACAGCTGAATAAACCTGTTAGCGTAATTTCGGTGCGCTTCATTGATGTCATGAAATGAGGTGAAATCTTTCTCTCTCTCTCTCTCTCTCTCTCTCTCTCTCTCTCTCTTTTCTTGTCCAATTTCAAATTTAAAAAAAGAACAACATTTTCAATTGCTTGACATGTAATTATAAAAGAAAAACATCATGCCACCTTAGCACAATCCCACAGAACACATGCTAAAATTTAAACATTTCGATGAGTTATGATGCGCGTCAATTGATCAACATCATTATTTACAGAGAGATAGTTACCTAATCCGGGAACACGCGACTTAAACATGTTTTGGCGTTCATCATTGATATGATGAGCAACAATTTACGTTTATTGATAAAGCAATAAGCATGTCAAGCATTTTTCGTATATTCTTGCAAACAATGAGTACGTGTGATCTCCAAAAGGATTAGTCATCCATTCGTGTGAGAACAAGTGCTAGATAAAGATTAGTTGGCCTTTTTTAATCCTGTTGGGGAATAATTAAGACACATTCAGAGAGAAAGAGAAAGAAAGAAAGAAAGAGAGAGAGAGAGAGAGAGAGAGAGAGAGAGAGAGAGAGAAGGAGAAGGAAAGAGAGATAGAATGAATCTCGGTTGAGAGACGAATGTGTGATTAGTAATAGGGTTAAAAGTTGAGAGACACAATTGTGATTAGCAATAGGGAAATTAGGAAGTAATATACGCATAAAAGAAGAAAAAGATCCGGAATTTGTCTAATGACGAACGATTCTGTGAAACAGTGCGTTTGTTAAGTACACATCCATTGAAAAGCATTGAAATGTGTATCTAAAGAGATTTTCAGTTATGTGTGTAAATAATACGCACCTTCATTATGATCTGGTCAACAAGAGCAGAAACAACGCCGCTGCCGCGTCAAGTAATAACGCTCATTATATGCCGAGCTTAACGTCCATTTTCTCGTTTGATGTGATTAGGCGAGTTGAAAGTGTGCTGTGCATTGAAATGCGTCCAAAAAAGTAAAGTCGTTCGTTCGTTCGTTCGCTCAAATCATTGAAACAATTATCGGTCTGAAAGCCCAGTAAACACGCTTCAATGGATTGAAGATAAATATTGATGAGCATCGGCGCGTTATATTCTGCTTATATATACTCTTCGAGCCAATATCGTTCACTCAAACAGCAACAACAATAACAAATGAAATGAAAGAAAGAAACAAGGCACACGGGCGAACATTGCAGAAAATAGAGCAAAAACAGAGCGAAACTGCGAAGAATGAAAACGGCCAACACCAGAAAAACTAACATATGAAATTTTTAAGTTAAAATAAAGTTCGAACTATATCTGCTTTTAAAAATACAAAGTAAACAACAGGAGATATTTTCTGAAATTGTGTATATATTGGGGCCCGTTTCGTATCGAGCGTTAAGTAAGAGCGAGAAAACGACAAACATTCGAAGGGAAAAAAAGCCATATGGAGAGAACCGAAATTGAATACAGATAGAGCCGAGCTGAAGTAGCTAAAAATACATATATGTAAAACAGCCGAGGCAGCAACGGCAACAGCAACAGCAACAATAACATCATCGGCATATACAATATATCGGTGATCGCGACTACGACCACGACCACGGCAACGGCAACCGAACCGATCTGCGGTCCGCGATAGAAAACTTGAATGAATTGAAAATGAATGAAACGAAAAACGCGCACAAAATATGAATGACGCGCTTGCATATTGGAGAGTTGTTCTTCATATCAACACGTCGTTTACAATACTTCAAGAAAGTATATGTAAATAGCGATCAAAGTATCATTCTCTCGTATATGACTTGTCTTTAGATTGTATTTATTTTTCTTTCTCGTTCGGCTGTTGTTTGTGTGTGTTTCTTCTTCTTTTTCTTTTATTATTATTATTAGTATTTTTACACAGCCTCGGTACAATTCGAAAATATATTGAATGGTTCTCAACTTGGTTTTCGTAATTACTGTCTTCTTGTATTTCTCTTTCTTGATTCTTTTATCTGTCTCTCATTTGCTTTGTTTTTGTTTCAAGACTCGAAATCGCGTGTGTGCGAGCGCGAGCGCGCGAGCGATCTCTCACTCTGTCTCTCTGTCTCCGTCTCTCCTTTTCTTCCATTCAATTTGCCTCTTTGCAGTCGATTCATTCCGTTCTTTCAAGGGAAAAAAACACAACAACGTGAAGTGTTTGAAATGCATACGAATTGCACGTACACATTTGTCTGTATTGCTATACGATGGCGCACAAACACTGTTGCATCAAAAATGAGCATTTGTGTGGTGTGCATTGTCACTACCAGCGATCATTGTGTGCATAAAGCTTCGCCGTATTTTGACGGTACATCTAACTTCTTCTTCTTGGACGTTATGCATATACGCGTTTTGCTGGCGCATTTTTTTCCTTCTCTGTATTCATTCATTCTTTGTTGCCTTCATTTCATTCATATTACACCATGTCTACGTTTGTTTCGTCGTCGTCTTCTCCTCCTTTTTTGCCTCTTCTTTAATTCTTTCTATTTTAATTTCCATTTCGAAATGATGAAACTGTATAGAATTCACTTCGATAATTACTTTTCTATTCATTCATCGGTTAAATTATTATTTCAAAAAAAAAAGAAACAAGCTGAGAATGAAAACAAGCAACACATCAGAAAGTGTTTTGCCCTTTCGGCACAAACCGAACAAAAGATTACAGCGAATGCAACGATTTGCCGACGCGTTATCCTTCGATTGAATGATGAATACCTTCAATGGGCGCGATTTATCAATTTCCCATTGCGATATCACGTAATTTCGATCAATCGAATGTCATTAAGTCAAAATGCATCGAATGTCGTTGGAGGACACAAGGATGATGAAGAAGAGCGCGCTATGATTTTGACCGAATACACAAAACATACAAATATACGCCATCTGGTTGGCAAAGAGACAAGCATCGGACGATCAAAAGCTCGGAACTTGCTTGTTTCGAAACTCTTCAACAGTCAATGGTAACGTGTAAAAGAAGGCAGTTCAATCCATGTGTGAATGTGATTCAAAGGCTTTTAAACATGGCAAAGTTGTTGCAGCGAATCTAAAGCCTATTGCGATCATTTCGAAGCTTTGAACTTTCATATGAAAAATTCCGTTAAAGTTTCAGTTTAGAAGTATGCGATGAGCTTAGTTTATCGTAACTATTTTATTCTAAACCATTCAATCTTAAACAAAAAGTTCTAGTTTTGAATAAACCACCAAGTGACGTTCTAATCCATTCAGATCTTGACGATGATAGTCATCGAGTGATTTGTTAAGAACGAATTTCGGAAGAAAAATCAACAGACCTACTGTTCGGCGAACTGTGTTCGTGCATCATTTCACATGTTAATGTCAATGAAATGGCACATCGATGATGACTTGTTTGACGGAAACATGAAAAACACCTTCCATATATGGCACACTGGCTGCACTCGCACCGAAATGCTCCGTTTTATGGGTCCATAAAGGCTGGTTGCGTAAATGTTTACGTGTTTTAATTAAGTCGGAATATGCATCGGGCGCCATCGATTCTGGTGAAACAAACAGGAAGTTTATCTGTTCTCAATGTTCTCACTTAAATAAATTTTACACCGTATGGAGGAAAATTTAACACGAATAAAAGAAAAAATGCTTCCATTTTTTTTTTAAATAGTTGATTTTATAAATAGAAAAGAAAGTCAATCGATATTGCGCTATGCGTTCACCGATTTCACACAGTAAACTAATATTCGTCGAATTGAGCATAGAGACTGCGGTAGCTCTCATTTGCCATACACATAAACGTACATTTTACGTATATGATGTGTGAAATAAAAACACATTCGGTCGAATCCATCAATGTTCTCGTTCATCTGCACAATAATGTTTGAGGGTATACGCTATAATTAACACAAAAACCCGTCAAACATTCGGTTGTTAAGAACATCGAAAATCAAATGTTGTCAAGTGAAATATTATGGCATGACATTTGTTATTATGATAGGCTTATTACCAATCCGCCGCATTCGGAATACATTGAGATTAATTGAAATTCACAGATTGTGACTTGGAACGAAAATGCGCACACGTCTGTTCACCACCAGCAAGAGAGAGAACAATCATTGCAAGAATTCCAATTTCAATTGGTACAGTATTGTAAATGTGGAACAAGCAATAGAACGATATCTTCAGCATAAATGTTTTGATGCTCTCTCTCTCTCTCTCACTCTCTCTCCCTCGCTCTCGCTCATAACACATGTAATTTTTTAGCACATTAAGTTACGGGCAGTAAGCGTGTCACTTTCAATTTCAAATGTTTCATACGAACAAATGAACGAAAAAAAAATGGTTTCATTCGCTATGCGGTTACACGCTCCTACATTTATGATCATTATTTCGAAGGTTTAGATCATATGGAGATTTACATACGCAAGGAAATAAAACA